AATCTCAGGATCTCTCGACTGAATATCATGATAATCACCCGTCATAACACCCAGATAAACCGCCGTCAAAGACCCCTGCATCTCCTCAATAGTATACCCCGCCGCCTCAAGCGATTCATAAACCGTCTCAAGCGTCAATCTCTGCTGCGGATCCATACCATCAGCCTCAGCGGGGTTGACATTGAAGAACGACGCGTCAAACAAGCGACTGTCTTCTTCGAGAAGGTAGCCTTTGTTGCAGACGTCAGTGGCGCCGTGATGCTCGCCATCTTTGTTGTAGAAGGCTTCAAGGTTGAGGCGGTCTTTGGGGAAGTCGCGGAGGCAGTCTTTGGGGGATTGGAGGAGGGACCAGAGTTTGGAGGGAGAGGATGCGCCGCCAGGGAAGCGGCAGGCTGAGCCGATTACGGCAATGGGCTCGCCTGGGGATGGCATAGTGATTGGTAGTATTGGGTAATGAGTGCAGTGCCGTGCTGTTGAAGACAAAGTGTATGTCAAAATGTTGAAGGTTGTTCAGCAGGACAGATTACTTGCTGTTTGTCTAAGGTTGCAGTTGATTCACTCGACGGAGGTCATTGATCTTAACTCAAGATTAAAGCAAAGCAGTTTCAACGTAGAACCGTATTGGGAATTTCGTATTCCATCTTCGATCAGATCGATGCGGCATCAGCTCCCGCGCCGCTTCAGACTTTTCGGTATCGGCCAAACAGGCTTGTGCTTACGTCGAGTGCCGTGCGTAGTGTGGAGCATATTCCGGAGGTGGCCGTTGGCCAACCGGGATGGATCAATATCCCGAGCAAGGGTATGGATCCTCCAACGGGGCAGATTCCGGGGAGTGCGGAGAAAGGTCCCGTAGTGGATGCCGGCTTACGGTGTTGGTTGCTCGGAACGAGGCAGTTGTGTTTCGTGCAAGTCCCGGGGAACAGGTTGTATGGTGGCAATGGAATGCGAGCGTTCTTGATCAAAACAGTCTTCGCTGGCCGACGAGTATCTACTATCAGAGATGCGACGTCTCCCCTAGTGTTCGATCTCAAATCTGTTCAAACTATCTCACTGTGGCAGTGTTCGCAGTCTCAACTCACTCACTCACCCTTCACTACCGTTGTCGACTACCTACATCATGGCAGTCCAATCAATCATCTCGCGTCAAACCCTACCAGCTACTCAAAAAGCTCTCAAAGTCCAAGGCGCAGGAACAGTCACTCTCCAAGAAAACAGCCCCGTCGAGCCCCCAAAGGAAGATGAAGTCCTTGTCAGAATCTTCTGTGTCGGCGTCAATCCCCATGACTGGAAATCCCTAGACATGTCACCATCCCCCGGCGCAACGTGGGGCTGCGATTTCGCTGGTGAAGTCGTCACTGCAGGAACTCTCACAAACAAATTCAAACCTGGTGATCGTGTTGGTGGTGCTTGTGCAGGAAACAGATCTGATAATCCGAATAATGGCGGTTTCGCAGAGTATGTCAGTGTTCCGGAGATGTTGCTGCTAAGACTTCCGGATTGGATGAGTTTTGAGCAGGGTGCGACATTGGGTGTTGGCTTGTTGACTGTTGGTTTGTCGCTGTATCATACAATGAAGCTTCCCCTTCCTTACTCGGGTGAAGCGAGGGATCAGTATATCCTGATCTACGGTGGTGGAACGGCTACTGGGGGTTTAGCCATTCAAGCCGCCAAGCTGTAAGTTCATCGTGCTTGCACTGTGAGCCTAAGCTAATGATATTCAGATCTGGCTTGAAGCCCATCACAACCTGTTCGCCAGGAAAGTTCGAGCACGTCAAGTCTCTAGGTGCCGTAGAAGCCTTCGACTACCGCTCTCCATCCTGCGCGTCAGACATCCGCACCTTCACACATGACAATCTAGAGTACGTTCTTGACTGCATCACCGAAAGCAGCAGCATGAAAATCTGCTACGCTGCCATTGGAAGCCACGGCGGTAACTACATCGGTCTAGACCAATTCCCCATTCGTGGACATACGCGTCGCGACGTTCGTCCAGGCTGGGTTCTCGCGTGGACAGCACTAGGTAAACCTGTTGATTGGAGAAAGCCATATCGTCGAGAAGCAAGACCCAAGGATAAGGCGTTTGCGGAGAGATGGGCGCCTATTGCACAGAAGCTACTGGATTCTAAGGATATTGTGACACATCCTACTGAGGTTAGTGATGAGGGGTTGGCGGGTGTCGCAAAGGGAGCCGAGAGGGTGAAGATGGGAACTGCTGGTGGCAAGAAGCTGATATACCGTGTTGCTGCACCCTCGACATCTTAATGTAGGCGTATTTATAGGAGTTCTATCGTTTTTTTAGCAATTTCTTTATCGGTCTCGACTTGGTTCAGATTGGCAATCCGTTTGTGACACGTCGCGTTGTTTGTAATCGCGATACACTAGAGTCAAAGGTTGTGTATCTATTTTAGCAACGCCAGATCTTGCAAAACTCTCTTGCTTAACATCACTTGCCTCTGCGAATTAACTAGATCAAATACATGCAAAGTGTTTCAGTGGGGTTTTCTACATAAGTAGTTGAGGATCCTTCAGGATCGACTGCTGCCAGTAGTCAGTATCAAATTGCTTTCACGTTGGATACATAAGATTTTACAACTAATTTCTTCCTGCATATCTGGCCCACTTTGTGGTCATCTTGCCAATTTCAATACGCATTGAGATACCATAATCAAAAAATCAACAACCTGAATTCTATAATAAATTTTTACATCAACACTAATTAAGTTCTACGCACTTCAAACCTTGCATTTGCTTTCGTTTGTTCTCAATTACCCTACAGACACAATGACGTCACATTCGACAGATAAAAAATGCAGTAAGATGACTAAAAATTGCACTAAGCCTATCAGCACTCGTTGCTAGATTCTACCGCGGGCGTAGATCAGCAGCCCATCTCTGCCTGCAGCTCGTCACAAGCGTTCAGCGAAGGACGGAGTAAATCTCCGCTGGAGTGGAGAATCTCCGGGCTCGGCCCCGCAACGGCGAGGTGGATACGCCCACCCCGGTCTCACTGTATCCACCGGGTTTTTGGCAGACCTCCCATCCGCTGTTCACATGTCTCATACAATTTGTGTTGCTCATTGCACTTTCTTCCTTTCTCACCACCAAGCATTCATACATCCCAAAACCTTTCATCTTTCACTCATACCAATGACGTTTGGCTGCCCCTACGTCGTCGCCATCCCTCTTCGCGCTGAAGTCCCCAACTCTGTCCAACATGTCATCTCGTCTCTCCGCGATTTCACTCGCAGCATTCTACGGTCTTGTAATTCTCTACTTCCTAAACAGACTATGGGATCATATCAGCTACTCAATCAAGACGAAGAAGTACAAATGCGGACCTCTCAAGACCTATCCCCATTGGGATCCCATCTGGGGCATTGACTTTGTTCTCTCCATGAGCCGTGCTTTCAAAGAGCATCGGTGGTTATCTTGGATGGAGGAGACATGGGCTGCGCAAGGAACTAAGACTTTCAAGGCGAGGTTTCTGGGGATGAGAATGGTGTATTCGTCTGAGATGGAGAATATGAAAGCGATGAGTACATCGCAGTGGGAGGAGTTTGTTCTTGAGCCCATTCGTGTGGATAATGGTGTTGCGACGCCGTTTACTGGGAAAGGTGTTAGTACGGCAGATGGTGAGTTCTGGCATTATAGCCGGGGTATCATCAAGCCGTATTTTGAGAGACAGGCATTTGCCAATGTCGCGAGATTGAAACCGTTCACGGATAAGATGTTGGACCTCATTCCCACTAACGGCGACACCTTTGACATGCAGGTTCTGACAAGACGATGGGTAAGTCACATCTACTCAATGCGAACGAAACTGACTTGGTTTGAACAGTTTCTTGACACGTCAACTAAGTTTCTTTTCGGAAAGTCCCGCGACTGTCTCACGCATCCTGAGCGCGAAGACGTAATGCTCGCCATGGTCGACATCATGCGCGGTGCACGCGTCCGTCTTACCATGAGTAAATTCATGTTTCTCCACCGAGACCCAAAATGGTATGAGAGTATTCGCTTCGTGCACAACTTTATGAATGAGTACATCGACCAAGCCTACGATGAACTGCACCAGCGAAAAGAGCAAGGTGAGAAGTTTGCTGACAAGCCTGAGCGAACCGACTTGCTCTGGGATATGGTGCAGAAGATCCCTTCTGAGGATAGAATTCTTCTCAGAGATCAGATCACTGCTGTTTGGGTCCCGAGTAATGAGACTACGAGTATTCATATCTCGAATGCTATTTATCAGCTTGCTAGACATCCGGATGCTTGGGAAAAGTTACAGAAGGAGGTCCTTGATCTCGGTGATGAGGAACTCACCTTCTCTAAGCTTCGCGGGATGAAGTACATGAATTGGGTCATCAATGAAAGTAAGTCAGAACGGCCTTCAGAAGCCTCATACTTATCATTTCAGCGCACCGAACTATCCCAAATGGCATCCAAATGATCCGTGTCGCAGCCCACGACACAACCCTCCCCCGTGGCGGAGGTCCAGACGGCAAACAGCCCATCTTCTGCGCCAAAGGTGACATCGTCCATTGCAACCGCTATCTGATGCATCGTGACCCTGACTACTGGGGTGAAGATGCAGCAGAGTTTAGACCAGAACGATGGGACGGTCTCCGTCCTCTTTGGCACTTCGTCCCTTTCGGTGGTGGTCCCAGAATTTGCCCTGCTCATATTCTTGTTGCTACTGAGACGGCTTATGTTTTGACGAGGTTTTGTCAGAAGTTCAAGGGTATTGAGGCGAGGGATGAGAGGGGATATGTTCCTGTTATGAGAGTTGGGCCTAGTAGTTTGAATGGTATCAAAATCGCTGTCACCCCGAGGTAAAGCTTGAAGGGACAAGATTGGGGCAATGGCTGCCTGAGAGGATATGGCATTGATCATCATGAGAATCAAACAAGCTTGTACTTGGGTAGTTAAATTATGAAAATCATAATCAATGAGCTCTAGATGCTTCATCATCAATGAGAGGCAAAAGTGATTCAAATGACATCATCCTACTTCTGACTCAATATCTCCCCAAAGACCTTTTGAGTATGCTCAAAAACCTCCAGAGGCCATTCCTCCCTCTCCATAGGACCCAGAACCTTGCCATCCGTAGCTGTGCTCCCGTCACTCAAGACACGATAGAAACCACTACACGACCCATAGCAGGCTGCTTGATCAGTAACGTCAACAACTGCAGAACAAATCATTTCTCTGCTTGGATATCTCCCACTCAAAGCATACTCAGCTTGTCGACGCCCACATTCTTCCTCAGACATAGCTATGAATCGATAAATAGGCAGAGCGATCTTCCCAGCTAGTACACCTACTATCCCAGCGCTCTGTAGTAAATCAGATAGAAAGGTAGTCGCCACCCAACCAGGATGCACATGCAACCAAGACAACTTTGGGTAATGAGAAGCCAAGTACATGAAAACAAGACTGTGCAATGTAGTGACCTGGTTTACCGCCCTCGGAGCTGTATAGTTACCCTTCTTGCGCAATCCAATATCTCCGTCATTAGTGAAGAGTGGACCTTCGTGACCCCCGGCTAAGACGGAGAGAACCCGTGGGTGGGGTGCTTGCATGAGCATGGGGAGTAAGCGTTCGATAAGACGCATGCGGATGTAAAAGGATAGAGCAAAACAAAGATCAAGCTTCTCCCCAGTATCTGTGGAGAAAGTCAGCAGGCGTAAACACCGCAAGAAGAGGGTCTTACAGTGCGGTCCACCAAACGCCAAAGATCCTGGACTCATAAACAACAAATCCACATGTTTCTCCAAGTTCCTAATCCTCTCACAAGCACCATCAATGGCTTTGATAAGCGAAACCTCAGCTTGGACGAATTGTATCGTAGCATTAGGGTTGTATTCGTTTAGCAGAGCGAGTTCACCCGCAAACCTCGCTTTCGACCGACCAATAACGTAGAACCGCGGATTAGGCAAAGCCCGGGTAAGAGCCTTGAGAGTAGCGAGACCAATACCCCTCGTTGCGCCTACGAAAACTGCCACGAAGGATTGGGGAGCGGGGTGTGATGACGACATTCTGTGCTGACAGGGTGCTTATCGTCTGATATGGACAGCTATTCTAATCATGATTCTGGACTGAAATTCCTCCGCCTTTTTACAGATGAAAGAGGATGTGACGCGAGACCTAAGTGCATGGAGAGATAGAAGTCGGGATATTGTTTTCCAGGACGCGGTCTGCACGGGGTACTATACCCGATGTGATGAAGGATTCTCCGGCAGATGCATGTCTGCACGACCGGCCCGGGCGGCACGGAGAATCAGAGTATGTCTAGCACGGGTCAGTGCCGTTAATGTGACATCCAAGGCGCCTACTCTCCTGATGGTCAATGGTTATGTCAAAGGCATCGAGGGGTAGTGCTATAGCTTAGAAATTGATCTTGTAGACTGAATGAATTGGCCTTGCTCAATAACTGTTTCTGTATCACTTGTAAATTCAAGTTGGCTGAGATGACAAGCCCCACGAACCTTACCATGAATCAGCTCAGCATGGACTGGGAGCGTGTCGCCTCCACCTGGCAGACAGCTTCACCAGCCTCACGAGTAATCGTCACCCTCAGTACCCTCTCACTCACAGCCCTTCTCATCTCAATCATCTACGAACTCTACTTCTCCCCCCTCTCCAAATTCCCCGGCCCAAAACTATGCGCCATCTCCCGCATCCCCCATCTCATAGCAACAGCCAGCGGCCACCAACTCCCCTGGCTCATCAATCTCCACAACAAATACGGCGGCGTTGTTCGCATCGCCCCAGATGCTCTCACATTCACTGATGAGCGCGCCTGGGCTGATATCTGCGGTGCATCAAAAGCTGCAAAAGATGGCATGGCGAAAGATCCTCGTCTTGCGGCTTTGGTAGGCGGTGATTTGGTGAATCCGGATCCTGCGAAGCCGAGATCGCAGCAGACTCATAGTATTATGAGAAAGGCGATGGTTCCGGCGCTAAAGAGGGAGAATGTTAAGAAACTTGAGGGTATGATTAATGGGCATATTGAGGAGTACCTCTCTGCTCTGCAGAAGGTTAGTGAAGGGAAAGAAGCTGTTGATATGCGAGATATGAACAGTTTTCTCATCTGCGATCTCATCGCGGATCTGTTCCTCGGTGAATCTCTTCATCTGTTTACTGATTCAGAGTTCATCCCTTGGGTACACTCGTTCGATCGCTTTGCCCGAGGTGTCACCATCCTCGCTGTCCTCAACCGTTTCCCTTTCTTACACAAATTCCTCCTCTTTGCTGTTCATCGCTGGGGAAGCGGTGAACGTGACTCTTTCATGGCGCCTATCTTTGCACGCTTTGACCGTCGTGTCGCTCTCACTTCAGCTCGACATGACATGCTGCAAATGGTGCTTGATGGAGATTCCGAAAGTACTGGACGTCAGGGAACTATGCCCCTTGACCTTCTACGAGAGTTTGCACCATTCTTGATGTTAGGAGGATGTGAGGCTATGCCTACAGTACTCACAGGCTTTGTCTACTTCGTCTTTCGCAAGAAGAGTGCAGATATTAGGAAGAAGCTTCTGGAAGAGGTTCGCAGAGCCTTCTCTCGTGATTCCGATATCACAATGGATAAGATTAGCCAGTCTCAGAAAGACCTGCCGTACCTGGAAGCATGTCTTCAAGAGTCTATTCGCTGCTACTCACCGGCTGCAACCGGCACCGACCGTGTAGTACCTGCATCTGGGGCTCAAATCGCGGGTCGCTTTGTGCCCGGCAACACAGTGGTCATGATGCTGCATCAAGTGACCTACTCAGTCAAGCACAACTTTTCTAGAGCATCGGAGTATGTACCCGAGAGATGGCTTCCTGAAGGAAAGGGTCGGCCTCAGGATTGCATCGATGATGTGAGGGGCAGTGTTCACCCGTTCTCAGTTGGCCCGCAGTCTTGCTTCGGACAAGAGTGAGTTTTACTGTTTCATGAGCCTCATTGAGACATAGGCTAACAATCTACAGACTGAGCTTTTATGTCTTGCGGTTGGCGTTATGTAAGCTTTTGTATCGCTTTGATATTGAGCTTACGTCTGAGTCCGAGAATTGGGTAGAAGGGCAGCTTACCTTTGGTACGAGGTCAAAGCCTCCACTGATGGCATACGTCAAGAAAGCATGACTATAGTTAGCTAAAGATTTTATACACATAACTGTTGCTTGAGAAGCCTTTATTCACAAAGAGGTGATATTCAAATCATTGGCCCGAAGGACTGGCTCCTCTAGTAGATACAAGACAGGGACAGTGATGCCTTGGAGATACCCCTAAATCTACGATGCTGTGGTACCAGAAGCTGTCTTGAGTTGACCCAAGCCCAGCGGTCTCCCAAAAGAAGTGTGCAAGGTCACCTTTAGCGTTTTTGAGGAAGTCTGGACTGATTCGCCAAGCTTACGGAACTTGCTGTTATGATAGTCATTCTTGTATTACAGTTTACAAACTGGCCACACTATTCACTGCGATCCTTCACAACCCTAACCCTAACACCCTTCGAATCCAACGGCGGCATACCGACAAAGAAGTCATGTGAAATCTCCACATCTCTTTTAGTCGTGCCAACCAGCTCAAAATCAAACCTCGAGAAGATGGTCGCAACAGTGAGATATAGCTCAGCATATGCGAGATTCATACCAATGCACTGACGACTTCCTCGACAAAACGGCACAAAGTGGCGACTCAAACCGGTCTTAGCGTGCATCCAGCGCTCTGGGTCAAACTTGAAAGCGTCTGGATAGTGTTCCTCGTTTGTGTCAATGAGATATGAGGATGAGCTCATGCGAGTCTAGGAGAGTTAGCGTCCCGGTAGCAACAGGAGGGGTGGTGACTTACTCCCCGAGGCAGTTTGTATCCAGCATAAACAAGATCTTCCGTTGGTGCATACCGAGGCAGGCGTCCAGGAACACCGAATGAGAGCCTGATACCCTCTTGAATAATTCCAGTCTTGTTGTAATTAGTGAATGTTAAGCCCAGTATCGGAGCGCACTCACTAGATATGGGAGGGGTTCAAGTTTCGCAACAGTAATAGGTGAATGTTCATCACCCATGACTGTTTGAAGTTCCTTCCTCAGTATAGCCAGCATGTCTGGGTTTTCTGTAAGATGAAAGCTCAACGTCGTCAGCGCAGCAGCCGTCGTCTCAGTGCCAGCACCTAGAAAGATAGCCGCCTCAGACTTGAACCTCTCCAGAGTCTTATCCGCTTCGGGAAGTTGCTTGCTATCTCTCATCTCATGAAAGACAGTTCTAATCCCATCCTTCTTCTCTTTTGCCAGGACATCTGAGATTTGACCAGAGATCTTCTTGTCGTAGTCAGCCAGTGGCTGTAGCTTTGGGTCAAGCTTTGCAAGATAGCTAATGGGAATCTTTTGGATGATATCAAACAGCCATGGAAACATGCGTCCAATTGGATGAGCTTGAGGCATCTCATGAAAGAAGTCCAACAGCTCTTTGCCGAACTGGTCTTGCTTCATGTTATCCATGCTCTCGCCAAAGCAATATTGAGCGATGACATCCATGGTAAGACCACTGTAGAGAGCTTTGAGATTCACAACCTCTCCACTCTCCCTGAGTGAGCTCATTCTGCCAGCAAGTTGGTGAATTGTTTGTAGAATCTGCGGCTCAAGAGCACGGATAGACTGCTTCGAGAACGATCCAGACAATGCAGCCCGCCGAACTCGATGGGTTTCGGCAGCGTAACTGTCAAACATGCTCTCATCATGGGTAGACATGAAGCGGACTTTGTTGCGAGGATGATGAGGACCACTGGCGTAGATTTCATCGTAGAAGCTATCATCGTTGATATGAACCTCGTAAGGGTTTATTCTCACGATGGGACCATACTCACGATGAAGTTCTTGAATCTTCCAGAGGAACTTGCCTCGTTTTATGACATCGTAGTAGAACTCATAGAAGAAAGTGAGAGCTGCTAATCTTGGTCCTGGTATCTTTGCTAGAGGCGATAGATACAGGCGGTAGACGACGGTGTAGGTGATGCGCAGTGCAATGAGAGACGCTGCCACTGTCAGCAGTGTTCTGGCGTTCAATTGCAAATCTTCCATGGTCGTCTTAGTGCCGAGTGTTCAACTCACTCGCTGTAGAGATGAGACAGTATGCCTACTACCTATCCTGACAGGCATGACAGCATATACGAAAGTTATCTCACCAACCCACCATCACAGAACTAGTTCTGATGTAAAGGTGCCGTTTTCCCGCCCATCCTTCGGCATGTGAATTCTCAACATCAGCCCGGAGAAAACACTCCGGTTTACGTGAGCGGCAAAATCCAATGTTGTATCCGGCATAGTCAAACTTGGTGCGTCAGCCGTAAGCCCATTTCCCCTCCATTTTCCGTTACCGTGCTTGAATCCTTCGGCACCCCACGGAAAACCCCTGGCTCACCTTAGTCTTTAGGCTAGTGAGCCGTAGATCCGGTTTTAGTATAATCAGCGCGGTAAATACTCGTATGCACTGTCGGCCGCCGTATCAGAGAACGACACGGGCCGTTCCGCGCACTATACCCACTAGTTTTGGAGGCGTTTAACAGATAAGAAGTAAACAGTTAAAAGAAGGTAGTAATTGATGCAGTTGAGAGTAGCAATATTGGCAATTGAACTCCACAAACAAAACAACAAGTTAATATTTGCACAAATCAAAGAATGGCTACTGAAGCAGTTAACCAACCTCCCCAGACGGGTACCGATTCCAGCGTTGCTAATGGCACTGGAATGGATGCCCTGATGGAGGATGCGAAGAAGCGTGGCTTGCAGGAAGAAATCTCTCGACTGACTGATAACCATTTGGTCTATACTGATGCTGCCGGTGGCAAGTTGTCCTATGCACCAGTTGATTGGAAGAAGCCAGGTCTTAGAATTCTTGACTCTGCCACTGCAGACGGTATGTATAACTTCTAAGACAAAGAGCGCCGATGGATGATAACAGTGATTCAGGTATCTGGCTGCAGGACCTTCGCAAGCAAGCTGGTCCTGTTGCTGATGAGCAGACCTACATTGGTACTGATCTGGTCGAGGACTTGTTCCCCAAGCCTCGACCCCATGGCATTGAGTTCAAGAAGCAGTCCATCACAGAGCCATGGCCTACTGAGTGGAAAGAATCCTTCGATCTCGTCCACCAGCGCCAAGTCCTCGGCTTCTGCGGCAACTTCTCTCTCGAGCAAGCCGTCGCCAATCTCTGCGCCCTCGCCAAACCCGGCGGCTGGGTCGAGCTCGTAGAACTCGACTGCGACCAGAGTCTCCTCGAGGAAGGAACCGCAGCGCACGAGTTCTTCCGTCTTCTCGAGCAGATCTGGAAGATCAAGAAGATGGGCGGCAACTTTGGCCCCAACCTCAAAGAGTGGATGGAGAATGCGGGGCTGGAGGATGTTCAGGTTGATGTTTTGCAGTGCAAGGTTGGTGCGAAGGCTAAGCCTGAGCTGAAGCAGGCTAGTATCAACGGTGCAGCTGGTGCGGGGCCGATGATTGTGGCTATGGCGCGCAGTAAGTTTTCTTCGGACCTTTTATCCTTGTGATTAGTGCTGACTTTGATGATAGCTCTTCCTGAGCTTGAAGGATTTACTACTGAGCAGCTTGATACTCTTGACACTAGAGTTCGAAAGGAGCTTGCTGAGAAGGGGGCTGAGTTTCAGAGCTTTGCTGTCAGGGGTCGTGTTCCTGCCGGAGGATTGAAGCCTAAGAAGTAGATTCTAGACCTTTATGTGATGATGCTTGGTTCGGAAGGATCCCGTTAGTTGGCACTAGAACCCAAACAAGACAGTATCTGAAATTACAGTGCAATCGCTTCTGGCTGCCCTGGGATGTCCTCCTCAAATCATGCAGAATCTTGAAATTGCACCATGGGATCACAATGATCAGTAAACGTTCATCCAGCTGCCAATCAAAATCATATCAAGCCGAGTCCATGCAAATTTGATAACTGTCATTGAGCTGCCATTCCCTGTTTACCTATCAAACTGTAACGCTTACAGCCTTGTGGGGTTCGAAGGATCTGCGTGATAAAGTGCGAAGGCCCGCCTCGGAATACGCCCTGCAATCACCATTGGTCGGAATGCGAGTGAGATAATTATTGAGTTCCCTACAAGGTAACTCGTAAGAACAGTTGCTGCAACGCTCATATTGGTAGGGTTTGTTCTGCATGTCAGAGGAGCTTTAGTTGTGGATAATGCTGAGATGTCCCCCACTTGTCATCCCCCATTGCGACGTCGCCAAAGTTTAAATGTCACCTACGTGCCGTATCGAGATCGACATTTCATTTACCCCGAGATTCGTAAAGAACCCCAAAGGGGAGGCGTTGGGGAAACGTGCATAAATGTCACAGCTCTACAGTACGTCAACAGCTTATAGATAATCAATGACTTTGGGGTATACCTCCCGCAAAACAGCTGGCTAGCACGCAAAGATACTACTAACTGCCACAATGGCTTTACATAACAATTATATGACATGTTTCCATATATCATATTGGGCTCAATGATATCAGTCCCAGAGGATCAAGAACCATGGCCTTTGCACTTTTCCAAGCCGGAATCCTGCATTGACCTGCGCAACTGGGCTTAAGCGCCTAGAATACCAAGCTTTTTAGCCTTATGAGCCGTTGTTTCACACCCATTCAGACGCTCCCAGTCCTCGCCAATGCACGTTGGGCGAGCTGACCACTCGGGACCGATGGCATTATGTCTCAGTAATCCTTCGCCCCACTGCCGACGGCAATTCTTTTAAAGTCCGTGGGACTCAGCAAATCAGATAACGAAGTGAGATACTGATAGGACCGTCAAATCTGGCCCTGTCTGAAATGATGGGGGAACATGATCTGATTAGACTTCCGCGGAATCTGCATCTGGGCGGAGAACTTTATCCGGAGGATCTGACACGCAGCAACAACCTTGACATATTCGTCATGACTATTGTTTTGTCAAGATTGTAAACAGTGTCAGGCTCTAAATCCACCAATCTAAAGATTTCGCATCGACATTGGGATGCCGAGTATTGGGGGGAGGTGTAACCTTATAGGGCTAGGATTGCATCCTTTGATCGACGCGTATCACAGCGTGTCCAATATGGCTGACTGCAGTGGAAGTCGAACGTTATTTGCATTGTTCACAGAGAGGAATGGGTATTGTTTCTGAATACGGTTCGCAGCTGCCGAGAAGAGATAATGTCAAGGTGAATGTTGTACTTGCATGACAACATTGACGCCCTGGGCGTATCATTCTCATAGTTCGTGACACCATCCTATTGCCGTGGACATAAGCCTCCCATACATATGAACCGTCATCAATAGCTCCCTTTCAAAGATAGAGGTGTCTCCTGTCATCCAGACAACACCCACTCACGGCTAAACTAAACCAAACTATCCATAACCAAAAGCCCTCTTAGCTCTTCTTCAAATGGATCCAGGCCCAGCATACAAACGGCGCCGTCCCGCCGTAGCATGCACCGAATGCCGCAGACGAAAGATTCGCTGCGACCGTCACTCTCCCTGCGGACCCTGTAGCAAATCAATGCCGAGCCTGCGATGCGTGTACAACAACCAGCCAACAGCTCGAATTCCCGAGAGTTACCTGGATCCCGGGATGCAGCAGCAGCAGCACGACTCGTTGGTTCTGAGCAGTCACGCGCATATGGTACCTCATGAGCAGTCGATCTTTGGCCAGCAGCCTTTTGATGAGGTGCAGGAGATGGATCTTTTTAATATGGATGTTGCGCCCATGACTGATGTGTCGCTGGGGTTTGTTGATATGGATTTCTTTGGGATGAGTGATTCGCACTCGAAATCAGCTTCTATTGATTCAACGAATTCGCTTCTTCAAGGTCTGTCGAGATCACCATCGTGGACAACATCTAGCCTTCCTTCAACAATGGCTAGCAGCATCACAAACTCACTACACAACATGCCTCTGACTCAAACCAAGAGTTCAGGAAGGTCTTCGGCAGCCCAAACCAGAGAGAAGGAATATTCTGGTGCCGAAGGCCATGAGAGTCACTGGAATGAGCCATTTTCCCAATGTGAGAAGTTGAGATTCCTCGTGGACAACCTTTCTGGAGACGATCTACACCTTTCATCTGAGCAAGAAGCCCTTCGACCACTTTTTCAGACTTACAAGAGGCTTCTTCGCGAGGTTCAGAAAAATCACGAAAGCAGACTTGTGAGTGAGGACTCGGTTCTGACCCGAGGTGGTGCTAGTGGAATGCTTCCAGCCAGAAGAACCTGCGACTCACTGGTTGATGCATACATCAAGACCTTCGAGTCTGTACTGCGCATCATTCACGTTCCGTCTTTCTTGAGAGATTATGAACACTTCTGGGAAAACTCTGCTTCATCAATCTCAAGCACTGACGAAACGTTCGCCTGCAAGCTACTTCTAGTAGCAGCACTTGGATCCATCACCTTGACCCCAACAGAGTCGCAGCAAGATCAGGCCACCTCATGGCGAGATCAGTCAACTAACGGGATCTCCTACGTCAAAGACTGGCTCGCCCGCAAGAGCATGAAGGGCATGCGAGGAGATCTAAGTATGGCACAGATCGCCTGTCTTCTAGCCCTGACACGTCACACGCACCACCAGGATTCGGCCCCCATGGGCGTAGCATGGCTTTCCGAAGGACACGGTCTAACTCACATGGCCGTTCAGATGGGTTTGCATCGGGAACCAAGAGTCCGGTCGCCGAATATGTCCGCGAAGGAAGCCGAGATACGGAGACGGCTCTGGGCTACAATGTTGGAGTTGTCGTTGCAGGTTTCTGTCGATCAGCGACTTCCGGCTCCCATTGCGCCTGAGAGCTATGACTGTGAGGTGCCGAGTAGCATTGCGGATGATGATCTGGTGCTGGGGTTTGAATCACAGAGTGTGAACCAGTCATCGGTTCTCATGCTCCTTGCGCAAACTCAAAGATTACGTCTGCGGATTCTCCAACTTGTGAACGCACCCGGGTCCTCAAAGACGTATCAAGAATGCCACACTCTCGCATGCGAGCTCAATGCGGTGTGTTCTGCCGGTGAGGCCAAGCTAGATTCTCAGCTCAGCGACTTTCAGAGCAGTCTCTTGACTAGCTTCACCAAGCCATTTGTGCTGGCACTACATGACGCTTTTGCTGACGAAGCAAATACTAAACCGGAGTACTACTATTCACGAAGAATGCGAATGGAGATCTCGGCGCAGCTACTGTCATCCAAAGCAAATCAAGGCTCGTACTCAGCACTACTTACCAACGGGTCAGGGCAGTTTTCTGCTATGCAGAGACGGGCCACAATATCCCTATGTCTCGATCTAATCCGAGATTTTGAGGAAGACTCGTTCCCAAACTTGGACAGTGCTTCTCGAGAGCAACTTCGAGATATCCTATGTAAGGTAATTGCAACGTTCAAAAGACGTGTAGAAGAATCACGTGGCTCAGGGTCAACAGAAGAGTTTGTCTTGTTCTCATCTGCATTATCATATATTGATAGTCTACAACGAAAGGATGTCGGTGACAAGATGTCCGCGAAGATTATCGAAACAGTAAAGACTGCGCTGAAAGTTTGCTGTGATACAATGGAAAGGCAGAGGCGAAGGGAGTCACTGGCAGAAACAGATATTTGGATGGGTTCATAGTCCTTTGATACTTCGGAATAGTTGCCCCATGCTCGAATTCAGTATTTGATAATAAATGCTAAACTATTTTGATCCTAAATGGACTATTATGTACATTGACAACCGCTTTCGAGTTGCTTTGCCCTCATATGAGATCCAAGGCAGCACAATTTCTTCACTGGTGACTTGAAGTAATACCAAGTTCTCTCCCGAGGTCACTATACTGCATAATGAATAGCGTTTTTCGGATAGAAATTCTTAACCCGAGAATGCGAGGTTGTTTGAAGTGGCGTGATATATGCACGGGAAATTCCACGGGGAATCCTTCGGGGAATCTCCTCCTGTGCCGTCTCACCCTTGTTGCACAGTGCGTTGATGCCCTCTTCAGAACCAACAAAGCACTGTCTAGGTGTTTGCCCCGACGTTTCTCGACGGCTGAGATCTCATTGCTTGGCAGTAGCACTCTTTCAGCGAGTTAACTAGTATTACCCCAATATCCCAGAGTTTATCATAGCCATCCATATACGCCACCGGATTTGAACCTGTAATTAAACCAACCTCCTCCTTCTGAGCCACCCTAACTAAGAGTAACTATACAGACTTCGCTGCTATTATACACGAAACAATGGCGCTCCATCAATTACTCGCCCAACAGGTCACAACACGAAATCTTCCTGTTCTTGCAGTTGGAGCTGCTTTTCTCATCTTCATCTTTCGAAAGCTTTTCACAAGCAGCCAAAAGTCTGACGCAAAAGGCTGGAAGCCGATACCTCGCTATTGGCAGTGGGATCCAATATGGGGTCTTGACCTAGTAGCGAGCCAGATCCATGCTTTGCGATCAAACCAGTTCTTAGCATGGCTCGCCAAGCTTCATGCCAGCATGCCTCACACAAAGACATTTAGCATCAACATGTTTGGTGTTAAGTGGATTTACACCTATGATCCTGAAGTTCTCAAAGCTGTTTATGCGACTCACTTCAAGGAGTTTGGAGTCACACCTATTGGTAATCTTCGAAGAGGACTGACTCCTTTCGCCGATAAGGGCGCTATTACTACTGACGGTGAGGACTGGAAGCACAGTCGCTTCCTGATCCAGCCCTTCTTTGATCGTCAGGTGTATACAAGCACCGACAGAGTAGCTCGACACACGGACCAGTTCATCAAACTACTACCTGAAAATGGCGAAACGGTTGATCTGCAGCCTCTACTGCAACGATGGGTAAGCCTTTGTAGCCTCAGAATGTTTACCCAAGCTGACACTCTTAACCTAGTTTCTAGACATCGCCACGGAGTTCATCTTTGGCGAGTCAACTGAAGCTTTGGTATACCCTGAGCGTGCCAAGATTGCCAACACAATGCTTGACGTTCTCGATGGTGGTCGTCTCCGCGCTCAGCTTAACAGACTCATGTTTCTTCGCGATTGGACTCCATGGCTGAAGTCAGTTGAAGAGATCCACGCCTTCGTTACCCCTCCCATTCAAGAAACCATCAAGGAGAAACATGAGCGTGAAAAGAAGATCAAGGAGGGCGCAACTGACTTGGAGCCTGAGCGAACTGATCTTCTCTGGACAATGGTACAAAACCTTGAGGACGTTAAGGAGCTGAGATCGCAGATCTGCTTGATTCTCGTCGCCAATATTGACACTACGTCCGTCTTCATTAGCAACTGCGTCTGGTGGCTTGCTCGTTATCCTGATGTCTGGGATAAGATCCGCCAGGAGGTGCATGAGTTGGGCGACATCCCGATGAATTTCTCAGTTCTTCGAAACATGAAGTATCTGAACTGCGTCATGAATGAGAGTAAGTATATCAACTAGCTTCCCCACGTCTTCTCAAGCTAACGGAAAAGCTCATCGCATGATCCCCAATAACGTCTCTCAACTTCGCGGTGCCTTTGAGGATGTCGTGATACCAGTAGGCGGTGGTCCAGATGGCAAATCACCGACCCTCATCCGCAAGGGTGATCTGGTTCTCATCAACAAGACCGTCATGTACCGTGATCCCGAGGCATGGGGCGAGGACTCAAATGAATTCAAGCCTGAGAGGTTCGACGGATATCGAGGCTCGTGGGGTTTTTTGCCTTTTGGTGGTGGACCAAGACGGTGCCCGGCTCAGATGATGGTTCAGACTGAGGCGGCGTATATCCTTGCTCACCTTGCTAAGATTTTCAAGCGCATCGAGCCTCGCGACCCAGAGCCGTACGTGCCTGTTATGAGGATTGGGCCGTCGAATAAGACTGGTGTCAAGGTGGCTCTATACAGATGATACGGGGTTCTTTGGTACAATTTGCATGTTAGAGCGATCGAATGGCATTTTAGTGTTACTTTACAGTTTCTAGCTCTTGTCAAAGGCCGTATGGAGTATCTACGTATATGGCACTAAACAGCCACGCCCGAGAGCGTCACCTATAATTTTGTATAGAATCAAGTCAGTAGAACTATTTTCTAAGTTGTTCTCGGATCGCTCTTGTCCTATATCAAGGGCTGGTCTCGTACTTCCTAGCTCTCTGTTGTTTCTAGATAAATTACCTCCAATTTCGTCTGCAACTTCCCCATCAAGGACTAAAAGAACTTCCGTCGAGCGCCCCGTTGAGAATTTGTGATACAGAGAGAAGGCTGCAAAGAAAGAGTTGAAAGTGAAGGTGCGGCATCTGATTGGGCACGGAGAATAGCGGGATATTACGTGTTATAACGGGCCATACCTTGACATCCGTAAAGGAGACGCATTTTCGAGTGGATCTGCAGTCAACAATTCTGAACCGGTTGCCAACACCGTAGAAAGGGCCGATTATAGATTCTATCTGTCGTGTTTGAACTTGCTCGATGGTACACTTGCTTTCACCCAGTTCTTCATCCAAACTCGGGACCTTTCTACAACTTCCACCTTCACAGCGAATTGAGTGCCAGTCCGAATAGTACTATCACGATGGAACTCGCTATCGCACAACCAATCACGCTGAAATGCGGGCTCACTTTACCAAATCGGCTCACCAAAGCCGCCATGGCCGAAAGATTGGCTGACAAAGACGGCCTTCCAGGTGGCAAACAATGTCTCGCAACCTACAGTGAATGGGCGAAAGGAGGTTGGGGCTTGATCATCAGTGGTAAGGGTTGCTCAAACTATCACAACTCACCACGTTCTTGACCAATTGACAGGTAATGTTCACATCGATCCCGCTCATCCCGGTGCACCAGGGGACTTCACAGTGAACCGGGATGTCTCTAGAGAAAAGACTCTCGCGGCTTGGAAGACTTGGGCCAGTGCTTGTTCACTGAACGGAACTAAACCTATCGTCCAGATTAACCATCCAGGACGGCAAGCACCATTTGTCAAAAGCCTTGCTCCGAGTCCAATTCCTCTAGATCTTGGGAAGGGTCTGTTCCCATGGCTTGTCAGATCATTGGTATATGGAACTCCCAAGGAGATGACCCAAACTGACATAGATGATGTGGTGACGAGATTTGCTGAAGCAGCGAAGCTATCAGTGGAAGCGGGCTTTGCGGGAGTAGAAATCCATGCTGCACATGGATACTTGTTGGCGCAGTTCTTGTCCCCACTTTCGAATGAGCGAACAGATGACTATGGAGGCTCCCAACTAGCACGGGCCAAGATTGTTGTCGACGTCGTCAAAGCTGTCAGAAAAGCTGTACCAGCTGGAGCTTGTGTCGGCATAAAGGTCAATTCAACTGACCACACAGATTTGGGCGACTTCATCACCCAGTTGAAGGCCATCGTTTATGCGGGAGTTGACTTTGTAGAGGTCAGTGGAGGGTCCATCGAAGATCCCATGTTCAGCACTGGCCTGCACACAACAGTTAAGGCAAGTACCAAGGCTCGAGAAGCCTTCTTCATCGACTTTGCAAACGCCATCAGATCTGAGCTTCCAGACGTCCCCATCATGTTGACAGGTGGCTTTCGGACCCGGCAAGGTATGGAGGCTGCCGTGAAGGGAGGCAGTTGTGATCTGGTCGGTTTAGCTAGGCCATCGGTCATAGACCCTGCCCTTCCAAAGAAAGTTCTGGACACCAGTATACCAGAGTATGGGGCCTTGGCATATGCTAAAAGGATTGAGGCGTGGAGTTGGGCCAAGTATACTGGAATCAAGGCCGTTGGTATGGGGGCTGAAACGGTATGTCCACATCCTACAACTCTGATAACGGTGGAACTAATAAAGAGAATAGCTTTGGTATACAAATCAGATTGGGCGATTAGGCGCCGCAAATAATTGAGGTCAAGCATTCGGTTTTATGTATTTGATTTACAAGAAGTTGACGTACATCGAACCATTAATCCAAAGTGATGGACCATTCGCTGCCGCTTCGTCAGCTTGCACAGGTTGTTTTCACTACCACTTCCCTGGCCCGCTGATTAAGCAAGCCTCCTGTGGCCACACCAAGCAGCTTCACTTAAGGTTGAAAACCCAAAGTCTGTGACAGTGTCCGTCTCAGCACTCAGGCCAATTAGTTGTTGGACAGTCTTGAGCTTACCCAGACTACAGGCAATCATCAGAGGCGTTTCCCCATCCTTATTTCTAGCAAAGTCAGATCATATTCACGCAATTCGATTGAGCTGAAAATCAGGCTCTGGAACTTCTGTTTGTAATGAATTGGTTTGTTCTCTGGCCAATAACAAGATGTGTAACTCCTCCTTGCCTAATATTGAGGCCCTCCACCAACGTGAATCGCCCAGCCAACCAGTAGGAACAAAGATGACAATGCGCTCCCGAAAGAATGCATAGGGATTTATACTAGACCTGTTCCTATCTACTTTCTTCGACAACCTTTTTCAGATCTCGATTCATCCTCACATAGCCTTCCTGTAGCTCGTTCAGCTTTCCCGCCGCAGCAGCTATTGGTGCCAAGATGCCAGAAAAACGCTCCCCTTGCGTAAATCGCGTCCATCGTCCATCCTCGACAGCTTCCAGGCGACACCAGTGCTCTGTATCGAAGATAATCGGTGTCAAGATACTGCCGTTCCATCGAAGCTCTTTTTCAGGCTGTAATACTGACACAACATTGGTGTATGTCTGGTTATTCTCGATCGTGATGGTCTGCTTGCTTCCAACGGCGAGTTCAGTGTGTGGCGGTTGCACTTGAATCGAAGTGACGAAGGTATTCCATTTTGGCCAAGACTCCAAGTCCATTAACACGCTCCAGATTTGCGATGGAGGCGCTGAAATTGTAATTGATTCCTGGATTTCGCGCATTTTGATTGTAATTGAGTTGAGTAGTGTGAGATGTCAACTGTATTGGATCTGAGTGGGGGGAATACTTTGGACTACCAAGAGTCTACTATTAGCTTTATATATAATCCATACTTGATTCATTAACTGCTCGATTCTGGAGAAGTGATTACTTTGTGAAGCGGCACGGCGCATATGGATGACCGACGCGGGCTGTTTCAGCTATGACGTCAACCAGTTCGGAGTGTTATTTGTCCGCTCAGGCTATCCAGTGCCTCAAGTCTCCCCGAGAATGTCGAATCTATTGTCCCGATGCAACAACAACGACAACATGGCTTGTCCAGCAATTATCATTTAGTCTTTGCTCTCTTGGTTTGAACTTCAAATAGCAGTGCTTTATAAAATCTCATGAAGCTCCTCCGTTCTCGGCCTTTTTGGTACCAAGAAGAGAGCAAAACTAGGGTTTCTATTTTCAGTTGCTTGCTTGCAAAATTGATATAGGAACCTCACCACCACTCTGTGCTTTTAGTCTTCACCCAGAACAAGCAGTCATCTGAGAACGGTATCTGTATTCCATTATCTCAATGCCTCAACAGTTGCTATAGCAAGACATCAACTATGCGAGCCAACTTGACCCCAGCCCAGGATCGTATTTACTGCAGCGACCACGTAAAATCATCATTGAAGATGACTGCGACGCTATTCCTTCCCGACATGTCAACCTCAATGCTCTCTCCATGGATCCCATCAATCATGGTACCACTTTGGCCATCGCGTTGGAACCAGACCCGGACCCTGTTGTTAGGCTTAATCTCCTGACTGGCGCCTCTCGGGAGTTGCATAGAGCCGACGTAGATGGGAGCCCTCGAGCCATTGATGGTTCTGTACACAATGGGGGAGGCTCTGTCGGCCTGGTTATTGAAGCGAATACCGTCTTGAGGTCCACCGTCGTTAACACTGCCTCGATAGTCTGGAGTCAAGGTGTAGGTTTGGCCGGGCCTGATGGAATCGACATTAGTCGATGCCTGAACTTTGACTGAAGAGCTGGTTAGCATGTTGATTTTTGAGCTGCAACACAGATGACTTCAATACCTCCTTCCATGAAGTTGGATTGACTGGCAGCAATACCAAGGTCATCATTCCAGTTGAACTGAGCATTAGGCGCAATACCTTAATTATGATTGTCAGTGTAAGTTAAAGTAGAGGAACGCAAAGCCTTACTGCTGGTTGATGCTATGACCTTGTATCCCTCGCGCTCCACTCCAGAAGCAAAGCAGAGCTTGTAACCCTGCTGCGCGAATTGTTGTATGGCCGCGCGCCCTGGAACCTTGACTGTTAGAGAATAGTTGGTCATTTTGACAAGGGCTTGTGGTGGGGGTTGATAAGGAACAGTGATGATGAAATGTTTGTTGTTTTCTGTGGAACAAGAACCAAATCAAGGAAACAAAAACGTCTTTTATAACCTACAGCGTCCCAGAAAGCCAGCTGACCTCCTCAACAGTTTTGGGCTTTCAATGGGAGCTCAGCTGGCCACGTTAATGCAGCTTACTGTAGTTCATACCACTTCCTTAGAAACATACATAGGCGGGCGGTTGACTACAGGCAGCTTACTGTAGCTATCGAACTTTACCAACCTATGGCTGCAGTCTTTCTGAGCATATTGAGAGACGTGGCGTATACTGTTCAATAGTCTGCTCAGCATTTCACACTAGTCTTTGCCCAGACCAATCTTGGGCAGATAGTACAGCCAGCCACGATAAACCCCGCCCGCCAATTGAGGCTAGACAGTTGCAGATGTCTCTGGCAAAGCATACGGCGTTAAGGAATACTTATATATAGTCCATGCTTATGTGGTATATTATGTACTCTTTAACAGACACCTGGCTGTAACCTCATCCAGTCTTGTCCTGCACATGGCATCTATTGCCTCAACGCAATGTCAATTACACTTCTTTGTCCTGAACATAACTGCATGAAGTTGTGACTTATTCCTTGAACATCAAATTGTTGGAACTGTTGCTTTGTAATTTTCATTGAGCTCTCTCCGTTCTCGGCCTGCTTGGTTTCAAGGCGCGAGCAAAACCAGCCACAATGGGTGCTTCACCTGCCACAGTAACTCGTTCCGCGAAAGCGGAATGCTATGTGATCCATATGCAGTGTTCTGATTGGCGGCTGCTTCTTCCTCTTTCGACGATTCACTCCACTATCGATGTTCGCCTATCTTAGTGCCAGTCAGAAATCTCGGCGAGTGATATAAAGATCCCGCGGGATATTGTTGCTGATGTTGAAGAGCTGATAACATCTAATATTAATTTGAAAGTCACCAGTCTCTTTATATCAAGCTCTTGACCTTGGAAGGTCATAAGGAAATACTTGTCAAAACCGTTCTGAAATTTATCACCTCTTTTGAAACTTACACTATCGGGTAGTCTAGTCAAGTAGTTAAGTAAAGCAACAGTTCGTGCTCGATATTTATCTCAACACAGAAGACACCTAGGAACGCTGGATATTCTGACCATCATTTGCAAATGCTACTGGCTATGCCACCATGAAATATAGAGACACTGTGCTTACCTATCACCTTGCAACGTCATAATCCGGTTTAGCCGGTCTATCCGCCGTCAGCTGCAATACCCTTCCCTTCTTACATCGGCCAACCAGAATACGCGTCCTCGCGCGAACTAAGTAGTTTACAGCGGAATCATGAATTTTTAACAGCCACTATTTAAGCCGCATAGTAGCCATTCGCCCATGCCTCCGAGGTTCGGCAAGCAATAGCGCTGCCCGGCCTTGGAGTCACTAAGCAGAATTTCCAATGCCTGTCAACAGCGCCCTTCACATGATTTCACAAACATCGTCCTTGTGACTCTCCCTCCGTTCAAACATAAGATGTTTCGTGTTTCATGGTAATCAAAGGCAAACATGTCGACCGATGAATGGCTGGATCGGGTGATGCTTATAGAACAAGCTGTCGCCAAGTGCCGCGGAGATGTTGCGCACGCTCAATCAGCGCAAAATGAGGAGGAACTGCGGGCAGTTATCACCACGATGTGCCACGATATTATCGGAATAATCGGAAGACCTCAGGTTGAGAGATCATTGCAAGCATGGTCTGAAGTATACCCCGAGCAGGAGGGCGCCAGGTTGATAGAGAAGACGAGCATCTACCGCCATTTGGTCAGTGCTCAGACCCCACATACAGTATCTCTAAAGCTAATGGAATTCACAGAAGCAAAATAATACGGCTTGGGTCCCTATACCTGCGCAGGAAGACATAAGATCTGAAGCCCAAGCTGGCTCGTTGAGACCGACACCTGGAACATCATCTTCGCCTCCATCGGTACAAGAAATGGAGGTTCAGAACCGGGCGGAGAGACTTCGGGATGCTCTCTGTCTACCACCTATCCGCCGCGCCTCTGCAGACAATATCAATCTATCGCATCCGAGATACGTATCTCACTTACCACCAAGCCATCAAAGGACACCACAAGATGGTTACTATTCTCCTTTCACGACCTCTCCGACAACACGAAGTAACTGTTCAGAGTCTCCAAGGGTTCTTCCTCCAATCATATCATTTGGTGACGACATAGCCGAGTCGCCTGTCTTTCATACTCCCCAGAGTAGTCGACGAGCAAGCCAGGTATCATACCCAGCCTCAGATAGAAGTCTAGACCCCTTCCAGCCTATTCACTATGATCCAAACCCTCACGAGAAGGCAGCACCGAGTTTGAAGTCGTACCCCACTAACAACATGACAACTCATGGCGGCGTGGATCAGAATAATGGTACGTGTCGGATACCGAGTGACAAAAAGGCTGGCACTACATTCCATGAGATCCCAACGTCTTTAGCAGAGTATCTTGAGAGGATCCTTGCTGCAGGGGACATGCCGTTTACTCTGGCTGGCTTCAGAGACAGAGATAATTATTACAACTGCCCATTCTGTAGCGAGAATGGGAAGAGGAATTATAAAAGGTCAGGACCCTTTGCGGACCATTTAGTAAGACACTGGAAATCACTACAGACATAATAGCAAGACGGACATGGTTAGAGACCAGTCCCATGGTCGAAGAAGAAATAATCGACTCCACTCATAATATTGGCTATTTACATAAAACATCTACTCATAACTGTCCTCCAATCCGAAGAGGAGAAAGCTTACTCGCGCTCGCAAGTCATAATCTAAGGACGGTGAAGCAAGATCTTGCCGTTCTTGTCATACCAGATCTTCCTCGCCTTCACCTGTCGTAGGTAATCCTTACCAGACGTATGCGCATCAGCAAAGAAAAGCCACCACTGTCCTTTATACTCAACAATACTTCCATGAGTAGTCCACCCATCAACAGGATCAAGAATCTTGCCCTGGTAGGTATAAGGACCGTAGATGTTCTTGGAAGTAGCGTAGACAAGGAAGTGGGTATCACCGGTGGAGTACATGAGGTAGTACAGCTTGCCGCGCTTGTGGATCCAAGGGCCCTCGAAGAATCGTCGCTTGTTGTCCTCAGCCTGAAGAGGCTTGCCTGTCTCAGGGGCGAGAATGACGAGATCGCGGGGTGTTTCGGTGATCTTGTGCATGTCCTTGCTTAGCTTGGCGATCTGAGGGGATAGGGCATTGGTGCCGTTAGGAGCAGCCTTGTCTCCGATCCACGACTCGTTAAAGTTCTTTTTATCCTGCCAGGCTTGGAGCTGGCCGCCCCAGATACCGCCCCAGATGAGGTAGGCCTCGTTATCAGTGTCGACATAGCTAGCAGGATCGATACTGTACGTGCCAGGGATCCAGCTCTTGTCGGCCTTGAAAGGACCGCTGGGCTTGTTGGAGACAGCAACTCCAATTCTGAAGATCTCATCCTTGTCCTTGGCGGGGAAGTACAGATAATATTTGCCGTTCTTATGAGCTGCGTCAGGAGCCCACATTTGCTGCTTCGCCCAGGGAACGTCATCGACTGAGAGAGCGACGCCGTGGTCGACAACGGGATCTTTTCCATAGATGCTCTTCATGGAGTACGTATGGTAATCCCTCATGGCGTATTGAGCGCCTCCTGTGCCGTTGACAACATTCGCTTCGATGTCGTGAGATGGGTAAACCCAGAGCTTGCCCTCGAAAACATGAGCCGAGGGATCTGCGGACCAGAGGTCGGTGATCAGGGGAGGAATGTCATTAGTGTCTTGCGCAGCGCATTTGCTGGTCAGAGACAACAGTAATGCTGAAGACAGAAACTTGAGCTGCATCTTAGCGAACTGTAGAACCTAATGCTTGATTGACAAGATTGAACAAGAGCCTGATGAGTAGCAATTCTATGGATCGTGCCCATCTCTTTTATACCCAGTTTTCTCGCTACTATACCAACTGCCGTGACGATGACCTCAACTAAGTTTGTCCCCTTGATAAATCAGCCTATTCCCCCTGGAAGTACGGGGTTGCGGGGTATCTTCTTGGCACAGGATTGGCCCGCCGGATAAAACAATTTTAATAGAGTTTACTGGATGTTTTCTATATAAACTCTTTGTCATGCTGCACAGCGCCCTCAACTAAGCAGCTGGGGGCGATAAACACACTGCCAAGCGTAAGCAGATACGACGTCCATCACGGTAAGATTTGTGCCTAAATTGAATTTCTATTATCCAGAATTACCCGTGTAGTATTTTGTTGATGTTAGTGAGAAAATAGTCTGTTTGAGTTTATACTTGCCAGGGGATCGTCAGGAATATAGACTATTTCGGAATTCTGTGCATGGTTGGTGGTGTCATGGACTGGTGCGCTTAGCATTGGGCCCCGCAGAGTACCAGATTACCGGTCCATTCAGCTTACAAGCAGGACATGGCCAAGGTGCACGATGCTACCTCATTGGATCTTGCTTTCCATGTTTGCGTAATGCATCTAGAACCTCAGATACATTGGACCCTGGGAGAACGAAAAGTCAAGATCATGCTGTTTCACGGTCAAGGGCCGTTTAGGAACGTGCCGTCCTGCAAGATGCACCGACAGATCCGGCCGTACTAGCCGGTCGCTGATTGATGCCATGTGAAACATTCATCGGGTCTTAGCGTCAACGATGTTAGATGTAGTGGACCTGGGGCAAATGCTCCGAAAAACAGGCATCGTATTCGCCCTAGCAAAGAGGATCAATATCTAAGGCACAGCATGCGGCGATTGCTTTTCTTTCGGCAAAATTACAATTGCTGTAGTTACACGAACATTAATTGGGGGCCAGCGTGGATAATGGCAATATACATGAAGGCATAAGGGACGTGCTTTAGGCAGCCAACTAACATGGCGCCTGAGGTATCAACATTAGCCTGATGGGCTGATGCCTTGCAGCAAAATGAAGTACCTGTACGAAAAACAAAAGCAAAAGCAAAAGCAGAAATGTCAACATCAACATTTCAGAGTTTGAGCCGAAATCATGGCAAGAATCATATACAGAAGTCGCCACATGATGACCCGCGGCTTTAAACCAATCCAATACTATTATTGCTTTGGAGGCCCATCCAGCCCCAACTCTGCCAGCATCCCACCATATCGACCTGACCGATATAAGCGCAATGCAGAAGATGAAGCGCGAATCAAGGATTTGTATTCACACGGCTCACAGAACTGGAGTCAGGAGGATGTCCAGGCCTTCGAGGATATTGTCGGCAGAGACGACGCGAGGCAAGATGAGGCTAGAGAGCCATTGAGACTTATGATAAATTGCTACTTTGAACTCCTCAACCTTGTACCCTTACCTCCTCCTCTCCCAGCTTGTAGCTATTGGTTAGCCCACACTCGGGCCGAGAACTGCAAAAGGGAAAAGGTGAGGCCTTTTATGGTTGCATGTGATAAAGGATTGCTTGATCACGTCAAGGCTTGGACGCAAGATGGGGAACGGTTAGAAGCACTTCAGCAGATGGGACTCCAAGACGGCTTGGTCTTTGCAGCGAGAGCGAATCAGATTGAGGTGATCCGGTACCTGCTCGACGAAAGATGGACTTCTCTGAACGGTGAAGTGGTGAGGGAGGCTTGCGCTAACCTTTCCCTACCCCTCTTCGAGCTATACGTTCAGCATGGCTATCATCCCAATCAACAAATTCCTAGCCGCGATGGATATTTTGGAGTTGCCATACATCGCTGCGTTCAGGACGTGGACATCACTTGCTTTCTCCTCGAGCACGGCGCAGACCCAGACCTCGCCCCCTTCCAAACTGGGAGAACGCGGGGATGGGGCGAGAAGGCTACGCCTCCAATGGATCGCACCTCTGGACTAGCGCTAGACCTTGCCGTCGAGAAGAGTCCAATGGCTGTAGTGGAGATGCTTCTCGAACACGGCGCTCATCCGGAATACTCACGCCCACTACATGGTGCTATCAAGAGACTACATTGTTATCCGATCCCAGGAGCGCAGATAGACTGGAGGCCTTTGATGGAGATGGCCTTGAGTCACGGCGCTGACATCAACGCTGTAACCTATTCAGGTGGCACAGCACTGTCGAGAGCAGTTCACCACCAAAACTGGGAGATTGTTGAGTTTCTTGTTGAGCAGGGGGCAGATCCGTTTGTGAAAGGGCCTGCTTCTAAGGAAGATTCATTCGACTCGGCGCTGAAATTTGAGGATCAGCCTTGGCAGAGGAGCGAGGAGGTGGAGAGTTATCTACGAGGTTTGATGGGTGGATCAAAATTGGAGATTGGAGAAGTCGCAGAGGAGGCGAGGAAGAACCCACTGGTGCGCATTATCGAGAAAGTGAAGAGCAGAGACGGAACTAGGGGCAAGAGAGTGCCTAAAACGGCGGTTTATTGTCTCCGTTGATCCTGTTCACCTATAAAATATAGCCTGTCCTACGGAGATATAGTTAAATGCTGGTAACAGAGCCTCAACTGGCTAGAGAGAGGTTATTCACCTGAATAGAAAAGCCAATGAAACCGCGACTGGTTGCCAGCTTCCTCAAATAGCAGTTTCAGCCTTAGCAGACCCGCAGTTTCGGACGATCTACGTTTGTTTGATCTTAGTGTAACGCATTTTAATGGATCTAGACCCTCGGGCCGCCTCCGGGACGAAATTGGTTGGTCACATATACGCAAGGCTACAGTCAGCCAGTTAGAGAACTAGTGACAACTCCTGCAAGCTCCTAACGCATGAATGTACTCCTTTCTCACGGAGCGGAGCTTCAATCGGTGGCTTCGATAAGGATAAAGCTCAATCTCTTCCCCTGTACGACCTAATAAATAGCCCTCGCCACCTAATTTCTAAATTTCTCCTCATCCTCACTGCCCTTTTCCAGTCGTAAAAATGGCCGACGATTCATCCAAATCATCGACAGACCCCTCCGCTGCCGTCGGTCCCTTGAAAGAAGCGAACAAACTCCTCCCCGAAGAAACAGAACTCGACCAAGATGGCTTTCACAACGATCACCAAGACCACCTGGACATGCAGCGCCTGGGCAAGAAACAGCAGTTCAAACGAACGTTTTCGCTGTGGTCGTCAATTGGTTTTGTAGCTATTTACATGGCGACGTGGGAATTTGTGCTGATTTCCCTTGCGCCGGGTTTCACGAACGGTGGATATGCTGGTGTTTTCTGGTGTTTTGTTACCACGACTATTGCGTACTCTGCCGTTGTTGCGAGTTTGGCGGAGATGGCTTCTATGGCGCCTACTTCGGGTGGGCAGTATCATTGGGTTAGCGAGTTTTCACCGCCAAAGTATCAGAAGGTTCTCTCGTATGCTTCAGGCTGGATGACGACGCTGGGTTGGCTGGCTAGTTTTGCGAGTAGTTGCTACACTATCGCTTTTCAGGTGCAGGCTTGTATCAACGTTACGAAGCCTGATTTTGCATTTACAACGTGGCAGATTGCGTTGATCATGTGGGCTGTTATCATTGTTACCATCGCCTTCAACACCTGGGGTACTGCTTTCTTCCCTCAGCTCGAGACAGCGAGTTTGATTGGCCATCTTCTGGGATTTTTCGCGGTCATGATACCTCTTTGGGTTCTTTGCGACAAGAATGATGCGCACGACGTATTTTTGCAGTTTACTGACCAGAGCGGGTGGGATAACATGGGCTTTGCCTATATATCATCTCAGATCTACGTTCTCTGGTGTTGTTTCGGTTCGGACAGTATTGTCCATCTATCAGAAGAGGTCAAGAATGCCTCAATCGTTGTGCCACGTGCTATTTGGTGGTCATATGTCGGAAACATCTTCTTCGGCTTCATCATGCTCATCACCATGCTCTTCTGCATTGGTCCTCTTGATTCCATCATTGAGGCAGACTGGCCATTTATCGCCCTCTTCGATCGCACTGGATCTCAAGCTCTGAACTTGTTCTTCAATGTCATCTTGTGGCTTTTGGTCTACCTTGGCAACATCACGACTCTTGCGACCTGTGCTCGTGAGACATGGGCGTTTGCGAGAGATAAGGGTCTCCCAGGTTCTCAGTGGATTGGACACATGTGAGTAGTTTCATTTATTGATCATTCAAGTCATGTACTAACTGCACCTATAGGGACAAGAAATGGCACATGCCGTTCAACGCAGTCTACCTAATGTCCATTGGCGCCGCCCTCCTCAGTCTCATCCAGATCGGCTCCGACGTTGCCTTCACCGTTCTCGTTTCACTATCTACACTCGGAATCATGAGTACTTACCTTCTTAGTATTGGTTGCGTACTACTTAAGCGTATCCGAGGCGAGCGGCTTCCTTCGGCTCGCTGGAGTCTGGGTCGCTTTGGACTGGCCATTAATGCGTTTTCTGTGCTTTACAGCTTGTTCATTGTCATTCTCTGCTGTTTTCCACTGACCCTACCTGTTGACACAGCTTCAGCGAATTGGGCGCCTTTGATATGGGCTGGTGTTATTATCATTGCTGCCATTGCGTATGTGACACACGGAAGAAGGGCATATACACCCCCAGTGAGCTTTGTGGAGGGCTTCAAGTTGCAGGGTGTTGGTTTGCAGCAGTCCTCGTAAGAAAAGACGAACTGTTATTATAGCTAGTGTCTGGAGCTTTCACTCTCTTGAATCCAACATATCAAGTCTTCTCATCACTGCGTCTAAAAACTCCACCTTTTTTGGATTCCGCCCGCGTTCTGCCACCTCTCTTGGTGTTCTCCCGTCCTTGTTCGTTTCGCCAAGCATGTCCTTGAGTACTAACAACCCAAGAATCGTTTCGATCTTCTCTGTGACAAATTTCACTTTGTACGAAAACTCAGCTGCTACGTGTAGCAGATTATTACCATCGCGCCCTGTTGTCCTCATATCGGCTCCCAAGTCAACGAGGTGTGAAAAGACTGCTTGCTTGTGGAGCCACCAGAACAGCGCGGGTTTTCCGACATGGTCCGCCTGTTTCAGTAACTTTTGCCGGGTTTCTGGTCTCACGTTTTCCATAATGGCTTTTACGATATCAAGGCCGCCGTTAGCGGCAATAGAAAGCGCCGTTGGCACAGCCTTTGGCACAAGGATGCTCTGGGGATCGAAACCAGGTTCGTTTGCTTTTTGGATCACTCTAGCAATCCCTGCTGGTTTGCCAGATTTGGCAGCAACGTAAAACGGGGTATAACCAGATTCATCCATGGGTGGCCATGAGTCTCGATCCATTTTCTCCATGAGTCGACCAATACTCTCAACCGCACCAGCCTCGATAGACTTGAAGAGTGAAGCTGATAGAGCACTGCCCTGAAAGATATCCTCAAAGTCTTGGAATAAGTTGAGCGGAAAAGCAGTCATTAGAACAGTCTTGCCATCGTTATCTAAAATATCTTGCCTTGCCCCATGCTTTCCTAACACCTTGATTGCCTCAGTCTGCTTGGCCACGGTTGCCAGGTGTAGTGGTGTCTGTTCAGCTTGGTCCTGAACATTAATTTTTGCGTGGGCCTCAAGTAGCCAGGGCAGTATTATTGGAGGTATTGTCTTGTATAGCATTGCAGCCAGGTGAAGAGATGTTCGGCCCTCCAAGTTGGCGATTCTAACATTGCATCCTTGATCGATAACAGGTCTGACCAACTCCACGCGGCCAGGTGCCACTACGAAGTGCAAGGGTGTATTGCCCTGAAGATCCTGAGCATTGACATCAGGCTTGTTAAGTAGGAGAGCGTTTACTCTGTGCTCGTCTCTGATTACATAGTACCGCCTGTTCTCAAAAGATATACCTGATAAGGCAAGTATGCAAACATAGTGTAGCGGAGTTCTATAGTCGACATTTCTAGAATTCAGGTCTACTAAATTCTTGAGTAGGTGTGAAAACGTTTCCAGGGGCATAAAGATGGATGAGTAAAGATCATTCAAGATACGCAACGGGTATAGTTTGATCTCTCTGACTGCTTTGACCGATTTGGCTGTGCATTTCATGTAAGTGCGCAGTGGCCTTGAGGGAATTGTATATCCATATTTCAGTTCTAGTTCTTCTCCACTGATTGTGGGGTGGTCGATAAAGATGGTTTCCATCACATGGTGGGGTTCACTTCTATCAAAAATATCCCCAGGGCGTTGAGCTCTCTTATAAATGGTCCTTGTAGCGAGCGAAGAAAGTACCCCAAGGTCGTAACGAATTTCCCCAAGGTTCTGGCTGGCATGGTCGTATAGACCTCTTAGCTTCTGGTGAAGATAAAATAATGCCAAGAGGCTTTCGGAAGTTAGCTCCCCTTGGTTAGTAAAAGAGGTTCTAGGGTCGACTTACGGTGCCAAATCCGAGACAAGATTATTGCTGAAGTCATCTCCATCTTCTAAAAGGCCTGCGGCGGTAGCTTGGCTAGACAGGCTGAAGAAGATCGCAGATACGAATGAAAAGACTGTGTATGCATTTAACCCCATTCTCACCCACTCACGTCGGCTCAAGCTGTCGACAACAATCAAGATTCTGATAAAGTCTAAGATAATATCGTTGGAAGTGCTCTGCAGTGGGTTGAAGTGAGAATTAAAGGGTGGATTTACAGAGAGGGCAAAGATGGAAAAACAAAACCAAACGCAAAAATGAAATCGGTCTGGAAAAATGCTGAAAAAATCATATCTCACTTGCAGGACCAACAATTAGGCGCTAGACAACTGCAGACATCCTTGACAATCCACGTCGGCATTCGTAATTGGTCTAGAACCATAACTAATGCGACAGGCTGCATTTCAGCCTTCAATATGGATATGTTCTTCCAGCCTAGGCCTAGCAATAAAGAGAAATGATCTGTGACGATATACCAATAGGAGTCAGTCGAGCTTGCCAATCTTTTGCTGGACGCCAATGTGGATTTCATCCTTTCAAGTTCTCGTCGAGTTTCCGTAAACAAGATTGTCCTCGAGGAAAAGACATGGTCAGTACACTCGTATGATGATACAAATCAGTTATGGCTGGCGGGGAAGCACTGTGAATTGGAAAAAAGAGTAAAGGGTAAAGGGTCAAAGCACCTCTTGTCTACGAGATGTTAGCTTATCTTATATTCTTCAACGGTTTTTGTCTTATCCTATCGAATTCTCTGGCGCCACTTTCAAAAGTGCTAGACTTTTGGTACCTACTTATCGCCTATCTCGACGAGCTAAAAGAGAAGGCAACAAATTTCGCGCCAGTGTTGCTAGGTCCTAGTTAGAACATGGCGCCCTAGGAACAAGAGAACGTAACGCATAAGCGCCTTGGCTCTTAGGTTCAGGCCGTTTCATAGTCTACTTAAATGTCTATAAGACCTTCTCTTTATATCAATCGGCCAGCTCATCATTTGGTCTTTCTATCCTTCCCATAGCTGGTTACAGTAAACGGCAAGATTTCTTAATCTGTTTCTACCAACGTTGCCGCCCAGACATCCATGGTCCGCACCTTTTTACCATCGAGTCCTTCAACAGCTCTTACAACCGCCTCTCTCCCACTCCTAAGCACAACCTTCATCTTACTGTCCGCAACATATTGCTCAATATCATCAAGGAAACTCTTGCTTTTCACATCCCCAACTTCCCAGCCACCATCTTGCAGTCCCTCATGCGGCACAATTTCCGTCTCTCGTTCAACTTTCCAGCCTGAATCTCCTACGATATTCTTGATGTCAATTGGGCTTAGCAGACATCGAATGTTCGCTTCGCTGTCCGGCCTTTGGGCCTCAAGTGTAGCTCGCGTCAAAGCAGCAAGAACGTGAGGGATGGCCGCTGGCTCGGATGCCTTCATGGCGTACTCAGCGATGCAGATTCTGTTCACCCTTCCCTTCAACGCTTTGAGCATGCGTGCGAGGGTTTCAGGTGCATCGAGATACCATAAGCAGTGCACAAAGACCGCATAATCCCATTTCTTGTCCCCCGTCTCTTTTAGAAAGTCTTCGAGCTGGGTCTGCCAAAACTTTACACTACCGCGTAAAGGGCCTTTGGTGATATGCTCTTGTGCTTGGCCGAGGGTGTATGGTGCACCGTAATCAAGAGGTGCGGGGTCGATGGCGTCAACGTGGCCATCTTCCCCAATGACATGTCCCAAGACAACAGTGCATGTTCCCTGGCCGCATCCAATCTCGAGAATATTAGAAGAAGCAGGAATATGAAAGAAGTTGAGGAGCTCAAGCCGGTGAGTTGTTTGATCAATCTCAATTTGCAGGGACTCTGGCGTTGACAGGGAGTGAGACGCTATTGAGGGAGCGATTGACAATGGCAAGGCCTGCCATGTCGCTTGAGAGTGTGTCGGGGCTGTCATATCGATGAGCATCTGCTAACAACAAATTTTTGACGCAAGTTTTGGGTAGATGATTATTCAAGGGATTCGACCTTCGCAACGTCAAGCGGTACAAGCTTACACTATTTATAAGCGACCAACGATCTTACCTGTGACTCATTCGTTATCCCAGATCTCAAGCTCCTTCCTATACGGGTAATCATCATCCTGTTCTTACAACACGAATTCAAGTTACCAACAGACCGTCTCGGTGGAAGCATAGTTGGGCAACAGCAAGAGTTATTAGTGGCGTACAAGCTACCTACGTCCTACGCTCACAATACGATGTTAGATCCTGCTGCTTATGCCATGTCCTTACATGCCTTTCAACGTTTGCTCTCCGTGCCGTGCCATCGCACGACATTTGATACGTACATCCCGGGAAGCTACAATACCATCGAATGGAGCCATGCTGTTCGTTGTCATGACGGGTACGATCCTTCCTCAGTGCAAAGCTTGCGTTGCACCCAGTCTTGGTGCATTTGTATGGTCTTGTGTGGGTCTTGAGATGAGCACTGTTTGCATTTGTTAGTCTCGATACTCTCCAAGGTAGCTGGGACTGAGAACTCACGTATACGGCTTTTTGGTAGCAAAAACAGCTGGACACTCGGGACATTTGTGAGCGCCTGTAGTAGGTACGCCACCCTGACTGTTGTCATCTTCTGGAGAGTAGCGACTCTCAATACCATGTTCTAGCCGTGAATCCTCCTCAACTTGTGCGCTCTGTCCAGCAGGCTGAGTAGTAGTACTTGAACACCCCCAATCATAGGGAGGCAAAGGCCCAACATTTCCGGATTGAGTCTAGCTAGGGTCAATAAACTGGGGAGCTCGATGTTCGTGATAGTGTTGGAGAAATGACCTCTCTAGTTCCGGTGGCCCTGACTGGTCTTGACTAGAAATAAAAGACCCCTACCTGGGATAGGGACTTGATGGTGTTCTAACCTGCTGAAGAGAGATAACAGATGAAGAAAGAATGCAACGGCTTAGAGGTTACAAAAGACTGTCGACAGGTGGTGAAGGAAGTTGTTGCAATGAGTGACTGCGGAAGCACCACCAGGGTCAACCGTGAAGAAGGAAGAGGGATGTCCAAGTATTCGCACATTAAAAGAATTTTATGTAGTCAATTACACTTTAAACGACTGCCGACAATCAGACGTGGCGGATTAATGTAGTTTGACCGACTAGCCAAACCCTCTGGCTAGGCCTCAGAATCTGCATGATGATGATAGTCGCATGTGGCTAGTCAGTCCTTTCAGCTATAAGAACTACAAGTGCCGCAACCACAACAAGTTCTTTGAGGTGAACATCTACCAGAAGGACCCTGTCAACAAACACCACTGGCGCGTTGATGTCGCTAGACCAGCTGGTTCAATCGACCTCTGAGCTGATTCCGGTGAGGGGCTCTCATTCGTGTAACCCTCGCCACCCAAAGAGTTTCATCTCTAGGGGGCCATCGTTTGACTAACACGTACTACCGCCCTCAATGATGATGTGATACGAGCGCCTAAGATGGTGGTAAAGCTGGGAGTATTGGCCTGCGGGGCCAGGTTGTATGTTACACATTTTTGGCTAAGGCATTTTTGTAATCTAGCAGAACAAATCAACTGTGACAGGATATGGAATGTACGTCGATGCGAACTGCTTGCCTTTGTGGTTCCCTAATAGCGTCGCTAATGTCTGCTTCGCCACATAGGCCTGTCACAGCATTTGCCTTGTATCTCTGAAGCGCAAAGAGTGCAACACTAAGAGTGCCTAGCCTAGGCATATTCTATTTGTTTGTGATCATGATACTAGTGCCTGTACTAAGAGGCGTCTTTTTCAGCACAGACTATTGTCAAATGTATGAAGGCTCGCCAGCATCTGCCCCTTTTTTGGAGCATCTTGGAGTGACGCCTCGCCAGCTTCAGATGAGATCTGAGTACCGAAGACCTTTTACGAGCTTCATTCTATTATCGTCTTTTCGAATAGAATCTTATAAACATCACTCGAACCCACGCCCGCTCCTTGGAAAGTCAAGAGCCCTTCCAGGCCCAACTGCTCAATGCGGGTAATTCAGTCCATTGTACAACCCGCACCCTGTCTTGTCGCTCAAGATGCGATGAAATAACTATTGGAGTCGGACATGCTCTTTACAAGTCCATTCAGGACATCAAGCCCATTATGATAACGGGAGACTACGGCTTTATAGTCTATAGATAGATTCTGTTTCACATGCAAGGGTTACAGCTCGGTCACATCTCATTTTTAGTCGAGACCTGTGGCCTTATAACCTCTACACAGAACTTAGTGCTTCATATCTACTTAAAGACAAGATAATGGTTAATTCAATCTCAATGTACTGTATTTTTTCCTCTCGATAAAAGCTAGTGTAATATGCCTGAGAAGACGCTTATATCAGGAGTGAAGACAAAGCGCAACGAAACGGAATTCTTTAGGCGATGCGATATAATGAATGTCGGTAACGTACATACCTGAACTTAAGTTTTGAAATCATGGAGGAGGTGACATTTTACTCACCCTTGCCATTGTAGACTTCACGATCCAACCTAGCAAAGGCTTGAATGGTCTCAGACTCAAGAACTGACTTGTTCCAAGTCCTGAGGAGAGGTTCCTATGTCTCTTGTAGCGATAGACTCCGATATACCACCATACTCCAACTGTGAAGGCTGTAAAGCCTGCAGCTAGGACCACGTAGATTCAGAAGGATTGAGATACAGATATAGAGCCATCGTCGGCTTTCCACTCAAAAAATCCCATTAAGATACTCTACACTATATGTCAGTCTGTTATCAAGTGCTTTGAGCCATAACTTACTGCAAAGAATGTTCCAGGGAGGAATATCATGGTGACTAGTGCGATGGATCGCATATGACGTGAGTCCTGACTTGTCGCCAATGCTATCTCCACATTTGTTTCTCCTTGAGCCTTGACACTATGAGCAAAGCTTTTGGAGCAGAGTGAAAAAGGGGATAATTTACCCATTGTGTCGTCATGATCATTCCTTCGTAGCCCGTAGTGCACTCTCGGATCTTCTCGTTATATTCCTTCATAATTTCTCGTAGTCTCCATCGCATTTTAACGCCCGTCCGTCTCATATAAGTCTTCATTAGTCGAACTGATGATACCTCCTGATACTTGTAAACCTGAAGCTCCGTAGAAACAACGTCCGCATGATGGCCGACCTCCTGGTTCTGCTGACCATGTACTAGAGAGATCTCGTCGATTGAGTCATACCAGTCTGTGTCAATGTTCGACGGACTCGTGTCGCGAAATATTGTTCGGTTGAGGTAATCCACATGCTCGTAAAAGACTTCCAAGCAGGTACTCCAGCTCAGAAGTTGATTTCGGAGATACTGCATGTCTAACCAGGCTAATCTCCTTGCTTTTTTGCGAGAAACCTTTTCTGTCTCCGTTATATGTTGCAGGAACTCGGGATCCTCGTCCAGCTCCAGGATCCGCCCTTCGAGCTCGTCAAGAGTGTTGTTCACTATTGGCAGGTGGCGCTTTCTCTCAATTTCGATAAGCATGCTGGGAACCAGCAGTGGATGGTAAATCTCGTAAGTGGCTGTTCCAAGCCGTGTCAATATCTCTGCTTCGACTGGCAACGTGCAACCAAGCATAACTGCAAATGTTAGGTTACAATGCGGGAAATATGTCGATGATACCGCGAGATCACCTTGCCAAGCATTCGAAGTGCGGGCGTTGTATACTTTAACAGCATGAGAAGTGATTTATATCCAGTAATCGACAGAAACGAACCTTGTGCGGGTAGGCAAGTACCATTTTGCCTGCCCATGTCGAGCTTGACTGCCGAGAACTGTGAAACCTCTGCTTGGCTTACAACCCGATTGATCGAGTCGTGTATATAGAACTTCATTGCGATATCCTTGAAGGACTGCTCTGAGAATGGCAATTCCCTGACATCGAGGATGCCTGAAGTTCTGTGACGCGGGGTTTTGAATGCGTGGCTATTGAGAGAGGTTGCTCTCTTGATAGCCTTGATCCAATCATTTGCCTCGATACCCTCCACCGGATCGATCTTGGGCTCGCCGCTTTTCCTTGCTAGACTAATAAAATCATCAGTTTCATGGTGTCATAGTTGAGAGATGAGCATACATCAGAACAAGGCCAGCGTCTGATCCATCAAGCTTTGGATGCTGCTAAGGAAATAAGTTAGTCTCAGTAAACTTAAGACGTAAATAGTAACACCAACCTTATCGAACCATTTATTCCAATCACTACCATTACTCATTGTCCATACCAAAGGCTTCTGGAATACTGTTAGTAAGCTGCATCTGATTCCCTTACGGAATGCAAACCCTTGTGTCTGAAAACACTCGTACCACGCTGGTTGGTCTCTCATGATAGTTAAATACTCTGCTAGTTTCATTTTCGCAGCATGTCGCATTGTCATTTGCCCGGTTCATATCTTTCCGAGGTTGCAAAATCAAGATGATGTTTTTATCAAAAGACGTGAGGTGGCCTAGCAAACAAGTCTTTGACGGAGGAAATTGCCGCTTATTATCTTTCCTGATGGGGCTGTGTTTGGAATTCCATTCGGATTTTAGACTTTCTTGTCCTAGGGGAGACAAACCCTTGTTCATGGCTGTGTTGAGACATCACTATGTTGATCAACAGTGCAACGTGTGACAGGCCGTTGAAAAGCGTCGCATAAGTGATTAGGCGAATAGTGTGTAACAGGTCATTTTCCACATAAGAGCAATATTAGAAATGGATGTGCGGCTCACTCTGTGCTCGTAGAATTAACATCCTGAGAAGTATCTTCGAAGAGAAATCGTCTCCAGAAGGCTATAAGAATCTACAAAAGGGCCAAGAATATTCGACTACTGCCTAGACTATGACTATTAGTAAACTATTTATAAGTGTTGTTAGGTACTGGATCACTTATGCCTATCCTATCTGCTCGGAGCGGGTTGATTGTGCACAGCGCCGAAGACCGGACTTGCTTAGTAAAGGTGCCAATGGCAAAATACATATACCAGCGATGGACATGTGAGTAAATGCTATAAGAGAATACTTAGTCTGGGAAGTATAAGCAATTATGGTAAGTTGCTTTAGGATATCCTGGAATTAAACTTCTACGCACGTTGGTAAGTGCGTCTATTCATAAGTGCGCTGCGGTGATATCAGCCATTTTACAAAGGCAAGATTGGACAGGCAACAGCTGCCTGTCAGGATTCACAACACAGTCTGGCTTGCAGAGGTCGGTTGCAACCCCTTACTAAATACTATGAATACAGCCAGAGAAGTCCCCAGGGTAAAGAATTTGAAATCTGCAGCGTGTAACTGCTCAAGTAGAAGTTGAGCTAAAGTATTAGTCGTCAAATACTCATAGTTGTGGCCAAACCATCATAGGCTATCCATCGTCACGGCTTCCTCCATTCTATTCTTTTCATCCTTTTCGTGTCAGATAAGAATCACAACCAGCTTAGGGTTCACTGACCTCGGTAAGGCGTCTTGGAAGCTTACAATGAAATTTCCCCCGATTCCACTATATATGTAATCAATACCCTTGTACCTCTTGAACATAAGTTGGGAGTATCGTACCTCTACCGTTACACTTCGTTCAGCGAAGATGGTGGTTAAAAACGTCTCTAGGGCGTTTTGCTCTGTTGAGGTCGCACGGGCAATTTCAATTGCCATTATAGTAGGAGGGTAGTAATTTGTGATTGTAACGGAAAAGGTCAGCTGTTTGTAATGACGGAGGTTATTCTGATCGAAATTTGAAACAGAAGGCTGCACTGGACCTTGATGTAAATACCTTGGCCGTCGCTGAACCCTTCTGCCAGTGATACTGGACCCTTCTGCCAGTGATGCTAGACTCTTCTGCCAGTGACGCCATAGTCTTATATTGAGCTCTCGGCGAAGGGATAAGGTTTTCGCACTGCTCGTATGACAGGAATGCTGCGGTAATGTTCGGCATTTTGCAAAGACAGGATTTAACGACCAACAACTGCCCATCAGGATTGAGAACAACGCGGTCTATCCTCCAACAGGACCTAATTTACCCATGGTGTGCGTGCTTCAAAGGCCGTAAGACCTCAGAGGGAAGAATATTTTGATTCATCTCAATAGAGAATCAATAGACCATATTTTATCTTAACAGTGGACAATCCTTTAAAGGAACGCCAGCTACCCATATAAAGGCACTTGCAAACCGTATTGTCGATCTCTCGAAACGCCATCACTCATATCAACAGCTATTGACAAGTGTAAGTAACGAACCTGAGATTACCATTTTCCAGCCAATTGAAGCTGGCAGATCAAACACAACATCAACCTTTATCGTATAAAGTTTGCAATCAAGAACCTTCACAACACGGGCTATGGCAATGAGTCGAAATTCCATGAGGTGTGGAAGATGCTCGAGCGTTTCAACAGACTCACGCATCCCCACCTAGTGACCCTCCTGTGTGCATTTCGCTGCGCAGAAGAACGGAGTTTCATTTTCCCAAGCGCGATTTATAATCTCAGCGAGTAATTGGAAAATATTGAATCCCCCAAACACAAAGAGGCAACATTCTGGATATCTAATTAACTGGTAAGGCTGATTGGTACACTCTAATCCATCCACAACCCAAAGCATCCAGGACAAGGAGCAAGCAGTGACTACGGCAGACACCAGGACATCAATTTCAATAAGATTATCTGTTTTGAGAGATCAGGGAGTAAAGATGAAATAGTTCTGGTCATCTCTGACTTTAGCTTATCGACTTTTAACAGCGAAGAGTCGCTCTAACATTCTCAACCAAAAGGTGCCACCAGCTCCGGGATACCGCCCTACTGAGTGCGATATCGAAGGCGGGACTGTATCAAGAGACTTTGATATTTGGACACTGGGGTGCTTGTTTGTGGAGCTAATACCCTGGTTCCTGGGAAGACCCCAGTATGTCGAACAGTTTGACCAGGCAAGAAACACGATGTTTATCAACAGTGCAGATAATAACACTTTTTTCACCTTTAAGAGAAAACCTAATAAAGAGAGTTATGCAGTTCAGGTAGAGCCGGAGGATATCGAGGTAAATTAATTTTGAAAGAATGTATCAAGCTTTGTTTGTGCTCAATAGTGAATTGTCAAGTTACACCAACGCCCAGACTGTTCTGACTTCTTGCACGATGCTGTTGATGGCGTTGCAAATGAGATGCTAGTGGTCATGACGCAAAGTAGAAGTCGATCGTCGTCCGGACAGACTTTCGATGCTTTCCAGATGCTATCGTCGAAACGCCCGAAGAAGGACGTCCTTGTTATTGACAAACCATGGACAGGTGAAAAGATTTAAACTGCTAGAACTTGAATAAGAAAGAATAATGTTGCGTTCGATGCAGTTCCTAGCCAGAACACTCAGGCTCTAATTGATGCAGTTTAGCCAGGGACGGCTATCCGCCAGGGACATACCAGGAGATTACTATGGCCCAAGGAGTTAAACAGTATGGATAGAACTTGATAATTTGTGGGCCTAAAATGTTTAATATAACTTATATTATACTCTAGGAATTCGAAAGTTAAAATTATTATTTCTTTATAATAGTTTAAGTAATGGCTAGTTATTTATGCCTATATGTGGCAGCTAATCTACCAGAACCCTAAGATTGTTCATAGTGCTCGACCACGTTCACTGTTTCGCCCATGTCTATGGATTTAATGTTGATTCTGGGATATAGAAATATTAATACTGGGATACAATGTGGCGATATACAATTCACCTGTCAGTGACTGGTGTTAGTATTACTCACTAGCATCTGTCGTTATGTCAGTGATGCTAGACTCTTCTTCCAGTGATGTTGGAGTCTAATGTTGCAATTTTCAGCGAAGATATATAAAACAGAAACTCGAAGGAGCCTATCGGAAATTAAACGCACTCTGTGTATTCTTTGAGTGTCTAGTCTATAAGTTATTATAGAAACCTGAATTCTTTTTAACTTGTAACTTCATGAATCTTTTCCGCAGTTATAATAGACTTATTTCTTATTCGAAACGTCTAATAAAGGCAGTCAGCATACAACAGAAGACCAAGGCATCATAGGGAGTATTGCTTACTGAATTGGAAGTGGATGATATCTCCATCTTGAACAACCTGCAGAGAACAAGAGTGAGCTTTATGTGGTGTGAGTCGAGTTGCGTGCACTTACATATGATTTTCCTTCTTGACGGTACTTGCCAGCGGCTTTGATGGGACCCATAGACTTTTGTCCTTCGCAAAGATCATGGAAGTCTTGATAGGCGACAACCTCAGCCTTGATAAAGCCTCTCTCGAAGTCACTGTGGATAGCGCCAGCGGCTTGCGGTGCCAAGCAGCCCCTGGGAATAGTCCAGCATCGGATCTCCTTCTCACCAGCTACATGCAAGTCAGCATTGACTGTACCCTGTCGGAAGATTTGAACATACCTGTGAAGTAGTATTGTAATCCGAGCTTTGTGAAGCCTTCGGTGATAATTTTATCCAACTTTGACTTGACCTTGATGTCCTTGAGGAACTCAGCCTGAGCGTCAGGGTCATCCTTCAAGCTGTGCAGCTTCTCTTCGAACTCAATCGAAAAGGGAATGATATCACGGGGAGTACCACCATGCTCAGTAACCCACTTGGCAATACCAGGAAGGTACTTGCACTTCTGTCGAAGGTAGTCCTTCATTGTCAAGTTGACGAGATAAATGACTGGCTTGGTGGTGATGAGTTGGATCTTCTCGTTGATGAGGGCGATCTCAGCAGGTGTCCAGCTTCCATCTCGAACTGGTTGGTCCTTTTCCAGCATCTATTTCGTGTCAGTCTTCCTTCCATTTCCCAATTGGCATTGCTCTTCACTGACTTCTTTGATCTTCGTTGTTGTCTCAGTGAAAAGAGGCAGCATCTTGTACTTGCCACCAGCTTTCTTGACGATCAGCTCCTCGGCGACGATTTGCTTCGCGAGAATGTCTTAAGATCGGTGTTAGTTTTTATTTCGTTGCCGAAGAGAAAGTACATACCGAGATCTTTTTTGCAGAGCTCGCTTTGAATGGTGTCTATATGAATCATTAGTCAGTTCAGTTACCTCGTCATGTTGTGCTGAACTAACCCAAGTCTCGAACAGGGTCAATCGAGTCATCGACGTGCAAGACCTGATCGTTATCGAAAGCTCTGTTAATCGAGCCAAGTCAGCCTGGTCCCCCACGGCTCTGTTCGTCCCAAAGCGTACCTGACAATATGGAACATGCCGTCAACAGCTTGAATGTGTGACAAGAAGGCATTTCCAAGACCTTCTCCCTGAGAAGCACCCTTGATCAGACCAGCAATGTCGGTGACCTGAAGATAAGCAGGGTACATAGAAGGAGGCTTCCAGAGGTCACAAAGAAAGTCCTAAGTTCCAACCAATATCAGCCTCCCGCTCACCGTTACTTCGCAGCATCTCAACTTACATATCGCGCATCAGGAACAGCACATCTCGCCTCATTAGGCTCAATAGTACAAAACGGATAATTCTCCGCCGCAGCGCTCTGCTCCGTCAAGAGGTTGAACAAGCTCGACTTTCCAACGTTAGGAAGACCGACGCATCCCATCTTCAAATTCTTGCGAACTCTGCCAAAGGCGACGACATTGTCGATAACGGGCTCGGCTTTCTTAGGAGGCATGGTTTTCGTCGATAGTTCCAAAGATTGTAGATGAGATGTTTTTGTTGGTGTTTTTGCTTGGAGAGTTCAAGGGATGGGATTGTGAGGAAGACTTTTCAGAAGTGGCCTGATAGCCCACTTTAAAGACATGGGTGTAGAGTGTTCTGGCCCGTTAATAAAAAGCCACGTTGATACGCTGTAACCTCAAGAAAATACGAGAAAACGCTGAGTATTGATACCCAGTTAGTTTATTTAATAGCAAATACAGTATGTTAGTTGCGATATCTACAGAGAGGTCCCAGTCTGGTCTATACCGGGTTTCATATCGCCCTGCGAGGGAAGAAGGTATTCGTGAGGGGTATCACGTGAAGGACCCTGAAGATTTAGTGGAGGGGTGGAGATACCGTTAACAGACAGGACTAAGCCTAACTCAGCTTCGGTTAGGAAGCAAGCCCACGTTGAAACGTTGTTAGCACGGCCACAGTATTATCTCCGGCCACGACCAAGCCACCTTTAGGTACTGAACTTAGGATCTCTATCCTAAGAGATGAAAAGCTTTAGGAAAATTTGGTAGAGACTTAGAGGACCGTTAGATCAGGCATTAGGTGATTCACCAACCGGTCTCGCAACAAGGTTGAACCGAACTCTCTAGTCTTATTATTCTAACTAGCACTCTAATTACCAGAATCCATGGGCCAGCCCATTACTTCCAGCACCCCATCACTCCAAGCCAAGACATATCTCTCCCCCTTCACACCAGCCATTACATGTCTTGCTAATATATGTCCAAGTCTACAAGAGACTTTGATGAGTTTTTATCTTCTTAGTTGCAACCAGCGGCTTGAGCGTTTTGCTTGCCCTGAGCTCCTTGGTGGTGACGGGCCTCGAGCTCTCGCTTGCACTTGGCATTGGCGGCGTTGTTCCCGTTAGCGGCGGCGGCAGCAGCGTTGTTGCGGTTCTGGCCATTGCGGTTGGCGCCGGCGGCCTGGGCCTTGTTGCCACCTTGAGCTCCTTGATGGTGACGAGCAAAGAGCTCCTCCCGCTTGTTGTTCTTGCCGTTCCTGTTCTTTGCTCCTTGGTGGTGACGGGCTACTAGTTCCTCATCACGCTTGTTGTTGTTGCCATTGGCATTGCCGTTGGCGTTGCCGTTGTTGGCAGCGGCATTGTTGTTGTTGGCAGCGGCGTTGTTGTTGTTGTTGCAGTCATTGGCAGCGGCAGCAGCTCCGTTACCATTGGCGTTACCATTGGCGTTACCATTGGCGTTGCCGTTAGCATTACCCTGGGCGTTGCCTCCCTGGTTGCCCTGGTGGTGACGAGCTACAAGTTCCTCGTCTCGCTTGTTGTTGGCGTTGCATCCATTGGCGTTGGCATTGGCGCCAGCGTTAGCATTGTTGTTGGCGTTCTGACCCTGAGCCTGGTTGTTGTTTTGGTTGCCTTGAGCCTGGTTGTTCTGGTTGCCTTGAGCCTGGTTATTGTTTTGGTTGCCCTGGGCCTGGTTGTTGTTTTGGCCTTGGGCCTGGTTGTTCTGCTTGTTCTGTCCGCCCTGGTGATGAGGCTATGCTTGTTAGATGAAGTTCTACTAGTAGATATTAAGACTAACCTCTCGTTTCTCAACGCTGAAGATGGGGAGAGCGAGAGCGTCTGCTGGGAGAGCTGCAGCAGCCATCAAAGCCTTGCTCACGTTAGCTTTAAAGTATCATGACCATGGTGAGCAACTTACAGCAACATGTCCAAAGCTTGAGCGAGGAACTCGGCTGTCTTGAGAGAAAGCCTGAGCGGCGAGGACAGTGACGACAACGTTGGAGAAATACATCTTGACTTGGAAGTGATGGAAAAGTGTAGAAGTGGTTTTCTGACCGGCAGGTAAAATGAGAGTGATGTAGAATAAAAGTAGGACTAGCCTTGAAAGTTGATGAGAAGAGAAGAACGTTTGCGTCAAGCAAAGCTAAGCTCAGATGATTGAAGAAGGAAATGTGAGTTGGTTGAAGAATTAAGATCGTAGCTGAAGATGTCAAGCTTCTTATACTGCTCGAATTGGGTATGTTGAGTCTAACTTGAGATGATAACCCCAGATTCTTTGAGTCTTAGAATAGATCTCCCCCTAGATCTCCCAAGTTCAGAGAATCGTCAAACGCAAGCGCCAAGACAAGACCGATAGCGTTTGAAGATTCGTTGGACATGATGCCGACATTGCCGCTTTGTTGAGTCAACAACGGAATAACCGCCGTGTACGAAAAAGGTTCTTCTCCTTGATACCCTCGTCGGCCTCCCACTAGGTAACTTTGGGTCAAGGTGTAGGGACGGTTAGAGCGGCCAATCATGAAACTCCAGCCTCGGCCGAAACCCAAGACCCTGGTCGTTGTTTGCCCAAACGCGAAAACGCGAAGTGACATGCCAAAGTTGTTGGTGGCGCGCCATTGGCGGAAATAAAACTCAAACAAGTTTCGCTGGTTTCACCTGATTGGTCTAGAAGACACGACCCCTGACGGCTACGACGTATAGTGCCTCACGTTGCCTGAGAATATTACTAACCCCTGTTACAGATATTGTCTAGGGCTATAATTCTCGGTGAGTAATGGTTTACTATTCCTGATTCGAGATCTGTCAAACCCGTGAAGCTGGAACATTGTTTTAAGTGGGTGGTCTGGATGACTTGATGTAGGATTCTGTCGTCGCACGAACCATTTCACGTTTCGTCTTGGCGTTTGAAGAGTTGTTATTGGGAGCCGATTATCCGCTCACTGTAGAGACCCAAACGCCAAGTCAAAGAAGACCAATTATAGAATCAGGTTTCTGGGCATTGATATATACATCATTGCTTCAAAACTTGTCGCACTTATTTAATTTTTTTCATCGCCCTGGAGGTTGACTTTCATTCTCTCACTGCAGGCCAGTCATTTTCTTAGACTTTTTCGAGGTTCAGTCAATCATTACAATACGTGCAGCAACAATGGGTTCAAAGTATCGTCCAGTTCCTGAAGATGAGGAGCAACAAACTCATGAGAAGAACGCTCTTTTATCACCTCTGCCCATCTACACCAACATCTCGCCATTCATTTCACAACCAGGCGCACATCCAATCTTGATATGGATATGTCACGGTGTTCTACTCTCTTTCTCATTGGCGTTCTTCGCCCTTTCATTACTACTTCGCGCCAGCCCTTTACAAAGTGGTGTTTGCAATCAGCCAAACTTTCCTTACTGTAAGTATGTCGCGGCCCTTTTCTGACCTCTATTTAACATTGAATAGCTCCCGCAGAAAGCGTTGCGGATTTCCATGCGGTCCGATACAATATTACTCCAGCTCTCGAGATGTCCGAGTTTGTCGGATATGGGCCCGAAGTTGATAAAGCGTGGAACCATGTTACATACGACGTCGGTGATCAAATGATTTCACAAGCTGAGCTTGACAAGCTGGGTCTTGACCCCAAATCTCTCAAGGTGAAGGATCCCAAGACAGGCCATACTGGCTATCGCGTCGGAATTCAAGTGTTCCATCAGCTTCACTGTCTGAACTTGCTTCGGCAAGAAACCTACAGGGATTACTACTCCAAGATGGGTGGCGATATTGAGGTTGAGCCTGAGGACTTGAGAGGACATCTTGGTAAGTCAGACTTTTTCGGCCGGTTGCTTGATCAATGCTAACCTGATTTGTAGATCACTGCATCGAGATTCTGCGAAACAACATAATGTGCCAGAGCGACACTGGTGTTTTCACATTCAAGTATTACGATGGCTATGATGGTCACTGGCCTGATTTTAGCACGCTACATACATGTCGCAACTTTGATGCCATTCGAGACTGGGCGTTTGAGCATGCTGTTGTATTTGGCGATGAGGATTGAACAGAGCGTGAAACTCATTTAGATAGAAGTGTAAAGCCAACTATAGAACCCTGGTGGTAAATAATGAGCCATTAACCTCGATCTTCATTCCCTTATGGACTTGGCTGCGCACGTCTTTAAGTGCAGCAGATTTATGACGTCGGCATTTTTCATGTGATAAATTGTACCAAGCATTATGTGTACCAGAAGTGGTATTGATAAGAGTTTTGACAAATTTTCGACTTACATATGACAACTTCTTACTGGCTGAAATGATGCGTGGAGTTTGTATCTCAGCTGCCAATTATTCACAGAATGAGAGTGTGCAGGCAAGCCGATAACGTCAGATGAAAAAGTCCCTGCAGAGTGCTCATTCAAGCTTAGCCAGGTATGCGTTTTAATTGGGCCGTCTAATTGGGATCCGGTTGAGATAAGATAAGATGGAGCGCGATAAGATCTTCGACACTACCCTACAGAGGTAAATGCAAATAGTGAAGAACTATTACTGACGTGAAAAGACTAAGTATATACGTTTAATAATACTAAATCTATTCTCTGGAATTCCTGTTATCTTTTTCATTATTCTTCTTATACGGTTTCCTCTCAGCTCTGAACAAATTGTCATCCTATTAGTTAACACTTCTCACCAATGACTCGACCATCCTGAGACAGTCAACTCTTCACTCAAGATAATCCCTTCATCCGGGATGACCCAATTGACTCGCCAAGCCGGCATCGGCTTGAACACCAGCATCACCTCCACAATCTATCAAGATAATGTGATCAACTAACATAAGCTTAGCAAAAGTTCTCAACCTCCGGTAGTTAACCATAATGCTTCATTTTAAGCTTACAGGGATGACCCGCCAGATCAAGCCCGTGCGTCGGCAGAAGATCCTTCCAAGACGGGAAGGTCTCTTGGCGTCCGAAGTTCGGCTGTCTCGTATTTCCACGGCGGCCATTTCCTTTAACAGAAGGTCCAGGGGTCCATTTCCGAACACTAGCATAGGTACGGAATAGACACCGCGGCAAGCTGTCCACTCATGAGTCAATATGGCAGGTCAAATTAACGGAACAACTTGTGTAGTTGCTCTTACGGGGAATTGGGATAGATAAGGATGGCGAGTTATGCTGTGATGGGATGGACCTTTGATCTGGATGAACGGAGAGATGGCATAATTGGAAACGATCGCCATGAGATAGTAAGATGGATAGATTATGCCCGCTCTATATCGCTGCTGAGAGCATCAGAAGAACATTATAAATATGAAGTGTAGTTGCATAGATTATAGTCGATATCCTCATCTTCATCTGTCTCTTCACACCTCATTACCGCAACAATGGTTTCCAAGCTCGCTCTCGCTCTCTTCTTCGGCAACGCCCTAGCTGGTCTGGCCGGACGTGCCATTCCTCCTCGCTGCGCCATCGCAGACCCTACCCCCGAGCAAGTCCATCACGCTCAGAACCTCAAGAAGATCGAGTCCGTCTCCAAAGTCGCCGCTACTTCCATCACCGTCGACACATACTTCCACGTTGTGTCCTCTTCCTCCTCAAAGTACATCACCAAGGCTAAGCTCCAAGCCCAGCTCAAGGCCTTGAACGACGCTTACGGTCCTCATGATGTTACCTTCAACCTCATCGATACCACTTTCACCACCAACTCTAACTGGGCTGCTGGAAATGGTGAGGTTGCTATGAAGAGACAGCTTCGTCAGGGTGATTACAAGACTCTCAACTTGTACTTCACTGATGTTGCTAAGCTTGATGGTCTTGACGCTCTTGGATACTGCTTCTTCCCTGAGCCTAATGTCTCAACTGGATCCTCGACCTTCATCCGCGACGGTTGCGTCATTGTCGCTGAGACTGTCCCCGGAGGTTCAATGGCTCCTTATAACCTCGGTGGAACTGCCGTTCACGAGGTCGGTCATTGGTTCAACCTCTTCCATACTTTCCAGGACGGTTGCACTGGTGGAGATCTGGTTAGCGATACCCCTGCTCAGGCTAGCCAGACCAGTGGATGCCCTGCTCGACGGGATAGCTGCCCTAACCAGGCTGGTGATGACCCCATCCACAACTTCATGGACTACTCCGATGAGTAAGTTATTCCCGAAACGTTGATTAATATAATCACTAATAGTTATTGTAGTGTTTGCTACGAGGAGTTTACCCCTGGCCAGAAGACCCGCATGCACAGTGCTTGGACCACTTACCGCAAGTAGATTTGAAACGATGAGATGAGATGAGATGAGATGACATGTATATAAATGTTTGTACATATTTCTGCATGGGAGCGATGTGGAGTTTGCGAGTTGATGGGAATGACTGTATTGGTGTTATCTGGCGCGAGTATGAGATTAGATATGAAGAGACGAGTTGATCTGAAACGTTTCACATGTTTTTGTGAGCATTATACCCCGTACGGGTATAGTGAAACCCCTGTTCCTTCGGTAGTCGCCGTAATGCCATCTCAAATGTCGGCAAGTCCCGAGTTCATTTAATTGGCTGCTTACACGATTGAGTCTCAATTACTAGAGGAACTTTAGGCAAGTTTACTATAGTTACTCTAAAACTCATCATAGGTTTAGTCCAGTTACTTTGACCAAGCTTAGTGTAGTAAACCCTGAACTCTGATTATTTATCTATTTTTCTTCAAGTTGGCGCTCATCATACCATTAGTTGCCTGGTTGGCGCGTTCATCCATTGCTGATGGCTTTAAAGCCCGCACAGCAGCGAGGATCTCCTGCTGACTGGTCTCAACAGTCGCAGGCCGAGAAATATCCTTACAGAGCCCATTGGCCTTCTCAATCTTAAGTAAAATATTGGCTTGAGTCGTCTTCCCAGCCTGGTACTCTTGCAGTAGTTGATTGAGGCTTGCAAGGACCTGACCTTGCGAACTTTCAAGGGACCAAGGTTGAGTGGTGAACCCGACAAGGGAATCTGGTTGGTAGGAGAGGATGGTACTGGTGATTGATGGTGATGGTGATGGTGATCGAGTTTGAGGCTTGTGCTTGTGGTCTTCGCAAAGGGGCTGGGGGCACGCGCTGTGTCTGGCGCTGACGCGACGAGGTAGTTGAGGACTGCGCACGGGATAAACCACGTGCGGTACCACGTGCGGTACCACGTCACTGTCGGGCTGTAGTGCGCATTGCTGGTGATCTGATAAAATAAAAATAAAAAGAAGGACAGGCGGCCACAGCTCTCAGAGTGTGATGTGACGGATGAGAGGTTTGAAATAAAGATATCAGAACTTAGGGAAAAGCCCTCTCAACCTAGTATAGCCTTAGGGGTACCTTTTCTAAAGGACCACTGGGCAAGGCACGCGATATTTCTTGGCCCTCAATCAGATTCAACTCGGAATAACATTCAAGGACCGTAGTGACTGGCGATCGATTCGGAGCTGGAGCTGAGGCTATAGCAGAAGGAAGAGCAGGAGCAGGAGGTGAAGCAGGAGATAGAGCACTAGTAGGAGCAGGACTGGGGGTGAAGGTGTGGCTGTACCCGGTATTGTGGTTGGTGATGGAGGAAGAGGGGGTGTTGCTGCTGTAGACCGGGAAGCAGGGACTGCTGTAGACTGACGCTGCCTTTGGCGCTGTCGAGAGGCAAAGGTTGATGATTGCGCACGTGGTATCCCAAGTTCCAACCACATGACCGTCTTGTTGAGCGGCGCATTGCTGGTAACGTAAATGGGGGAATGGACAAAGAACAAACAGGCGGTAACTGTGCAATATGAGGCCTGATGAGCGACACGTGGTATGGGCAGGGTCTTCAGCCCTAGATACGTGAATTACAAGCTTTTCAGTCTCTCAAAAACTCTACTTGAGTGACCTCCTTGGTTCAATCTTGTCTCCTAGCCTGGTAATTTTGGAAATAATGAAAGTTCTCGATTACCTAGAGCAGCGCAATGATGAAGAAGGATCACGATCACTTATTCGTCCAAGATGTGATGAAAATTAAAAAATTAGTTTAAACTTAGGTATGTGATGAGGTTTCAGCTTATCTTGGGCTGTTATGTGGGTAAGTTGGCATGCTGCCTGACGTATGTTTTTGAAAGTGCTATTTTGAGTTGGTTAACCTGATAGCTGATGTATCAGATACCAATCAGATTCTACTCAAGATAACGTTCAAGGACCATAATGAACCCAAGTTGCCCAGAATCTCGGATCAATCCCAGCTTGTCGCTGTTCCAGAACAGCTAGTCTCAACGCCCTCGCAGACCGATCTCCTGTAACACCTGGACCTTCTTTCAGTAAATCACCATAAAAGACCTTGGAGACAAGACCGCAAGTTTCATCCTCGGCTTTCCACAAACTAGCCACTACACAGGGTACACCAGCCATTTGAAACCCGGCGGCAAGATGGATTGATTCCTGAGGGAGCATTGGGTCACCTGTGATAGCCGTCTCACATGCTGATACATAGATGAGAGAGCAGTTTAGCTTCTTTGGCGCTGACATCATGCTTTGAACGTCGAGGACGTTTCCTCTCATGATTTCGCCATTTGCATCTTGGGTGTACCAGTCTCGAAGGAGGAGACCACTGCGCGCTGGGTTTAAGTTGTCCACTTCGCCGTGGCAGGCGAAGTGGGCGACCTGTGAGTTTAATAGGCCCATGAGTGCCTCTTTTCGGACTGGGCGGTCATGGATTACGGCGTCGTATCCTCCGCGAGTGAGAATTGTGTCAATAGTGTCGATCTCGCTTGAGGCATGTTGCAGTGGCGCAAGGTGATCTGTGGTCTCCATCTTAACCAGCATCGCTTTCTGATGTCCACCATTTTGCATGATCTCTTTCTCACGATCTCTCACAAATGATAATCCTCGAAGGGTATTTGTATAGGATGGAACGCATCGATCGAGCACCGTGCAACGCTCTCCCGTCTCTACCGCACGTCGATGATCTCCAGCCGCATGAATGGGCCAAGCATTAATGCTGCTCGTCGTCAACCACCAGACTCTCGGCAAAATTCCGTCTTTAGGAGCCCCATCGTACCCCAGGCTGAGTAGAATCGGTTCTGCTACAACTTCCCAGAGCCATGTGAGTAGATAATGTAGAAGATCCCCACGCTGACCATCTCCGTCATTCGACATATCAATGGCTTCGCGAAAGAGTTGCTTGTGCTCCCTGATGTCATCGACAGTGAATTTGGGAAGTGAGATTTTCCGGATGTCAGTGGTAGTAATGATGAGAGCGTAGCCCCCACTCAGAGGTTCCGTTTCGACAATGACGATTGGACCAGACTCAGCAAGTTCATAGAAGTGCGAGTCCTCGCGTGGAAGCCTGAGAAAATCCCGGAACCCATCCTTTGCTCGGATCTCGGCTATCAGTTCCTGAAACGAAGTCGACTTGTTGAAAGCAGCCTGACTCTGCAAAAACCTCTTATCAAGATCGAAGCGTGCCGCGCGTTGGCCCCTGACCTTCTCGGAGTTCCTCGCTTCGATGAACCGACTTGCCAAATCTGGGAACTTCTCCTTCAGCTGGTCCAGGCCAGAATCCACGCCCTTGTTGAGAATCTCCTCCCACAAGACACATCGACTTCTCTCATATAGTTGAAGTGCTTCGAACACTGGATCTCCAGCGGCAATCGAAAAGCAAAGAGCAAGTGTCGGCACGGCTTGAAACTTCTTCGCTTGTCGTAACTGATCAGCCCGCGTGGTACAAGCATATACCGCAAAAGGGAGATCCTCAGCTGCTTCTCGGATGTAGTTTCTTGCAGCTGTCGAGTCCTTTGCCACCAGATGCGCAAACATAGATGCATAGACTTTCATCCACGCGAGCGCATGACGAGCGATACCTGGTGCCGATGCGAATTGAGCCGTCATGATCAAGTATGCGTTTGCAGCGACGGTGCTCAATGGAGCGGGACTGACAGTATAGATTGCGATGAGTAGTTCGGCTTGATTGATGAGCAGGCCTCCACGGTTAATGTCGTCCATACCACCCATCGAGATGCACTCTTGGAAGTTCACGAGCGCATCACGAAGGTCTCGCAGGCTGAGTGTCTTCTTAGCTCTGTACTGCAACGCACGCGTCAAATTAACCCGCGCTGAGAATAAGTAAAACTTATCCATGCATCCACAAGAGAGAGCCTTGTTGAAGTTATTCTCAGCTTGAGCAAGAAAACTTAGATCTTCTTCTCGGTGGTATTGGCGAAGATATGCTGTTCCCAGCATATTATGCAATGCCGAGATTTCGACCGGTGGGAGGTTGAGATTCCTGCCCAGAACCTCCTCAACCATCTGACCAGCTCTGATGACATCTCTGACATCCTCGGTATCGTCGTATCTGAGCTGAAGGGCGTGACTGAGGCTTCTTGTCCTCGACCCAGCTCGAACCTCAGTAGGCCCAGTTGCTTCGAGACACTTCTCAAAAGACTTGATGGCTGTGTTGATATCTTCCAACCTCCCTGAGAACTTGAACTGATACATGGCTGTGTTTCCGAGGCCATGCGTCAGCATAATGTTCATAGTACCAGCAGAAGATCCCTGCTCTTTTGAGACGTCAAGGCCGTCCTGATATGCTTCAGTGGCCTGTGAAAGATACTTGACATCGCCGGTACATTGGCATTTGACGATGTAAGCGTTGCCGATGTCATTCGTAACAGTAAGATAAAAGGGATCTGTTCGTGACGCTAATTCTTTCGCTGCAACAAGTGCCGTTAAAGCACCATCGATGAATTGCTCTTGCCCCGGAATCTGAGCTGACACAAAAGCAGCCCTCCCAGAAGCTCTCAAACATCGAGCTTTCATAGGGTCTTCGAGGTCGTTGAGAAAAGGCAAGACATCGAGATTTGCCTGACATGCGTTACGTAAATCATCTTTGTCTCCATTAGCTTCGAACCTGAGGAGAAGTGCTATAGCGAGTTGTTGGTAACAGTTGATCTGTTGGTGACCTTGTAAATCTGGATGGTCGAGGGCGTCTTGTAAGCACTTAACAGTCTGGTCGATTTCTGAGAGCAGTCCAGTTTTGCTGAATTGCTCTTCATGAGCACCCGCTTCTCTGATGAGTCGTGCTGGTGGTTTTGGTGACTGGTCGATGATCTGTAGCTCATTCATCCGCTCGACAAGCTTGTCTGCTTCGATTTGCGTTTCTCGGTGATTGTTCTGTTCAGCCCTCTCACCCAGTGCATTCGCCAACTCTTCCAGTGCATCTGTCGAGTTTGGATGAACCCGAAGCGCCTGTCTCAGGTAGCCGATTTCTGCAGAAGGGTCTCTGGCATTCTCTTCTTCATTCAGCTTCTGCTGTAGCGACGCCAGGTTGATGAGACAATTAAAACGATCTTTCGAACGCTTCTCTTCAGAAACTGCGAGGCCTCTGTTGAGAGAAGCTTTAGCCTTTCTGAGGTTCTCGATATCCTGGTTCAGGTCGTATAAGTGAACGAAACACGCGGCGCGAGCACGATGGATATCTGCAATGGTGTATCTGAAAGGCGTTGAGTCGAACTGGTTTGGGACAGAATCCTCAGCTAGCTGGAGAGTAGCCATACTTTCACCAAATAAGCTTTCCTGCTTTTCCTTCTCATATAAGGCCCTCTCCTGTTGTAGCTTTGCCAAACCAAGATAGAAAATCGGCTTCCCTGGGAAATCAGTTGCCAACGCTTCATGGAAAGCCGCAGTCGCATCCTCAAAGTCGACGTCTTCGTGTGTTGCCTTGTACCTTTGTGTCAGAATATCGCCGAGGTCATCCAGATGCAATGCTCGGTTTGAATGATCCCGCGGTCCAAATTCAACAGCCTTTCTGAGATATTCCACTGCCCGATCCAGAGCTTCAGACTCATTATCTGGAGCTGCAACCTCCCATTGTCTCCGCAGAACTCTTCCAAACATGCTGACAACGACCCCTCTCATAGGCTCGCTTTTGAGAACGTTGAAAACAGCCAGAGCGCCCAAAATAGCGGCATCCTTCAAGCCAGACGTATTGTTGCCGACGCCTCTCGTCATTAAGACTTCTTCACTTGCCATAGAGAATCGCCTTGCTCTCCCAGAGCGATCTGAAAGCATGACAGCATAAATATACTTGCATGTTTCCGGATCCACGTCCTTTAGAAAATCTTTACTACGGCAGAACTGACCGTCAGGAATGAGCTCTTCATCTTGCTCTTGAGATGCAATCAATGTTGCCGCATGTTCAAGCTGACTTGTGAGATCTGATGCCATGGTGAATGTTGTGAGAAGCCGGCACTTGAGCAATCATTTAGTGACAGGAAAAGAGGGGAAAGATGACTTGCGCAAGCACTAAGGATCAGTAACAAGACATATGATCACTGGACTCTGATGCGGGGTTTTCATACTAATGTATGTAAGAAATTTGAAACATTGGTTCCAGGTGACATAAAGATTGAAACGATGTTAGGACAATTTGCGGGCAATTTAAAGGCGTGGTAGACGAGTTTATTTTTCATCGATTATCGAACGGCCGAGACAATTGTGCAATCAGACCAGCTGATAGGGTACAGTATCACAAGCTGAAGCGCAATGTGACATTGCGCGCATAAATATTGGCACACTATTAGCGCCACCTCGGCTAAATCGGGTTGAGATACGAGGTATTTGTGCTGCCTTGCGTTTACCCAAGATAAGAACTGACTTACTACCCCCCCATCACATAACAAAGTCTTCCAAATAACTAACAATAATGGGCAAGGCTTTAGATCTCAAGTATGCCGAGCTCATGCGAGCGCATCCTTTCGGCACGGCGTTGTACCTACCAATTCCCTCGAGTCAGTTTCAGCCCGGATTCATCGGATACTTTGACTCGACTGGGGCCTGGAATCCTATCGGAGACCTCGCATCTTCGTCAAGCTTGCCACCGGGTTTGTCATCCATCGACGGCACAACATTGAAGCGAGCGCCGTCTCAGAAACAAATGTGGGGACCAAAGCTGGGCAACGAGACAAGAGGTCACGCTATTGATCTGAGTGTCGGCCTTGGGGCCATACCTATGCTGGCTGCAGCTGCACTGCCCTTCGAAGTTTCTGCCTGCTTCCGATTCCAGGCAGATAAAAATCATGGAGCAGTTCTTCTGACCAGTGGTCCTGTTGTCCATGAGCGGTATTATCATAAAGAGCCTCTCCTTCAGTGGATGAAGCAAAACGCGAAGAGCATAGTGAAAACATATCCCGAGGTCAGAGAAAACGGCTTGTGGATTATCAGTTCTACGTGGACAGCAGAGAATGCATCGGTCAATTGCTGGAACTCCAAAGACAAAAGCGTTGATGTTGGGTTCAGCACGACGGCCCTTGAGTTTGGCGAAGTGGCTCCAAAGGGAAGTTACCTGCACGGAGGGAGTGCAGAAGGATGGATAAGCACTCAGAGTGATGATGTAAGTTCTTATTTCCCTCTCTGCTGATTGCTTAATTAACAGGTACAGAACGACAAAGGCCATGTTGTCTTCTTCCATGGCATCAGATTCACATGGGTTCCCATTCGCGGAGTGAGTCACCAAGCTGAACCGTGAAATGCATGGAAGCTAAATAATTGCAGTTGACAGAGAAGAAGACCCCCAGACAATTTCGAGGAGAGGGTCCAACAACGCCCGCATCTCTGACAATATTTGAGGACGACTTGGGCAATGGGACTTTTGAAGTACGGTATGAAGACCAAACTGAGAAGGAGGAACAAGATACAGTGCACCAGGACGACGATGAGGAAGACGCGTGGGAGTAAACATTGCTGTGTGATGATTGAATGTCAAAGGTTACTAAGTAATTATTTAACACCAAGCGGAAAGTGTCCTTATACTTTGACTTCTGAACCCATCATAATTGTAAGTTTTGAAGAGGCCAGGAGTGCAGTAATACAGCTCATGCTGTCAAGTCCTGACTTTTAAGCGAAACTTATACATCAAACCAGAGCCACTAGTAGAGCACTGTGCCTCATATAACACTGTGATGGGGATATATACTTTCGTGAACAAATACGCTTGAACGTTAAGGATTGGGTGTTTTGCCTTGAGCCTTTGCGCTAGAACATGTTTAACTTTTGACTTTTGTAATACAACTAAAGTATTTCTTTTCTTATCACTAAGATGATTTATTTCTTTCATATAAGGGACTACGAACTAAGACCTACGTCTCAAGTTTTCTTTTCCTTTTCATTATCCATGTTTCACAAATCTTGCTACATTTCATTATACAGGAGGCCGCCCTCCACAATCTCCATAACCACTCTGCTTTATGGTGATCTCGTTGGATCAACCGAATAACCATAATGGATCTTCTCGACAAGCTGAAAAGCCTGACTGTCCGCAAGCCACATGGAAAGTCTATCCCCCCAAGCCAGATGCTGATACCAAAACCGGTCCAGAGCGGTCATGGCTCAGAAAGCAGCAAGAAGAGAGTTCGCCCCGCAAAGATACCAGTCGCTGTCATTGATATGCTAATCATGACCAAACCAAAGTCATCACCACTGAAAACCCTTCAAAGCCTCCCTACAGAGCTTTTGATTCAAATCGCTACTCTCCTCACCCCAATCGACCGCGCAAGCCTTGCCTTCACATCAAGTTGGCTTCATGGGCTTTTCGGCAACGCCACAAAGCTTAACGGATTCGATCGTTGGAAACTTCTTAAACGGCTTGAACAAAGCAACATGTGGCCTTCTGAAATCCTCTGCGAGATTTGCCAGAAATTTCATGAGCCTCGCAAGAGCCGCCGAACATTCACTGAAAAAGAAGGCCAGCGAGCCTGTATCCGTAATGGCGCTTCACATCTTCAGCGATTGTCCATATCTCCGTATCTTTCGAGGGAGATTCATTTCGATGTCATGGCGGCTATATCGAGGTCTCACCATTTCACGCCAAATGCGCTACTTCCAGGCGAGCCAAGTGTACAGTTTGTGGCACCGTATGTCAATGATGAGGAAGAACTAGTTATACGGCTACAGCAGACTGTACATTTCTCCCATCAGGGGCACGTCCTCATAAAGTCACAGAGGATACTGTTTCCCGGACGAGATGCGGGCCGCGAGGCGAATAAGATCATTCAGGGTACTGGAACTCTACACCGGGTTCTTCAGGAGACCTCCGAACTCGGTACGATCTGTGGGCATGCTAGGTGGGCTGATATTTATCCGTTCATCACTCGCCCAGACGAGCAGTTTGGATGGCACCAAGGACAATGGTCATTCCGCCATTCATCATTACAAGAGTTTGACCTTCCCGGCGAAGAACTACAAGAGTGTCTATGGGCTCACAAGGGAGATTGCTGGGTGAACTGTCAAGCAAGGGCAAGGCTTGACAGCGCCCTCGAAGGTCGCATATGGTCTTGTGGCGGTTGTTCAACTGACTACGCCGTCAACATCATCCGATCAGAAAGCTCGTGCGCGAATTATATTGTCATGACATCGTGGAAAGATGTCGGGACTTGTATTAGAAGGGATGATCCGCTGTGGAAGGAGCATATGAACTACGGTGTTCATGCGGGCCATAAACGCGAAGAATTTGGTAAGATCGCGGGTGAGATTGAGAAGTTGACGAGGGGCCTCGGGAGGCAAGTGTACTATTTCCCTCGCATTTCGAAGAAAAGGCTTCGGGAGATGTTCATTGATGAGGGAGGATGTGAGGAGAAGATGATCACAAGAGATGTAGAGGTACATTCGTGAGGTTTTTTTCTTGCCTGTCACTCGTAGAGCACGAACCGAGGGATGCAGAACACGGCGACCTCTGTAACAGCTAGCTCAACATTGGTTCAATATGTCCATACACGGAGAAAAGAGGAAGGAGGTTTTATACGAGGCTGACGAGTCTAGTCGATTAGCAAGGTTCTTATGTTACTGGTCGTAAGAACTGACGACCTTACTCTGAGAGGGTTGACCTGGCATGCCCTGAACTGTTCATCATCAGTGACACGGATGATATGTGCCCCTTCAATGTGCATTTCACTCCATTCAGCCCATGTCACAGAACCAGACTGACTGAATGAGCGACGGGGTCCACTTGGCCGATCTCGAGCGCCTCTCCCGACTTAGGTAAGATTAGCTCTCCGTCTTATGTGAGATTGAGTTCACGGATGTAAGTGCCGAACGGGAGGCTTGGCAGGCAACATGTCGATCAAGGTCCAGCCAATCAGCAATAAAAAACACAGCTTAGGCACGGATAGTATCTCCCTCTTATTCCAGGCATAGCCGACCTCAGGAAAGGCGCGTGGTTGACTGGCGGTTTAACATGTAGCGCACGTGGCTATGCTTCCTTTTCTGGCACGGCTCTATCAGAATGTCAGGTCATAAGATCATCCTCCCGAAAGACTCTGCAGGGCATCCGTAAGGTTAAATTTACACTGCTGAGGGAAAGGTGGTCCTACTCATCCACCCGACCAATCTTATGGTAAAAGCTGTTTGATAGGGTTGTTTCAACTGAGCGCAAGACGAGAAATGCGACCAAGAGAAAAGTAGAACGTGAATCAATGCAAGATCTCTGTTTCATTATAATATTATTAAAACTAATTACGAACCTAAAGCGTTCATATGAAAACATCATTCTGGAGCGTATTATGAGAGAGTCATCACAACCCATTTGATACAGATGTCACTACCGTCCAATCTTCTGGTAGTCCCGGAGGTCTAGAATCATCGGTCGTTTATCCAATTTTGTCTAACTCAGACGCCGAGGTAAATCATTAGGCTAAAGAAAACGAAGTTTCACACAGATGCAACTCGAAGAAGAAGGAAGTAGTTCAAAGGTTCCGGCCAAATTTGGTTGTTCTTGAGATGGGTGCGGAGTTCAGTAATCAAATGGATACATCGCCATCCTTGTCTCGCTTGTGAGCAAGCCAATGATGCAAGGGCCGGAACGAGCAACCCAATCATAGAGGGATCGGAACGGACAATGCCAAGACTTACGGGCCCATAGATATGTTTGTCTTAGTCAGAAGCAAGGGCATGGTCATCTCAGTATTGTAGGATGTGAATCCTTTGAGGGTTGTATAACCACCCAGGGGCAGAAGACGTACCGTATTGAGGAATTTCGCGAGAGACCATCTCGAGGAAGTGAGAATGGGTTTGGTATAAAGCTGCAAAGCTTACATCTTCCATTTTTCAGAAACATCCTTTAAGCTTCTTTTTAAGCTAATTGCATCGAGGCGTGAGCATGCGGGTACTTCGCAGCGGCGATGCCGCCGTCTTAATCATACTTGGCCTTCTTCTTTGCCCACACGTGAGCGTTTCTCATCCCACAGATGGCATCTCACCCCATGGGAGCGGCAATGCGCCCGATGTCAATCACCTGGACGTTCGAGGCCATGACTCTCAAGAGTCGACGAGCATTACTGACTTAGACCCGGACGGATTCGACAACTTGACTGCCACGGTTGATCACACGTCCGGCCTTGATCGCAGAGCTGCCAAGGACTTTTACCTGAGAGTAATGCCACTTGGTGCTTCTATCACTCAAGGCTACAAGTCAAGTGATGGCAACGGCTACCGCAAGTGGCTTCGATCTCAGCTCCGTTTCCATGGCTGGAAAGTCAATATGGTAGGATCGGAGAGGGATGGTACTATGGCAGACTCGGTGAGTTGAACAAGCTTGGAGCTTTATGCAGTGGCAGAGCTAACACTCGTCAGGACAATGAAGGCCATCCTGGTTGGATGATCAACTCCGTATTTGGCGCCTGGAAAGAAAGCAAGTGGATGAAACCCAATTTGGTCCTTATCAACGCAGGATTGTCAGTACATCATGCTGATATGTTCGATATGCTCAGCTGACATGGTTACAGGAATGACTGCAACAAGGGAGGTGATCCGAGCAAAGCAGGCGAGCGAACCAAAGAAATGGTAGATGACATATTCGCAAGCGTCCCTGGCGTAACAGTCATTCTATCCACCCTCCTCAGGAACGGAGATCCGGACCGAGATGCCTGCACCAAAGACATCAGCAGGCAAATTAGGAGCGTGGCAAAGGGATACAAGAAGGGAACCCGCATCGGACTCGCTGATATACGCGATGTCATGAAGCTGAGCGACATTGGGCCGGACAACGATCATCCGACCGACGATGGCTACAAGTGGTTTGCTGGGGTCTGGTGGGATGCCATCAGCCAGATCGAGGATCGCATCCAGCCACCGGCAGCAGTCAGCGGTATCAACGATGCAACCACCGGACAGACCAACCAGTGCAAAAAGGTTGCTGGAAACTCGGGCCTGCCCGCTCAGTCTCAACTTGGGAGTGGCCACGATGATGGCAACTACGTTCATGCGAGCACTGCGCGCGGGACTATTGACAGCGCCGCTATCGACAAGGGTAGTGATCCCAAATCCATTACTGATGCAATCCCTTGGCACATCTTCTTTGCCAATATTGTCAAAGGCGACCCCAATGCGGCTCGCACGGCCGCTCTCGATGATTGGATCCGCGTTTACCACAATACCAAGGACAAGAACGCATACTGGTTCCGTCAGAACCTGGGAGGAGGCAAGTTTGACAAGTCCGTACAGTTTGACGTTGACATGAATTGTGATTTGGGTCCTCGTAAGTACTCTCAGGTGCTGCACAGTTCCGAAACGATGCTAATAGTGGTTTTAATCAGGCTATGCATTCGCCGATCTTGTGAGCATAACTAAAATAAGACGCTTTTGACCTGGAAGAGACTGACAAATGGAAGAACAATGATGGCCTGGATGACTTTTTCTGCATCAAGGAGAACGCTGTGTGGGCCTCACTCAATCGTGGCGGGAACCCCCCAAAGTTCGAAAGTATCGGGCAAATTATTGGCGATTTTGGTGGCTTGAAAGCAACCGATGTACGCATCGCAGGTCAGTGGTTGTTGCAATCATCCCTCTTGCCCTGTTACTGATTCGAGTTCCAGACATCGACGGCGATGGAAGAGCGGACTTTTGCCTCGTCAAGTCCGCAGGCGAGATTGGGTAAGCAATCTCTGATCACGGCAGGTTTGATAGCTGACAGTGCCAGATGCTCCCGGAATGGTGGCTGGGGTGATAAACCACAATGGCAGGGATTCAGCACAGTTGATGGAATCCGTGGCACTGTCTTTGACATCGATCTCCCGGATAAGTCCGGTATAATCCTTGGTAAGTGCTATCCTGATATCACTTCTTGACCAAGACTCTAACAGAAGCGGCAGCGGATATCAACGGAGAGTATGTCACATTGACGCCTGAAGTTTGACGGGTGAAGGCTGGCAATGCCTATACTGACATTTCTACGTAGCTTCCGGAGCGATGTCCTATACATAGGTGGTAATGGCAATGTCCGAACATGGGTCAACAATAGAGGAACAGGCAAGGGAATAGTGAGTCTAAGATACAAAGAATGATCAAGATTGAAAGCATGCCTTTATTAACAACAGTCAACAGGTGCCCAATTGGAGATCTGCAGGTCTTACGCACGCCGGTCAAAGCTCCACTGGCGTCCAAGACAGCATCAAATTTGGGCGCATCTACGGCTCCAACCGCCTCGACTATATTCTCCTCAAGGAACAGAAAGATACTTATGATGTTCTTGTCTGGGAGAACAAGGGAGAGGGCGGCACGAAGCTCAAAGCCGATGGCAGCTATTACTGCGATATGCGCAACTCTGGCAGCGACGACCTCGTTTGGATCTATCAAGACGGTAGGGTCGATGAGATCAACGTCAACATCCACTCACCGCCTGCATGGGGCCATGCTATCTCGTTTGACCTCAGGGTTCCCGGACCGAGAAACGGCATACACTTGGCCGATTGGACGGGCGATGGCAAATGTGACATCATTGTACAGGACAAGGCAACTGGGGCTCTGACTATCTATCAGAATACTTACCAAACGGCGTCTGGCCGCATGACGTTTGACAGCAATACTCTTCATGCATCGCCCGGTTGCAACCAAGGCTGGGGTGTCGGTATATTCGATCTAGGAATGAGGATTCACGACATCGAGTAAGTCCTCCATAGGCAACATCTTGTCCATGGCCCGCCTCCAACTTGGCCATGTCGAGGACTAACAAATCTTACCAGCGGTGATGGGCGAGCTGATGTATTGTGCATTGAGAAGAACGGACTCATTACGGGTTGGCTTAACAAGGCCTCCGGGTTAGAATCCGTTGGCCAGGTCAAGTTCTCAGAGGGATGGTGAGCTACAATTCCCGCAACTACGCCTGCTTCTACTCACTACTCCTCAAGGGATCGAGCTAGCATACGGTTTGCCGACGTGGAAGCGTCTGGACGAGCTGATCTTCTACATGTCGACAAGTACACGGGAGCTGTCAATGTCTTTACCAACAATGGGCACAAAGCTCAAGGAGGGAGTTCCTTCTCTTGGACCAACCGCGGAATGCTCTACAACCCCATTGACCGGGGCGAGAACATGGTGGGTTGATACTTCTATGACTGATGCTTGCTGGCTGATCCATTATACTTAGCACTTTACCAACCAAGGCGGTTTAGGAAGAGCTGATATGGTCAAGCTTGATCCGTCAACGAACAAGGTTTGTTATTGAGCTCAAAAGCTGCTCTTTTGAAGTTGGTGTTGGCGTGGCTGACACCTGGAAACCAGGCATGGACGTACTGGAACAAATGTGGCTCAACTGGTGGAGACGATGCTCCTGCAGACAGTAAGTAATCATCACTCTTTACATGGCATTGTGTCTTATACTAATCTTACATTACTAATTACAGAGGACCCTGGTCTACCCAAGACAGGTGGCGGTTCCGTAGGCGATGACATCAAGGAAATAGATCTACCTGAGAAGGGCGTGGACAGCGACAAGATTTGCAAGATGAACTTCGACTCCAAGGACCAAGCCAAGATATCCGAGACATGGACCAAGAGCGGTGCGGCCCAGTGGTTCAAGGACTTCATCACCAAGAACAAGGCCGAGAACTGGACAGATAAGTTCTTCAAGGCCGTCATTGCCGGTGGTCAGCAGGGCGGATCAACAATGGACTGCAAGGATCTCGGATCGACAACGTGTGTTGGACCTGGCGCAACGGCTTGCACAACGTACACGCCGCCCGAAGCCTTTTATGTCCATGTACAGATTTCCAATCTGTTCAGTGCTCTTCACAAGATCTGGACAAAGTCTGTCAACTTCAGTATTGACCAGCTATCAGGCGGTATCAAGGATATCGTCGATAAGTATGGTGAACCGCCCAGCGACGACCGTGCTTTGATCCTCAACATGCTGGTTGGCATCCTTACCTCAGGCGCCGGCCTTGGAGCAAAAGCCCCTGGCATCTCAGGCTCCCTGACTTTCTTGTCGGGCGCCTTCGCCCAGGCGTCTGCCAACAGTGGAAGTTTCAGCAAGGTGGTCACCAAGGAAGATCTCAAGGACGACCTGGAGAACGCCTACGGTAAGGTTTTTGGTGCCATACTCAACGTTACCAACGGATATGTCGAGGGAGTCCTCTCAGGTAAGCTGCCTGATGAAATCAAGGACACTACCGCCGAGGACTTTGTTCTCGACAACTTTGATCAGGGCCAGTGGCTATCAGAGCCGGCTGTCACAGAGGCGATGAAGACATACGTCGAGGGCACGCATAAGAAATGGGTACGTTGCTGTTCTTTGTCGGCTGATTGTTTGTGTTCCTGTCGAACTGACCTTTATCGCAGCTCGAGTTTGCAAAAACGAGAGCGCTTATGAATGGCAATGGCAAAATTGATGGGTGGTATGCTTTAATGGCGAGCCATGTATGTATTCGCTTCCCTTCCTCTTCAAAATGCTTCGCTGACTTGACCTTCCTCCCTGGTAGCCCGACGATGAGTGCAGCCTGGTACGTTTTCCTTACCTTCTGCTCCTTCCTAATATCACTCTGACTTTTATATGCAACAGCGAAGAACTGAGCCGAAAGATCCAACAGATTGGACGCAAAAGCTAACAGAGGAAGTCTGCACTAAGAAGTTGCCTGGATGTATCTGGCATGATAAGGTATGACTTTTGATGTTCACCCGTCAATGAAGATACCCAGCTATACTAGACTCCCTCCCCCAATCGTACACCTCAACTAACAAGTCGTGTCGTTTTATAGCGCTGCATATGCTTCGGACATAGTGACCACCGTTATCAGGGGGGAACGATTCGACGGTTCGGAATTCTATATAACGACGACTTCGTTTCCGAGATCACTGAGATGGAGAAGGTTGTGGACGACTACAAGGCCGCGCTTATCAACAATTACGAGTGCAATAATGGTGAGCCCTCGGTGCCTAGCCAAAAGGACTTGGACATCAAAAACCCTATCGCATACCCCAAATGCTTTATCTCATTTTATAGGCTGAAGGAAGATGAGAGATTCTATTGCGAGATTTCTAAGGAGCTTTGGTAAATGCAGGTTACCACTTAGATTAACTTAGACTAGCATTCCATGATATTGGGTGATCTCTCATCTCATTATCATTGTAGAAGGAATATCTTGTATCAATAAGAAAAGATTCATTGTATAATCACGCATCCTGACAATAAAAGAAAGTCTTCTAGTAACCGCTCAGAAATATCTCCACCCAAGCATACGGATAACATCCCAATCATCCTCAAACTGATATCCCAAACCTTCACCCGCCCTCTTCACCATCGACGCACCACGACACGCAGGCTCTTCTTCCGTCTCGGTTTCAGTAGGTGTCGTCAAAGTAGTCGTCACAGCAGTAACACCAGCGCTAGAGCACGCATCATAATACTTCTCAGCCGAGTCACAATACGTAGCATAAGCGGGAGTCTCGCTTGGGAAGATGGTAGTAGCTTCGGGGTCTTGACGGCGAACAAGTTGTTTGTTGGTGGGTCTTGCAGTGGGCCAGCCTGTTGGGATGCGATATTCCCACCGCTTGGATAAAATGGTCTCGGTACTTTGACAGGCTTATTATTCAATTGCTAATGGAATTTTTGGGATGTTTGATAGGACTTACACTGTGTATGGGCTGACGGTGATCACATTGAACTCTTCACAGTCATCGATACGATCTTGCAAGGGAGGTGAGCCTCCAACTGAGGTTATGCCTGCCACACAAGCGTCGACAGTAGTTGTTGGAGGCTCTGGAGTTGTAGTGGCCTCGAAGGTTGTTTCATCCGCCGTGGTAGAGATTTCCGACTGTGTTGTAAGTGCTTCGTCGCTTGATAGTGGTAGATCCACGGACGAAGACCCTGACACAAATTCCGCTAACTGCGAGGTCTCTTGATCGATCCGTGAGGACCTCGAATCTGATTTATGCACAATTAAATGAGTCTTCTAAATTTCGAGGCATTCTTAGGACATAACTGTGCTTGTAGTAGCAATGGAAGTATTCCTCCCAAATGTCGGATGAATTGACGGAGCCAAAAGAAACCTGCCGGTCTCTCTATCTCCTGTATCTGGTGCATTTGCATCTCCATCGATCGAACTGAAGGGTCCGTTGTTGTTCGGAATCGCAGCAAGATAAGTCGAAAGATAAGTTACACAATATGTCTCTGCTTCCCTCGGCGCAAGATCGTTTTCTGGGGAAGCAGCTACGGCTTTCAGTAGAGCTGCGAAGAATATGTCTCTCTTCATCTCTAAGCTTGGTAGAGCTTCTGATGTGACGAAAGGTTACACAAGGTAAATGAAGAGAGGGATCATGGGGACTACTTGAGGCACGAAAATAAGGAGCCGCCGATGTCTCAGCCGCCATGAGGCGATCGAAAGGAGAGATGAGAGATCAGCTAGCCACTCAGAAGTGCCAAGAGAAAATTTTCATCCCTACATTGCACAATTGTATTTTCATTCCACCTACCAACAAATTTCGGATTCAGAGGCTGGTGGTCTTGAGTAACGCTTGAAGTTGCGGAAATACTGGACGGCTGTGAGCCCCATCATGCTATGACATGTGCCAGTAGCCATCGCGGGTGTGTTTGACAGATACTGCCATAAGATGAAGGATAATAGTATCGTTCTGGGCACCACATGAGCATTATTTATCATCAAATCCCTGCTGTATAGAATCTTAGAGTTGTAAATTTAACAATCTTTGTTCCCGCGTCTTATCGCTGGTATCCGAACTTGCATCCGATCTGTTGGTTGCCCTACAAGGCATATGTCTCAGACACGGCATCCTTCTCGCGGACCAAAAACTCCTTGAAGCTACCCAATCCAATTCCCCACGTCTTGACCCTCTCAGCGTCAACGCATTTCTCTCCATCCCTCAAGAATACCTGCGATCCAATAAACGGGTTTGTATCCATAGCCTGAGCAACCTGCTCATCAGTGTAAAACTCAGCCTTCATGTCTCGCCCAGTCGCATCAGCCAGAATCTCCATCATCTGCACGGCCGTCAACCTCTCGCTGACAAGGTCAATTCCTTCCCCATTAAATCTTTCAGGCTCGTTAAAGACGGCGAAAGCGAATTTAGCGATATCTTGCGGGTCGACGAGGTTGAGCTTGGTGTCGGGCTTTAGGGCGGTCAACCAGGTGTTGCGCTCGAATAAGTCGCTGTAGATGCGAGCTTTAGGGGCGAGGAGGTTGGACATGAAAAACCCTGGACGGATGATAGCCCAGTGCTTGAATCCAGCACGCTGAACAAGCCCTTCAATAACATTCTTGATGAAAAGGCTCTTGAAGAGAAAGTGACTAGGGGGAAGAAGCGTGCGCTTCTCAGGAGCATCGGCGCTAATAGAGCTCGAGTACACAACATCTTCAACGCCCGCCTTTTTAGCCAGTGCAATAATTCTCTGAGCCCAGATACGCTCATCGTCAAGATTGCTGTAGTTGGGCCCAAGAGCAAGGAACAGCTTGTTGCAGCCTGTAAGACCGGCAGTAAGGGCCTCTTCATCGTCCCAATTGCCAGAGTTCAACACGACGCCGATCTTAGCGAGGGCTTGGGCTTGAGGGGACTCGATGTTTCGCACTGTAGCACGGACAGAACAGTTTGATTGGCGGAGGTGGCGACATACTGCTGAGCCTTGGGTGCCTGTAGCGGCGACGACGTAAACGGTGGGGAGAGACATGGTAATAGACTGAATGTTTACTTGACTATGATACAAAAAAAATACTTTTAATTGTTGACGGTCAGGCTGTTTTATATCTCGTTGTTTTGAGGTACAGTACGTCTGCTATGCGCTACTCCGTCGTCCTTTTGTGGGGCTGATGAGCGGAATTCCGCTGCTCTCTGGGTCCCTCAGCGCACTTCCACCATCTTACCTCCTCGCCAAACACCAAAATTCCATCTCACCCATCATCCATGGAGCGCAGCGACCCGCCAGCCCGACGGAAGTCCTGTCAGGCCTGCAAAAAGGCGCGGCGGAGATGCGATCTAGCGCGTCCAACGTGTCAGCGCTGCGCTCAGCGGAATATCCACTGCCATTATCCTTATGCGCCTCCACAGCGCGAGGGCGTCAGCTGTATACAGCCCGTGATTCCAGTTTCTGGGATTGAGGGTTCGCTTACGCCATCATGCCTTGGGATGCTTGATTCGATTCTGGAACCGACGGACGATTTTACAGACCAGCTGTTCCAAGTTTCGTTAGATTGCGATGCTTCCAATTGGTCTTCGCCGCGGCTTTCAACCACGGCTCAAAATGCGTTGAATAGGTCTCAGCTTGTTACTGTTCCTCAAGTTACAAGGGCAATTACGTCCCGGCTTCAGTATGCTATGGATACAATATTAAAGGGCCCTTCTCAAATGGTTTCGGAGAATCAGACGCCCTGGTGCCATTCGCACTTGTATGATGAGGGAATGCCTAAATCTATGCAACGTGAGTAGAATCCGTGTCCCGCCAACTCATGCATAACATGTCAATACAGATGCGGTATCTTCTGCTGCACTCCATGCAGCAAAGAATCATCTCAACGCCAGAGTCATCCGCGACAACGTGGAAAGTCGTGTACAAGAACTTCTTTCCAGTTCTCCAGCAATGACACCACTAGAAACTCTGGCATATGCACAGGCCCTCTTCATATATCAAGTACTCCGCCTACAAGATAATGATTCCCGAACCTATGCCATCTACGAATCTACCATGCCTCACCTCGAAGAAGCATCCAACGCCCTCATCCCCTACATCGCTTTCGATGAAACAGCAGACTCACCAGATCACACCGCAGATCTCATTCCCCTCTATCCTGCCTCTGCAGCACAAGCCTTCTGGACAAACTGGATCTTCCAAGAATCAGCCAAAAGAACCCTCGGCATGATAAACTTTTTCATGTTGACATATTACTTCATGAAAGGCGAGTCAGGTAATAGATGCGGCCAGAATAAAAACATCGCTGTGAATCGGTCTGTCACCATGTCTGCGCATTTATGGAAAGCTCAAGATGCTGTTGACTTTGCACTGGCGTGGCGAAATAAGAAACACTTCGTGATAAATGTGAGCGCGTAAGTCAACATTGAGTTTTGTTTGTTGTGTCTTTAGCTGACGATTAACGGACCGAATTTCTTGGAGACGATAATCCACGATGCCCAGAAGGATGACATTGATGCTTTTGGCAAGATATGTCTAACATCGTTGATGGGACTTACTGAGGCAAAAGGTTGGTTAGCTATGAAGGGGATTACTTTATAATCTTTCTATATATTCTTTCTGATTCCAGTCCACCTTGATAAGGTGACAGTACGATGAGAATACCTGGGCAATAATTCTGATCGCATGCGTCTACACCCTTCTGTATAAGAGGCTCCTGCCCCTCCTTTAATCACATCATCTTGAACTCTAATTCATCCTCCTTGTGACATTCCTGCCGTACTAAAAACTCTTTCTCGAACTCATTCTCCTGTTCCCAGTAGGCATCGGCCTTTGCGCTTGGCTTAAATTCGCCAGATTTGACAAGTTCGTCAGATGGGTACTCGTAGACATCCAGTTTGATGGCTTGATTCCCTGGGTATAAATGGAGATACTGATTCCCGGCCATTGTTTTCATAAACGCGTCATAGCGCTCAAGATCATCGATGTGAATTGCATCTCGGGGAGAGAGAAATGCCACTGCTCTACAAATGAAGAATGTGGCGAACTTGAACATAAGAGCGAAAGGTGGCATGACGCTGGAAATTCGAAAGCCTCGGGGTTCTAGTAAGAGCCGTTGGTGTTTTCAACTTATGGTTTGTTCCTGTTTTTCAATTTTATTGGCGTGTGCAGGTGAAGTTCAGCCGCGGTATATATGCTCCACCAGGTATCAGATCATTTAGTTATCACATGATGATCGCTTTGAACCTTTATCCTGCCGCCCTTGCCGACTTCCCTTTATCGGGCATATGGAGACAGACAGGACTCATTATTTGATAGATCGACGGCCCGAAGATAGAAGGTGTTTTCATGGAAGTACTGTATTGGCCAGGTCGGATAATCCTGCCGAAAACTCCACCCGCATTGCAATGCTCCTCGCTAATAGGGTCTTTGCTTGTAAAGTTTCTCTTCTTGATAACTCTTCCACGCTGGCGTCGACGGGATACTCTATAAATTATTGGAAGTGATAAGAGTGTAAAAGACTTTATTTAGTCGAGATTCTATAGTATAAATTTTGCTGTAATACTACTCAAATTCGAGATGGTTCTTTTGACTTTGTAGATATCTTGTATTCGCGATAATGGTACGTATCAACAAGTTGTAACGGCTCAGTTAACATGTAAGGAATGAATACGCATAACTCGCCACTACGGCTTGGAGGCAGCGACTAAAAGACAGACACTAGTATTATTCTACATGCAGAGCATTACCACTTTCTTACTATTATTTATAGAGAGATTATTTTAATGCCTAAGATGCGGGTATAGGGTAATTATGAATATTCATCGCCTTTGCCAAAGACCTGAAACAGATGCTATGATAAAATTAGTACAGAGTATCGGGTCCTCTTCTTTTGCCAAGCCTGACTCCCACTTATGGACGGCGACGCCGAGGCAAAACCGGTGCGGCTGAGAAACAAAAGCCCAGTCAAAGCAGGCGATGTTACTTCGATTCCACGGTATCATCTCCAAGCCCCAGTTATAAATAACCAAAATGAAACATGCCCTGCGTTTCGTTATCTTATCTCGTATTGATAAGATTCTTATCGCCCCAAGCCAGCAAGGACCCTAGCCTCGGGTTCTGACATTAAAACAAGGTGCCAAAATTAACTGGTCTAAATATATACTGAGATACACTAAACTTACCTAACCCTTTTCGTCACTTAGGATAAAGGTCTTAAATTTCCTTGCCTCCCCTTGCCTGGAAGCTCGGCAAAAGTCCCTTAAGTAAGCTGCTGACAGACCAATAAGTGGCAAGGTCTGCCGTGAAACAACTCCACCAAAGCGGCCGACTTTACAGCATGAATACAGACCCGTGATAGGGTCATCAGCCGCAAAAAGCACAATGGTGGTTAAAAATAAGCGAAAATACAAGCTTAGGAACAAGCTTCTGCCAAGCGTCAATGCCGAATCCTTGCCGGCCCCGGCAGTCGAGACCATTTAGTACTATATCCCCTGCCAAGAGCTGCTCAATTGAGAGGCTTTCACGATGCGGGATCCTGATTAGATGGAACGATATTTGTTTTAATGCACTCTTAACCTAGCTTTTCGTGCAAAAAAGGAAGGTTGGATTATTAGACGTCAAGCTATGCTCAGCCTTGCACGTGTCATGGCATTGCAATGGAAAGAAATTGAACAGGCTTGACAACCGCGGTGAGCCTCGAGGACCGTGTATAAATACGTGACTAATGCCCTTATTGACTTATTTCTTGTCCTCATCCTCAGACAACTTGACTACTCTCTCCTCTCTTACGATAGCTCGATACCATCTCATCATCACAATGCTCGTCTCAACTGCCCTTCTCGCTCTGAGCTCAGTAGCCTTCGCAGCTGCTACGCCCGCTCCAGCTCAAAACCCCGAGACAGACTTTAGCTTCTGGCTTGGTGGTCCTATCCTCGAGAAATGTCTCGCTGAAAAGAACTGTGAGGACCGTCTCCTCGACAACCCTTACTACGTCGAAGCCAAGAAGACCAACCATGCCAAGCGATACAGTTGCCACGGCGCTGGCATGCACACCGTCGTCACCAGCGGCAAGAACTTTGTCAAGTTTGGTTCTTTCAACCCCTACGATTTGTTCCATCACGTCTATGATCTGTGCCATGAAGGAGGATGCGATAGTGGTAGTGACTGGGCCCGAAGTACAAAGTACGTTACTGCTACTGGTATCTATTCCAAGGATATCAAAGTCAGTGCTCAAGGCGTTTACTCAGGGTGGGACATGCGTAATGCTCTTGCTCAATCTCTCGCCGATGCGTCTGGGCGAAACCAAGTTTGGTCTGAGGAGGTTGCGTGCCCCAGTGGAGGACGAGCATGCTCTCGTGTCAAGGCCTGGCAGGGATATGCTCCCAACTTCCATCAGTCTGCGATCTTCAACAACTGCAATCAATATGGCTGGATGAATGCCAAGACTGATGGTCTTACTGGAATTACTTCGGGTGGAGATTGCAAGTCGATTGTTGAGAAGCTTGGAGCAATTATCGGAGAGACGGTTCCTTTTGGAGCAGGAACTATCCCGCTTCTGGGTGCACTTTGTGGTTAAACGGTATTACATGGGAATTGAGAGGGCAGCCAAGAGTGAGATGTATAGAATTATGACCCTTTGGACCTTGCTGAGTTAGGGGGGGAGGGTACTGGCTTAACCTAGCAAATATCGCCCGTAGCCGTGTGTCTATCTCAAATTCATTCCCATTCCTTATCCAAAACAACAAGATTTTGATACCCCTTCTTCACAACCTCGGTATCAATCACCATGACCGCAATGAAGGTTGTGTCCTCAGTGTCGCTAGGGTTATCGCTGACAGTGTGATGGCAACCCGGAAACTCGCGGAAGCTCTCGCCTGCGTGATACACCTTGGGCGGGTTACCGTTCATCCCGCTGAGGAGTTGACCCTTAATCACAGTGGCGGCGACGGTCGCACCAGAGTGAGTATGCGGCGGTGTCCAGCCGTTAGGACCATAGTGGACTTCGAGACCAACGATGGACTTGCCGGGTGCGTTGGTGAGCTCGTAGTCATAAAGAATCTTGACGGTTTCGCGAGGGCGATTACTGGTACTGATTAGCTGGATTCTGGACGAGGCAAATGTTCAACTTACGACTTGTTCTCAACACTGTCTGCCATTTTGATGAAGTAGATGTTGTACGATTATTGCGATGGGATGGAGAAGACACAGCAGCAAGAGATAATAAGAGATGAGGAATATGATAGATACTGTTTTTTACCGGAATGAACTACTTATACTGATAAGAAAGTCGTATTTTCTCAATTGATAGAGGACGATTATCCTACCCGTCGGCCTCCCGATTTCCGGGTGGGGATGAATAAGCCGGGCAATCGTCAATTACGGGACCCGCCCGGGTATCCGGGTATTCGCTTCTGTCCCCGAATCCTGGGCGCAATTGCCTACTACGACTATCAGCATATAAACAGTTCCTTCTTGGCAGAAAAATGTGCTTAAATGATATCAGCTCTTAGTGATATCATCCACTAGTCTATCATTGCACTTTATACACCAGGAACAATTCCCCCAAACCTCAAGATGAAAGCCGTTCAGATCCTCGGAGACATATCTTCTCCAAAACTCACCACCAACTTCTCTATGGAGAAACCCGAACCTATCAAGTCCGATATTCTGGTTCGTGTTCATGCCGCTGGAGTCACTGGCGATGAAATTATGTGGCCAGAAACATATCGACGTCCATCCCGCATTCCAGGCCATGACATATCCGGAGTCATCACCGCATTTGGCCCTGACTACTCTGGACCTCTGAAAATAGGCCAAGAAGTTTTTGCGTTTCTATCGGCGCACACGGGCGAGGGACAAGCTGATTATGTCCTTTGCTCTCCTGACGAGGTCGCCCCAAAGCCAACAGCGCTTTCACATGCTGAAGCATCTGCGTTGCCGATTCCGGTTCTGACAGCATGGGAAGTTCTCGATTATGCTGACATTGACGCTGGAACGAGAGTTCTTGTGACTGGCGCGTCGGGTGCAGTTGGTCAGCAGTTTGTGCAGCTTGTCAAACATTTGACAGGTGCTCATGTGATTGCACTAGCATCTGCGACAAACAAGCAGCTACTGGGCGACGTACCTGACGAGATTATTGACTACAAAACTCCAAACTGGGAGAAGTCTGTACAGGACGTAGATGTTGTATTTGACACGGTGGGCGGAGAGGTTCTGGCAAAGACGTGGGAAACTGTCAAGTCCGATGGCATGATCATTACAATCGGTGATCCTGCGCCGTCGTGGGCTTTTGGAGGTGATGAACCTTCAGAGTCCTTGTCCCTACCAGGTGTCAGGTATAAGTATTTCATCGTATCGCCGAACGGAGAGCGCTTGGGAAAGATGGCTGGGCTGTTTGACGAGGGAGTGATCAAGCCACTGGCGGTCAAGACGTTTCCGTTTGATCAAGCGGTTGAAGCTTGGGAGCATGCAAGGCAGCGAGGAAAGGGTTACAAGGTCGTGATTGAGTTATAAGCTGTAAATAGATATAAAAAAGGAAGTTGGGAGTAGGGATTAGATAGATTATTGAGTATTCAACTTGTACTTCATTCAATCCAGCTAGAATCCAGCTCCACGCCCATGTTGATCCATCCGCATATATCCTCAAACGACCCCAGAGACGCAAAAACATTATCATCCTGGTCCATCGTCGGTAGCGAATCCATGCTTCCTTCCCCCTCGCTTTGCGTTAAACTCGGGACCTGATTCGACCCTGGAGTACTCCCGACATCCCCACTACTCCCTCCAAGTCCCAAAACATGACGAGCGATAGTCTGTATCTCTTTCACATTCCTCGCCGTCCTTGGCCAAACCTCGCCTACGGCTTTGAGACATCCGATAGTCAAACGGATCTGATCTCGCGCTACTGCCAAAGCTTGATCTTTGAGCAAGTAGGTACAAGCCGATAGAAGGGCGAGAGTCCCTTCGCTAACCATGCATGTCGTGAAAGGCGTGTGGTGGAATGGGCGGACCGGTAAAGCCAAGAGCTGGATCTGTGCATTGACTGACTTGAGAATTCTAGTTGTGTGTACGTTGATGAGATCTGGCTTCGGTGTATCTGCTGGTGGTTCTCGAGCGCAACTGGATACTTTTTCAACGGGGTTGAATCTCAGATCCGATAACGGTCTGTGTATACCAATAGTTGCACTAAACAGTTAGTTCAGCTCTCATTGTTGGGAGCGAAGGACATACACATGAATAAGCAAGTGAGCTTGAAACATCAATTCATCAATAGTCCCGTCTTGCTTCAGCACCGGCTTTTTGTCTTTGGGCAGTAGCAGTAGCCAGGCATCGAATGCCGAGTCAGCGGATTGTATGATGGCCTCTGAATCTTCTCTTGTCGCCCTTTTTGGTGACATGTAAATGACTTGTGCTGCACAGCGCACCGCACCGATGAGATAGGCGAAGGACGAGAATACCACGTCTTCGCTATCGAACTCGCGAGAATCGAAGTCCTGTAAAGTCTTTGGTGCAGGAACTGTCTATGGCTCGTATGTCAGCCTCTTGCTTCAAGATCGTGTAAATTACTTACGCCCGATTCATAATCTGACTCTTCACAGGGAAGTTCCGCGGTAGGTTCGACATGCAATGTTTTGAAGTTCATCGTCCCCAGTGTTCCAGCGTAGGAAGCATCCACGATGAATAGCATCCACCACGTTCGTCTCCAGCATTCAATCATGACCGGGTCTCTGAATCCGAATGTAACAGCGAACTCCTGCTTATGCATTTCCAGTCTGACAGCAACATCAATTGCAGCATCCATCTGATCTTTTGCTTCAGCCTTAAAGGTATACCAAAACAAAGCGATGGAGTACAGCAGGCGAGCCTGAACTTGCACTGGATCTGATGGTTTAAGCTGTGATATTTGAGCCTCGATGGCGCGACTTAGTGATTCTGACCATTGGTGGGTGTCATAGATATGCCCAATCAGCCGCATGGAAGCTATGAGGTGATTAAAGTTGAAAGCCGATGTTTGGGATAGTTGGACCAAGTGCTTGAATGGGGGAGCGAAAGGGTGCAAGTGGTGAAAGTTGGTATAGTACGACTTGACCAGAGCATCATCGGTGAGACCGCCATGGCCGAAATGCGGTGTTTCGCGGTTCTCTGGTACTGGTGTTGGGGCGGGTAAGCTCGCATGTTGAAAAACCTCCATGCAATCCGCCCCAGTCGCAGATTCACTGCCCAAATTGATTCCCTCATCAGATATCTCCGACACGACATTGTCTAGCTGTGAATCAGCCTTGTTAGCCAGACGTCTTCGCCTTTCAGTCAAAGCAGCTCGATCAAGACCACCACGTCTTGAAGCTGTATACTGGCACGTCTTGTCATATGCCATGCACCGACTGCATCGCGGCTGTTTAGCATCACATTTCACATGCTTTGTCCGACACTCGAGACAGGCTAGTGAAGAGCGTGTATTGACACGTGTTGAGACTAGTCGCTCCATGGTGAATGGGTATTTTACGTGGAAGAGAAATATGGTTGATGCATGTCAAATCGAGGTAATACTAAAGTGGGGTCACGGGTATCCGGGCTTCCGGAAATAGAGTGGGTATACGAGGTGTCAGCCAAGATGAGATTTCCATGGATGCCATGCATTGTTTACGGTAAAGACTGCGTGATTATTGGAAACGAGGAGATAGCTTAACTAAAATTACACACTATTTGAATGCTTTCTTCTGTACCATACAATACTTCTTACGGATACCTTTGCTCCAGGTTGTCGAAAATTCGTCGCCCAAACTGATCCATCCATTTGAGACGTTGAATTTTCTCCTGACTGAATTACCTGCTAGGCTCGTGCAAGTGCCAATCAAGGACCTTGTAACCTCTTTGCTCGACGATACTAAAATCCGGCTGCAAATAATTAAAGGTTCGAAAAGGCAAAGTGCTGATCCTCTCCGACTCAGCCTCCTCCTCATTAAACATCTTGACCCCACTGTAGCCAGTATCTTCGCTAGCAATAAAATTAGCACGTATACCGGTACCCTTGATATCGATATCCCATTTCTATTTAGTTTCCTATATATAGTTTTCTACTAGTCGCCAGTATTCACAACGCTGTTTAATCGGGCAGGTAGCAGCATTCAGGTAATAAAGAGTGAATTCCTAGGGGTAATACTGCTCTGGAAAGAAGGTCCTTATACAGAGGAAGTCCTTAAAAAAGGCTCTCTCGCCTACGTCTTCTAACTTAATACATTCTAGAGTTAAGCTTTAGGGATATGACGGCGTAGCCTGTGGGGTCTATTGGTAGAGATGCCTTAATTGGCGAGGCTGAGGCTATCCTGCCGCTTGGTTATACTGCTCTGCTTCTCTCCTGCTCTAAATTTAAGCTGCTAGAGAAGCTTATATAATAGAGAAGAGCCTAGGCTAACTGTATCCTGATAATAGTCTTGCGATTAGTGAGATAGTTTATGCTGTTGGTAAAGGGTTAGTAAACTCTAGGTTAGATAGAATATGATGCTTTTGGTAGAATAGGCAGTGGCTGGTAAAGTACAGTTAATCTTCTGTTTTACCTGCTTTTAAGCTAATCTTATGTTGTCCTAAGAGTAAGGTTGTGATAACTATGAATCTCTAGTATAAGTATGTTGCTGTCTGGGCTTGTATGCTCTATAACTTCTTACGAGGATGTTACAATGGCCCAAGTTATACGACAGTGTATGTGACAAAACAGATAACGAGATCCAAAACACCATTTGTTCTCCAGGTTGATGAAATGTTCTATCCTTAGGGCATCCGTGTTCATCGGGACAGTATCTCGAGAGCAGCGTAGTGTAATCTCCTGTTCAAGTTTCACCTGTCATTCTTATCATTGCAGATTCGACTTAAGATAGCAGGGTAGTGAGAAAATGCATGTTGAATGCTGTTGGTACGGTCACGGCCATGGCCAAAGCGGTTTCCGACCTCGCCTCCGAGGGGTGGCTCCGTTATGTGCACGGTCTTGTTGGTTGCCTTCGGTGATCTCCATTCCTGGATATTGCGCGAGCGACCAACGAACCACTAACCGTCCAGTTGTGGATCATTTATAAACAGCGCCAATCCCTAATCTCTTGATCTCAGATTCTTTCTCAAGCCAACCAAAATGGCTTCTTCAACGCCAGACATCTCGTGTATTCTGCCACGCCTTCCCCAAGAATTAACCAATGCTATTTCTCAGTATGTAGAGGGTAGCGACCTCAAGGCCCTGCGGGAAACATGCTCAGCAATGGCATGGGCCATACCACTCCATTTCGATCGTGTATTCATATCCGCAAATTCCCTCAATATCCAAGTCTTCAAAGCAATCGTAGCCAACGAAACCTTTCGTCCCAAGTCACTGAGATTATCTGGGACGACGCCCGTCTATTTACTGGACCGGAGCGCTGGCAATACAAAGATGAATGGGAGTATCACGGTCGGGAGCAGATATGATTGTAACTGAGAATGGGTGTCCGAAGTGGTTTCAGAAAGGATCGAGTACATCTGACGATGACTGGTGCCACCCTACACTTTTCCTGTTGCTGATAATCATATGGGACTCGCAGAGTGCTGTGACTATTATAAGCAATTGTTAGAAGACCAAAGGCAGATTCTGGCAGCTAATGCTGACATTAAAGCTTTCAAGTATGGTCTCCAGCGTTTCACATCCTTGAAACGAATCACCATTACACCTGCGACTCACGGGAGGCATGGGACCCCACTATACAGGACTCCTATGATTAGAGCATTTCCTCCTGGATTCGACTACCCAATCCCAAAGGTATGGCCTACTGCCCCAATGAATGATTCTGGAGAATGGCAGGACGAGCTTCCATGGATATCTGAGGAGGGCGATGCCCCGTATCAGTGGTTCTACGGTGCCCACTGTACCGCTGAGAAATACAGAGAGAAGTGGCGAGGCTATCAACTCGTCAGCCGAGCCTTGATTGAGTGTGAGAATCAAGTCACAGAGCTCAGAATTAAGGGCCACGAGATCAAGTCCGGATTGAGCTGTCGAATCTTTGATCAGCCTTGCACCGAATACGAAGATATATGCACTCTACTCAGGCGTCCAGGGTTCCAATACCTCGATCTTGATCTTTTCACAGGTCTCATCGAGCACGACGACTGGGCAACATACAAGACGGGCCTTTTGCGCGATGCTTTAGCTCAAGCTAAAGATTTACAGCATTTATGTGTGAGTGCTTCGACAGATATCGAGGATGCATATTGCCAACAGCATGATCCAGACGACCTCGAAAGGCCTGTATTTCCCCTACGGACAATATTTCTCATTGATCACTGGCCGCGACTTCAACATTTTGGTATCTCGAATTTTCTTATAGAGATAGATGATCTGGTCGATGTTCTATCCGCTTTACCACCAACACTGCGCTCCGTTGAGCTCATTAACCTAGCGTTTCGAAATCCGGACCATGGCTACGGCGATCTCATTCGGCAAATCCGTGATACGTTGGACTGGCGCTTACGGCCTGCTGAAGAGAGACCGAAAGTTCATATGGTTTGTTCAGGAGAATCTAACCCCCAAATGGTGGAGAATGAGTTGATCGAGGTAGATGATGCGGTATGTTCTTATCTGTATGGGGATGGTGAAAACCTATTCGAGCCTGAGTCGAGGTACGTATCACGTGGAAGAGGGGCTGTACGGAGGGATGTATTCAATCCAGCCTTCCGAGCTCCTTACTAGAGTCCAAGATACATGTTATTGACAATCTTCTCTACTCTAGCAAGTCCTTTAGACTCAGCGAAAAGCTTAGGAACCACGGGTTTGATAGTGGGATTTTAAATGTACTATATAGAAACTCTTAACCCTAATTTTATTGCCAACGATGGCCCAGCAGCCGTCAGCGCATTTTGCCGTGTCGGAGTAAAACTATGCCAACCTAGAACAGCTGCATATCTTCTCTAGTAGTGGTCACGTCTTTGTAAAAGCTGCAGACACTAATATTTAAGATGTACAAGTCCGAGTTATTTGCATGACGGTTATGTGTGAATTTGTTTTCTAGAAGTATATCCATCTTGCAGTGTCCAAGATGATCTCGTGTCGACCCGATATCACTTTATATCTAGCGTACCTGTACTTGGATGAGGAGATGAAGGCTATCTGTTGTAGACACATGTTGCGTTACCCTCCCATGGACTTTATCAGGCATACGGATTGTGTTCCTCTGCAGAATTTAAGACTCAGGTGTTCTCGACCTTCGAGGTATAAAAGACTGAGAAAACTATCAGACAGAATTGTACGTGGGGAGAAGTCATATTGTCCTCTGACGGTGGAGATTGTTGAGGTAAAGATGGGTTGCTGTTGTCCGAGACCGCAGCCATCTAGCATTAAGGACAGGTGTTGATAGAGCGCTCTTTTTTGGTAGCGGAATATGTAATGGGAAATATCTCGTCTGAAAAGCTACTCAGTCCAGGCCCTTTTTAATATCTACTGCTGCCACAACTGGAAATGCCCGAAAGACTCCGCTCTCAAATGCTTTTCCTAACCAACAGCTGCAAGCGAGTCGCTTGGCGGGCCGACTTTCAGTGGATATAAGCAGACCAACAGCATTACTTCCATGAGATGTATTTCGCTGTTCCCTTGTAAAAGTCAATGGTCATGTTGCCTCACTCCATCGCTGCCGCTTCAATCTATTGGGACCATCAAAGCAATCACTTTAGCCATAAACTCGTGATGGTGTTACTAATGTCTTGAGGCTCTCGTGCGTCAGGCCATCAGGACCAAATGTGAATGTCACTAGGAAATGGGAAGTGGAGTCTGGCACTGAAGCCAAGGCCTTGGCTAATTAAACATTGGCCGATATTCCCGGACGACCCATGCTGTTCCACTGTTTAAAGCCCCTTCCCTTCCATGATCGCCCTCTAGCTTTTAAATCCATCCTTAATTCATCTCTAAATCGATCATCTACACCCATTTCACCATGTCTTCAGCCATCACCACTTCCCTGCTAATGCTGGAATACACCGGCACTCCCAATCTTGTCGCCCATGTCATCGGCGCAAACCCCACAGCTACGACATTCGTCTTGGACTGCGAAAAACCAAAGAACAAGAAGACCTGGGACGAGGACGAGTGCTGGTTCACGAAAGAGACTATCATTCTCGGCCCGTGGGCTGACAAGACACCTGCGCCTGGAGCCGTAACCACCGGTATCTGGAGAGAAGGTAGCGTCGACGACGATGAAGAAGAAGGCTACTCGTTCTCGATGGAATGCCAAATGGATTATACGATGCCTAAAGTCTGCACTACTACCAACCATGCTTCTTTTTCCTTCCACGATGGTCGGGAGGTTACAGCGACGTACACCAAACACGGCGGTACGACGTTTGACGGGTTCTTCTATTTTGGATATGGATACTTTGACTGGACTCCCGTAACTGTCACAGCTGGTCAGTCGTATCTTCTTTCTGCTAAGACCGCCGCTTCCACGGAGGCTACAGCCACGAGTGATGTCTCTGGAACTGCCAATGCTGCAAAAGCAACGACCTCGGCGGGCGAAACTACCAGCACGATGGATGATGCTGTGATTACCGTTACTGGCGAGGCTTCGTCTACAACGACTTCGAGTAACGGCGCAGGCACTAGACGTGCTTTAAGCCTCTGGGCTGCAGTGGGACTTGCGGCGACTGTGGTCTTGTTATGAACATTGGTGGTATCAGACTAGTAGGATTTTTATTCATGGTAACTGGTCGACGCCAGTTATTTCAAGGGAACAGAAGCGAGTCGATGCAACAACAGTGCATATTAGGATAAAAGTAAACCATATTATTAATCCTTTTACCCATTTGCCTAAAACCTGAGAAGCTGCCCAGAAGTGGGGCTGCATTACAATCACATGGGCCTTCTTTATTAGCCACCTAAGCTCTTGAGTCCTCAATGACGTGGCATAGACTATCACTGGTTGAATTACGTCGCTATGATTTTTCTTGCCATTGCTATATGCAAGCAGGCCAGAGCCCAGAGTTACTTTTGTGCACCTGTCTACTTAAAGAACAGGCTCTCAAATCCTCTCTTACATGGCGGTCATCGTTGACGGACCAGAGATGTGTTTAAAACTCGAAGCTAGAAGACTTCTAAAGGAAACTTATCTAGAGTCATTGTGAGATGTGTACTAAGGATCTGCACAAGGACATGCGATGGTTACAACTGCCATTTGTGGAGGGACCGAGGATTTGTTATCAGGAACCACCACAAATGCGCTACTACCTGCTAAAAGATGCCTCTAAATTAACCTTAACCCCATCGAGCTGCGCTCCTCGTCCATGTGATGCATCATCTCTGGCTGCAATGCAACCGTGAACCGAAAGATGGCGTTTTAGTCGCTCTCCCACTACACGGCTACTCACGAAACTGAAACCGGGTAGATTATCCCCAATTGAGTCACTGTGGGCCGGAAGCACAGGACAAGTCCGAAGTCCGAACCCCAAAGGAGATGATCAGATCAACCATCAGTCTCGGTATTCTTCCAATGCCCGAAAGGTGTTATAAAAATGAAGCTCCGGCTCACAGTTTGCAGTTCATCACCAGTCACTAAATCACATCCATTTGCCATGTCTGCAATAGTGAACACGGGTATTCTGATCGTGGGTGCAGGCCCTTCTGGCGCCGCCCTCGCGTCCTTTTTGGGACAGAATGGTAAGTCTTGTATCTTCTCATGATGGACTGTCCAGTAAGTTAATGGGCAAATTATAGGACTGAGTGGACTTGTCATTTCCAAAGACTCGCATACGGCCTATACACCTCGAGCTCATGGGTTCAATCCCTTTGCTTCAGGTAAGATTTAGTATAGATACAAGCATAAGCAGTTGCTGACGCGTACGAAGAATGTCTACGAGACATTAATCTGGAGGATGAGGTGCTTCGGCTAGCAATTCGAGAGCCTTTCATCCTTTCGTCGCGCTTCGCACAGAGCCTAATTGGAGAAGAATACGGACGAATCTCTGCATGGGAGGAGAACCCTAGGTCTTTAGTAAGTCAATGAATCCATGTACTGTCCCTTACTGATAGGAAACTTGATAGTGGAGACGAAAAGAGACAACGCCCTGCGAGTACGTGGATTTTACACAGAGACACTTGGAACCTCTTCTTCTCCGTTTTGCATCACACAACGGTTTTAATGTTCGATTTTCAACTGAGATCCTCAATGTCGAATCCATCTCAAGTCAGAAGACCGAGCCTGCTTATATCTGCACAGTTTATGACCATATCACGAAGCAAGAATTTAAGATCCGCACAAAATATCTCTTCGGAGCTGATGGGGCAAGAAGCCCGATAGCACGCCAATTCGACTTTCAGTTCCTGACTGAAAGTCCAGGTCCAAAAGCATGCAACGTCTTGTTTCGCGCAGACCTCGGCAGGTACTTGACAGAAGGGCGCCGTTGTGGAATGCATTGGATTATACAACCCGACCGTGCCCTCTTCCCTGGAGTGGTTGCTCATCTGCGCGCTGTTCGGCCTTGGAACGAGTGGGTCATGGTAGCGTTTGGTCCCCAAGGCAGCAACCCCTTTGAGGGCATGACCGCTCAGAGCCACGAGCTTGTAGACTTGATCCGACATCTTGTGGGAGACGACTCACTTGATGTAGAGATCTTGAAGCTTGACGCTTGGACTGTGCGCGAGTCGGTCGCGGAATCGTACTCGAAAGACAATCAGACCTTGTTTCTACTAGGTGATGCGGCACATAGACATCCCCCAACTTTTGGACTCGGTAGCAACACGTGCATCCAGGACGCCTATAACCTTGCGTGGAAGGTGGCCTACGTGTCAAAGGGTTTGGCTGGTCCAGGGCTGTTGTCCTCATACAGTCAAGAGAGACAGCCAGTCGGTGCCGACCTTGTCCGAGAGAGCAACAACCAGATACGGAAGAATGCGGAGCTCTTCCGTGTATTGGGAATGATGGCCCCGTCTGCCGAGGGCATGAATCAAGTGAATCAACTATCGCACGCGACGCCAGAGGGCTCGACGCGACGGGCTGATCTCCACGGCGCCTTGGAAGAAAAGAAACAAGAGTTTGAGAGCCTTGGGTTGGCCTACAATCAATGGTATGTATCCAAGGCCGTGTACCTGGATGATGAGCCTAGCCCAAGACCAGTGGTGCAAGGTGACCCAGTCGTGGAGGTCCAGATCAGCACCTATCCTGGTAGCAGATTGCCCCACGCGTGGATTGATAAACCAAACCGCCTGGGTATGGTATCGACTCACGACCTGGCTGGAAATGGTTCTTTCTGTTTACTGGTGGGTGTGGATGGTGGCGATTGGAGAACGGCAGCTGAGGCCGTCGGGGCAGCTAACGACATCCCTATCAGTGTGTTTAGCATTGGCCCAGGTCAGGAATACATCGACATATATAGAAGTTGGCATGAGAAGAGAGGGGTTAGTGACAGCGGGTGTGTTCTGGTTCGACCAGATCGTTTTGTTGCATGGAGGTCTTTTGGAAAACCTGCGGACTGTGAGCAGAAATTAGGAGAGGTTCTGAGGAGTGTTTTGTACCGAGACAAGTTGTAACTACAAGTCCGTGGATGAAGTAGGTCTGCCAATCCATGCTTCTGGTAAGAGTCCGCGTTAATATCTGCATGTATGCCTGTACATCTTTTAATCACTGGTTTTTGTCTTCTCGCACTGCAGTAGCCAAAGCCGTCATCACTTTCGGAGTTTCAAGTCGCTTATGTCTTACTTTGACCCAGTACATGCTACGATGGTCCAACAGCAGTCAGAAAGTCAAAATCGGCGCCTCTCTCCGCCTGCAACACTGAACGCATGAATAAACCACGGTACCCCCTAGCCTTCTTCCTCGCCACCCACGCCGGCTGTTCGTCTGTCCCTGCAGTAGACTTACTGCTCTCAAACTGAGTCATCCTTCGTTCAACCCGCCGTTTAATCTCCTCAGCTGATATGTCAACCTGAAGGAGACATCGACTTGCGTCGCAAGTAATAATATCACCATCCTCTATAATTCCAAGTACCGAATCTGGGTCTGCAGCCTCTGGAGAGACATGGAGGATAATCGAGCCGCCTGCTGTGCCGCTCATCCTCCCGTCTGATATCCGAAGCATATCCAACACGCCCTTCTCTGCTAGCTTCCGAGGAATCGGGATCATACCCGCCTCAGGCATTGCAGGGTTTCCAACAGGACCAATATTTTGAAGAACTAGAACGCTATGCTTGTGGACTTCAAGTTTGGGATCATCAAGTCTTCTGGCCATATCAGCCGCCCCGTTGAATACCACAGCGGGTCCAGAGTGTTGAAGGAGGTGTCGCCACTTTGACGCGCTTGCCTTCATGACGGCGCCACCTGGAGCCAAGTTCCCTCGCAGGACAACTAACGAGGCACATGGATACAGGGGATCGCTGAAGGGGTGGAGAACGCTTAATGATCTTGGAACTTCGATGTAAGACGCTTTATCGAGGTTGTCACCGAGGGTTCGACCCGTGACTGTCTGAGCATTCAGGTGCAAAAGGGGTCGAATTTCACGAAGCAAAGAAAGCATCCCCCCGGAATTGTGGAAGTCGGTCATGTAGTTATCGCCACTGGGCTTCAGATCAACTAGGAGCGGTGTTTTCCGTCCAATCTCATTGATGGTATCCAGATTGATGCTTTCAACGAGGCTGCTGTCCCAGTGTCGGCCGATGATGGCCATTAGATGAACAACGGCATTTGTAGAACCACCGATGGCTTGTAAAACGGTGATGGCGTTCAGAAAGGATTCCCGTGTCAGCATCGACTGGGGCCGGATTTGCGATTTGAAGGCCGCCACGGCGAGAGCGCCAGTTTCTTCGGCGATGCGTAGTCGCGCTGAGGATACTGCTGGGGCAGTGGCACCGTTGAATGGCATGAGACCTAGCGCGACTAGGATGCACGCCATTGTACTTGCAGTCCCCATCACACCGCAAGTTCCAGCCTGCTCATCTCGTCACTGGGAGTTCTTTCACAAGGTGGAAGTGCTTTGCTTACTGTCGGGGCCAATTCGTTGTTTATAGCTGCAATGTCCTCGATATCAATTGTCCCAGCTCGGTAGCTAGCCCAGTTGTTGCGGCAGTCAGTGCAAGCGCCTATCCGTACCCCCTTGTGGCTTCCAGGCATCATTGGCCCTGTCACGAGGTGAAGGATCGGCTTGTTGGCTGAGAGCCCGCCCATCAATTGCGCCGGTGTGGTTTTGTCACAACCTGTTGCTCGGTTAGCCTATCTATACCAACCGCTTCGCCAAGATACGTTCCAACAAAGGAGTGAAAGCAGACATACCTCCTATCAAGATAACAGCATCGCATGGCTGTGCTTTGATCATTTCTTCGGTATCCATACTCATCAGGTTCCTCAAGTACATGCTAGTAGGTGAAGAAAATGATTCATGGATACTAATAGTTGGGAAATCAATTGCTAACCCCCCATTCAATTGCACGCCACGTTTAACAGCATCAATTAATTGTGGGATATTGGCATGACAGGGGTTGAAACTCGAGTAGGTGTTGACAATACCGATAATTGGACGTGACAGCGCATCTTCACTATACCCCAGGGCCTTGATAAAAACCTTGCGGAGGAAAAGAGAAAAATGGGCGTCTCCATACGAGGTCAGACTCTGTCGTAGGCCATTGGCGTCGGGCGGAATTGGTGTCGCAAGGTCGTAGTCAGGATTGACGTGAGATGATTGCTTTTTCGTGTCATTATCAGACTTGTCGGGCTGGATCAAAAAAGACATTTCTGACATGTTTGTTCTTGTAACCTAATTGACCCATTCATCATAGTTGATGAGATTGTTGATTCTTTATATTTGCTACTCTGGACAGCTCAGTGAAGTCTTTCTACCCCTTTGGAGTAGCCTTCTCGGATCGTCGGGGGCTGACCCACCTCTTGCCGACCGCTCCCCACTCCGAGCATTTCCGAACAAGCAGTCTCAGCTCGGAGATGTCCCAAACCTTTTCTTTTCGATCAGCGCTAGATTGGCCTCGACTGACCAGCCATCACCTTGCGGAACACGCCATTCACAAAAGCATCTCACGCTAAAAGAACCTAGTTCGGCGTCGTAAGAGATTCCCTCCCTTTCTTCTTCTTTCTGCCATAGCGAAGCCATTTTACCAACTTGAGCAAGTATACCTAAGTCAGAGTCAAGAAAGAGCCCAACACACAATGAATCTTGTTAAACCCGGCCATCATCAGCTCGCTAGCTATCCCGACTTGAAGGGCAAAGTGGTATTCTGTAAGTCCCAAAACCACATGAATCAATTGTCTTTGGGCATGACGCAGCACTGACGCTCGCTGTACAACAGTGACTGGTGTTGGACAGACTGGAAGTTTGGATGAGCCAATGTGGGGTAATGGCGCCGCTACAGCTCTCCTTCTAGCCCTCCAGGGAGCTCGCGTATTTGGCTGCGACATCAACTACCAAGCGGCCATTCATACCAAAGACCGCGTGGCCGCCGAAGGGGGAGAAATCACTGTGACCGAGGCCGATGTTACAGTTGCCCAAGACGTGAAAAAGGCAGTTGACGAATGCGTCGCCACGTATGGGCGTATCGATATTCTTATCAAGTAAGTACAGCTCTCTTCCCAAGAACCCCGTGTTTGTATTCAACGCCAGTTTTCTCTCGTGTGGCCGAATCACTGGCTTACGTAACAAATTTCACAATTGTAGCAACGTTGGGCGTTCCGAACCAGGAGGGCCGGCTGAGCTGTCTGAAGAGGTTTGGGATGCTCAGACCGACATCAACCTCAAATCCGTATACTTGACCTGCCACCACGTATTACCCCTCATGGAGAAACAAGGCTCTGGCTCTGTTGTCAACATCTCCTCAATCGCTGGTCTGCGATATATCGGCAAACCGCAGGTTGCATACTCAGCCACCAAAGCAGCCGTGATCCAGTTCACCAAAGCAACTGCTGTCATTTACGCAAAGAAGAATATCCGTCTAAATGCCGTGGTTCCTGGTCTCATGTATACGCCTCTGGTTAAAGTCCTGGCGGAAAAGTATGCGGGCGGCGACCTTGAAGGGTTCGTGGCTAAGAGACATGACGCCGTTCCGATGGGTGAGCAGGGTACCTCTCTTGACATTGCAATGGCTGTCACTTTTCTTGCTTCGCAGCAGAGCAGATACATTACAGGACAGAAGATTGTGGTGGATGGTGGTATCACGTCGTCAACTGGCTAAAGACTCGAAGTAGAGCGAAGACTTTAGATGATGCTTTATTTTCTTGAGCATGATTTGTAGTTCGAGGCATAAATTGAGTGTCAACCCCATTGCAGATCAGGATTCCAAGTATCATCAAACACAATGTCCATAATGGTATTAAAGTCTTGACCAAGACCAAAGGGACCATCTCCACGCATGTTATTCTGGTGATTCCTGATGTCAGAACGAATTACGATGGTACCATCACCCACAAGGAGCTTTCAGTCTAGACTTACCTGACCTTGGGCGAATTGCATCAAGTCAATATTTGCCTCTGTAGCCCCCAATGCCTCCCATTGTACTGTGTTCTCCGTCGCTTGCCCTTCGGTGACTGAGGGGACCAGCATCATCTGCGGGCTTAAGTGTTGCTCACTACTAGCGAACGAAGCCGATCCAACGACAGAAGAGTTCGGTGTCTTAATACTCTGGGCAATCTGCGTTCGTCGCCGCGATTCCTGTATCAACCATGTCAGCTCTCGAGCACGACAGATGCAAGAAAGAATCGTAGCACCTACGTCGAGAAGCTTTTGGGCGCTGATATTGCTGCTGCTTTCTAGCCTACGGTGGAACTCCATGGCGTCTTCAACAGCCTTCTCGGCTATGTGCAGCTGCTGCTGGTCTTGGCAAATGGTCATGTAGACGATGAGAATAGATATGGCACAAAACAAGAAGTGGGAAGTGATCTGACAGAGACTGCTTGTCAGACATGGCAGGACCATAAACTTGGTGGCGGTTTGACTCACCCAAAAGGTCCCATTGTATCTCGACTCTGCCACGCCAAAGTCAGCTGCCAGTTTGATCATGGCAAGAGCATTGTCGGCACATCTTCTTGCCCGGTCTGATGGGGGCTCTACTGGAGACTCATTGGGCTCCTGTCGACGGAACTCTTGAAGAAGATACCCCCGATAGATAAGCATATTGGCAAAGAAATAGGCCGACTGGACGGTACGTTGTTGCCTCTTCAGTATCCACGGAACATCATAGTATCCTTCCTCGTCGTGCGAGGGCCGGTCAGGGTGGAAGAATCTTGGCGCGTTCTGGAGCCACTGTTGGAGTTCTTCTTCCAGGTCTGAGACCACCCTATCGACGGATGATTGCGGACGGTCGGAGGCAGGATAGAGCTGGGATGCAGCTCTTCCAATTATTCGTACTAGGCTGAGAGGAACCATGTCAGTAGACGATGAGAAGAGCAGGGTAGAAAGAATAGAAAGCAAACAGAAAGTGAAAAGCTTACCTATAGTGGAGCGTAGTGCCCATCAACAACTTCTTCTCACGAGCGTCAACCTGTGAGGAGATGCTATCGTCGATTTCGGGCGATAGAACCACAGTAATATCACCTTCATGTATTGCCATGGGCCGTCCCAGAATCACAGCCAAGTATCTAGATGCATCCAATTTAGCAATCTCCTATAGTGAGCGTAATTTGGCTTACCGGTCAATCATGAACATGGCCCAGAATAAACGTCTTCTATAATATAACTGAAGCGGCTCGATGGTCTCGGTGTGGTGCTCTTTCTGGATGTCGATCATCTGGCCCAATCTAACGGCCCATCCGAGAGACATCCACGCAGAGTTGAATCGACCTAAGACAAGCTCACATTGGCACTGGACCGCACATGGTTAGCAGAAGATTAGGGAAGCAGTGACACTCTAGAGCAGTAAAAATCACCTTCAAGACCTGTGCCTGCAGTAGCGCAATCGTTGGGGGGTATACATGTTGGACTCTCTCGAGCCTCGACTCGGCAGCGCGTAGGAATGGTAATCTTGTTCCAGTCAGCTTGATTGAAGTTGATGTCTCAGCCCCATCTTTCGTACGCTTTTGCTCTCCATGGCGCTACCGGCTCGTTTCTCCAGGACGCCGTCCAAACGCATCTGCCTCAAAAGTCAGAATAACCCAGCCAGTACCCTGAGTATTCAGCTCACCCAGTCCCGATGACAAGCAGAATAATAGCAGAGCTTTCATCATCTCGCGACAAGCTCACACTATTCTCGTACAGATCATCTAGCAGTTCAAAGGTCTGGTCACGCGGTAGAAAGCGACAAGTCGCATTCCCGTGCTCGAAATATGCCTCGAGGTAGCTTGTCGCGATGCTTTTGTCGGGTAGTGCTAGTGTATGGATATAGTTCGAGGTTCGCACCGATCGATCGCATTCGTCGTGTCGTTTGAAGAGATTTCTGGGTAACCCTTGACCTATCTGTGTCAAGTGCCTCGAGACTCTCCGCAGGAAGGCATCGACGCTGGCATCGCCTAATTTGACGCATCAGCGGACCACGTTTCTTCAACTAAGCCATGTGGAAAGAGATGCAAGGATTTACCGGGGCAATCTTCGACACCCTCGACGCTGTCTGTGTTGACTTGTTCGGCCGCGCTGGTGGTTGGTTCCGGGCCTTGCAAGCATGCAGAATTCCCGTCTCGGAGATGCTCGGATGGGATCGGAGGCTCAGATCTGTGCTGGGGCCGAGTCTGTCTTGTGTGAGAGAGAAATTGCATAATTAGTTACAGAGCTGACTCTACTTACAGCCAACCCTGCTTGAACGCGGTTGTAGGATGATAGGTATGAGCAGGCTGAATAGCACGTGTTAGGGTTGGGACCAGATGAAAGAGTGTGCCAACATCAGACCTACTGATGTGAGAATGTTTGCAGCGGAAGCAAGGCTGCCGTCCATCACACTTGACCTTACGTCGCTTGCAAAGATCGCATGCTCTGCGTTGATCGTCATTAGAATGCTTACATTACTGGCCCGGAGCGTCGGTCGATACATGCCTCGTAACATTTTTCCGATGAACCCCCTCAGTTGTTAGCGACGCCATGGTCCTATCCCTCCAGTCGGGGGCAGACCTCGGAGATGGTTGATGTAGTTATCAAATCAGGCGGAATCCCTTTGACTATTGACTAGGCCTTCCCCGACTGACTCAATAACAGCTCATCGATTATCAGCGACGACGCGTGTGATTACAGAATACCAGCCTTATAGAGGCTGCGTTATCTCGACACCCTGTTTTATGCATAACTTATGGAGCAGACTGACTGGCTGGAGATGCATGCCTTGTGAGGATATGCTGTAACCCCGCATCCAATCCTCGCCAGGGAAAAGCCGCATCCTTGCCACTAGTTTCGGAAATGCTGGTCCACTCTTTCGGAGTTGCTCGGACCTTCAGCCCCGGCCCATCTCCGACCACCCACCTTCAGACAATCGGTCTGGACGACAAGCAAGGAGGGTCAGTCTACCCCATGGGGAACCAGGCTTGCGATTCATTGGAATTTGCGGAGGTTACTATTCACAACGCTAACCCAACCATCATCATGGACGGTTATAAACTGTATCGACATCCCGCCCTTTGTTCTATATCTCAAGCAGCATCTGTCTTGGCCGTTTCTTGGTTCATCCTCACGATAATCGCCCTTGATCAAACAAAGATATCATGCAAAAGCAATCACTCCCCCTGCCCATTGAGGGCAAAGAAATGGATGAAGCCGTCCATACCGAGACGGTCACTGAACTGTCTGAAGGGGATCGAGCGTTTCTCGCGAGCTTCACCGACATGCAGAAGAAAAAGGTCATGTGGAAGGTAACTTTATCAACTCACGCTGGCAGAAACTTCAGCCTTGTATCGGAAAGAAAGCTGACTCGATGGTCTACAGCTCGACATCAGACTCGTGCCCATGCTCGCGTTCCTCTACCTCATCGCATACCTTGACCGAGCCAATATTGGTACGCCAGGACCAGGCTCGAGATACTCTTGTCATTGCTAACAACGCCTGTCAAGGTAACGCCAAGATCGAAGGTCTCATGGAAGATCTCAACCTGAATGGCACTCAATACAACATTGCGCTTTCCGTCTTCTTCGTCCCGTATATCTTGTTGGGTAAGATGGCCAAACCGATACTTCTGTGACTCCACGCTGATCCAGCTACTATACTTTTAGAAATGCCTAGCAACACACTCTTGCTCAGGTTCAAGCACCCTTCGTACTACATCGGCACCATTGTCACTCTGTGGGGTATCGTCATGACCCTCACGGGCCTTGTCAAGAATTTTGGAGGTCTTGTGGCATGTCGTATTTTGCTGAGTGTTTTTGAGTAAGATATCCCCACCTGGTTGCTTGTCCCATAATGCTAACAAACCTTGCCCCTTAGATCCGGCTTCTTCCCTGGCGCCGTCTTTACCATATCTCGCTGGTATCTGCCACACGAAAACCAAGTTCGGATCGCACTCTTCTACTCTGCAAGCGCCCTTGCCGGCGCTTTTTCAGGTCTCCTTGCGTTTGCTATCGCCAAGCTCGACGGTGTAGCCGGCATCGAAGGGTGGAGATGGATATTCATCCTCGAAGGCATTGCTTCAGTCATTGCAGGTGTTTTGACCTTCTTCCTCCTGATCGACACCCCGGAGCTTTCGGGATGGCTCACCCCCGACGAAAAGAAATATCTTACCCTTCGACAGTTTGCTGTCCAGGGAAACAGTATGCGGGTGCGAGCAGCTGAGGAGTCGCGCAAGTGGGAGATTGCCAAGTCAGTCCTCGTCGATTGGCAACTCTATCTTCAGGCGCTGGTCTATTGGTCGAATACCGTCCCGAATTACGGCATGAAATTCACCATGCCTCAGATCATCAAAAACATGGGCTACACCAGCAGCAACGCGCAGCTGCTAACTGTCCCGCCTTACGTCATCGGTGCCATCTCGGCTTTTGTCTCGGGAATCCTCTCAGATCGCTTCAAATGGCGGATGCCCTTTATCGTCACAGCCCAGACGCTGGTGCTCATCTCATTTGCAGTCTTGTTCGCGAAAGCTGATGCCATCTCTGATAACATACCAGTCTGCTACTTTGCAATTATACTTGCGAATATTGGCTTCTATCCAATCAACCCAGGTGGCAATGCTTGGACTCTGAACAATCTTGCTGGGCCGACCAAGAGGGCACAGGGTATTGCGTACATGATTTGTCTCGGCAACATTGGTGGCATTATCGGCAGCTATATCTACATCGAGGATGAAAAGCCTACCTATCCCACTGGTTTTGGATCCTCCCTTGGCTTCGCAGGCCTTGGTGTACTTGCCTGTATCCTCTTGGAGTTCTTCTATTGGAAGATCAACCGTAGCCGAGCGGCTCTGGATGAAGATCAAATTCACCAACATTACTCGGATGAAGAATTGGAGAAGATGGGGGACCGCTCTCCTCTCTTCCGTTACACACTCTAGGGGGCTTTCGGAACATGGGATATAGGAAAATGGATGACAGTCTTATATTTCTCGGTGGACAACTACAATAACTAATCCTTCCTAGAATTTTCTCAGCCTCGTAATTAAATATCGAGCTTTGAGCCAATATCTTGAGAGTTCTATCCCGTCTTGAAATACCCTGTAACGGCATTTCTTTCTCACTCCTCCGAGACATCGCGCTTCGGTATTAGCCCGGACTTTTAGTTGTCCGCCAAAGCGGGGCCTTTGAACCAATGATCACCTCCCCTCTTTCTCAAGCAGTTAAGCTCCTTCCATCCTCGACCGTAGGTATCCCAGCCAGATCGGCCTAAAGATCGGATCGGAGGCTGTTTGCGGCCGATATGTGGTGTACTTTCAGGGAAGGTTTACTTCTATATAAGCTCAAAAGTTGCACTTTATGTGTCTACACCAAACACCAAGAACTTCAGCCTGCAAGCATGGACTCTCAACTCGAAGGCGGTTTTCTGAGATTAGAAACAACTGGACTTTTTCTGCTGTTTCTCTGTACTCTATACTTGCTCTATCATGTGAGTACGGTTTCACTTCCTCCACCTTTAGTTCTAACAATCCATAGGTAACATGTACTATATTCTTTAATCCACTTTCTCGTCTACCAGGTAGGCCATCCGCATCCTAACCATTGCAGGCTACGATAACACTTTTATGCAGGTCCCTGGATATCCTGCTGGACAGACGCTATTCTGAAATACCACTGGCTAAAAGGCACAAAAGCGCAATACATCCACCGCCTACATCAGCGATACGGTCCGTTTCAATAACCTCCGACAGTTTACCGCTAATTCGTCACAGGCCCCGTGGTGCGAGTAGGCCCTCACGAGGTTGACATTTCCGATATAACAGCCGTCAAGGAGATCCATCGCGTCAAAGATGGCTACAGAAAAGCGCCATTTTACGAGAATCTTGTTCCCAATACAAACAACCTCTTCAATACCCTTGATGTAGAGTTCCACCGTCACCATCGACGTCTGCTGTCCTCGCCCCTCTCTGAATCATCGCTCAAGTCTGTGGAGCCAACAGTCAATGATTATGTCAAGACAGCAATTGCTAGTATGAAGCGTGAAATGGACGAACGCGGAACAGCGGATGTAGCCAAGTTCTGGCTGTTTATGGCCACGGATATAATCGTGGAACTGAGCTTTGGGGAGTCATTCGGCATACTGAAACATGGTAAAGTGGGTGGCAAGTTTACGGGTCTGTTGTCTTTGCTAACTCATATGGCCAGAAGAACCAGTATATCAAAGACCTAGAAGGTCTAGCAGCTAAAGGTTCGATTCGATCGACATTCCCAACTCTCATATCAATTGCGACTAAGCTCCCACTTCCTATCTTCAAAGAAACTGCCGCTGCAGCGCAACGGATCAGAGACTATTCCGCCGAGGCTGTCGCACGCTACAAAAGAGATTTCGCAAACAATCCCGCAGCAGCTAAGCCCACGTTGTTCAGAAAGCTCTTTGAAGCTGGTGAAGCGGGTCTATCAGATGATGAGATTCGGGCTGAGGCGCAGGCTTATATTGTCGCTGGTTCTGATACTACTGCAACGACATTAACCTACCTCGTATACTCCGTCTGCTGTCGTGGCGATGTCCGGCAGAAGCTGGTCAAAGAGCTCATGGAACTACCCGACGACTTTGGCCACAGTGACTTGCGCGAGCTTCTGCACTTGAACAACGTTGTTGATGAGACGCTTCGACTATATGCAGCAGTTCCTTCAGCTCTTCCTAGGGTCGTGCCCGCTAGGGGCGCTCACCTTGCGGGCTACTTCATTCCCGGTGACACTGTTGTTTCAACACAGGCCTGGACCTTACATCGCGACCCAGATGTATTTCCCGACCCAGAGACTTGGGATCCAGCACGTTGGGAGAAGGGTAGCAAGCTGATGCACGATGCAGTTATGCCTTTTGGCGGAGGTTCAAGAGGTATATCTCTCACCTGCTGTTTCTTTTCCAGTCTTTACTAATGGTTTTCAAGTCTGTATCGGTAAACATCTTGCACGAATGGAGCTTCGTTTGGCTACCGCGAGATTCTTCCGCGCTTTTCCAAATGCCTGTATTTCATCAATCGAAGGAATGTCGCAAGATGATATGGAGCTGCGTGCGTATTTTCTTTTGACACCGAAAGGAGGAAGATGTCTGATCCAGCTGGATTAAAAAATTGGCCGACTGTTTCTTCTTTGTGTAGCCTGACGATGCGAGAATGAAGGCCTTGGTGGCGTGGTGAAAGAACTAAGGCGAGTAGTAGCTGGGTAAGGCAGCAGGAAGGCGGACTTTTAGGAGCGAGGTGGTAGTATTGGTATAGCTTTGCTACCTGTAGATACCAGCTTGCATAAGAGTTTAGTTATTGGTAGAAAAAAACAAAACATCCCGAAGAGCCTTTCTACCTTAATCTTACGATGAAAGAGAATCAGTTGGCCAGAAGTACAGGGTATTTCCCATGATTCGATGGGAGATACTTTAGCTGCCACTGAGGTAGTATGGCTAAGCAGGTACCCCCTCAACAATTAAAAAAAGAGTCTGTGCGCCCCCAGAATTCATCCAACGCGTCTCTTTTTTCGCGTCAGCTGGCGAAACATTGAAGAAAATAATACTGCGGCGTCCTTCAAGCATATCGGTTGCTAGTTATAAGTAGTTCTTATTATCTTTGTTATTTGTTTAGTAATCATTAAAGTCCGAGCCATGGCCTTACGCTTATTCTGCTGCCAAACTTGCAGACGGGAACGTCATTCGTTTATCTGACGGGAACTTCCGTCTGCAACACATCCCAGCCGATAATGCAATAAATATTGCTTGACCCTCCAGAAGATGTTAACTGCAACTGGATCCTTGGTCCAGCAAATTTTGCAGCGCTCAAAACTGAAGCAAGTCTCTACGAGGACTTATGCTGCCGTTGCAGTTCATTTGAGAAAACAAAGACAAAACTATGCCGAATTATCAAAGGAGAGCACGTGCAGCAGTGTCCATCAACTTCAGCTCTTTGGTCAGATCCGCTCATCTTATCAATTGACAGCCTAGCTTCCCCCTTACCTTCGCAACCTTGACCCCATCCACAGCACCAACACCCAATTTATTTTTAGCCTCCTCAAGTCCCCTCCTCTTCCTCCTTTCAACCGTCAAGAAGCAATACCTCGCGACCGCCGAAGCCACAGAACGGAACGTTTCAGGTCCCGCCTCTCCCACATTACGCACTGACACGACCGTCAGCTTTAGTTGGTTATTTAGCGATTGGCCAAGGCATCTCGCAATCTAGGCCAATCCGTCAAATGATGTTCAGCCTGACTCGCGGGCCACGAAGCGCTAGCTCATTTGGGGGGCGATGCAGGGGTATGTAGTATTGACAAGTCATGGAAATTGTGAAGGTCGAGGAAGAAGAAAGGATAGATCCACTGGGGATTGTTTCTTCTCCACAAACACTGAAGGGAGCTAAAACAGTCCCGAGGGCATCGCGTCTAGACATCTTGAGTAGAGAAGCTGGAGGGTAATTTCTTAGAGGAAAGGTAACCAAGCTGTCGTGAAATCGCCAATGCCATTGTCCTGAGACGACAAAGTCCATTCCATAACAAGATAAAAGCAAACCTATCTTCTGCCATCACCGTCAAAAGTCAATCCTTAATATCGTTTCTGCCCCGCAAGCATGTGACCAATGCTCTCGATACGAGTGTGCCAAGGGCGCATCTGGCAGCTGTATGATATGATTGACACTGCCGTCTGTGCGATGCATGCTTTGACCCGTTTTGTTTCGTTTCGTTTCGTTTCCTCTATTTAATTCCCAGCCTGTCTCATTCACTTGGCCCTCTAAGCAAGTTGTCATTCATTCTGTACCGCCAAAATGCATCTCAATTCGCTCCTTGTATCCTCCCTCTTCGCTGCTTCAGCCCTCGCGGCACCAAGGGCTTCAACAAAGAAAGCTTGTGAAGAAATATCAAAAGCCATTCCGGATCGCGTCTCACAGCCCTTCACTATCAACTACAACAGTCAATCGTCAGGGTACTGGTCTACAGCTTTACGTGAGATCAAGCCTGCTTGTGTCGTCACTGCCAAGTCAGCTGAGGATGTTTCAAAGGCTGTCACCATCTTGAACAAGTATCCTGATGTCAGGTTTGCTGCTAAGAGCGGTGGACATGATCCTAACCCTACTCATGCGACTGCTGGTGATGGAGTCCTCATCTCGTTGAATGAGATGGTAGGCGCTACTTATGATGCTGATAAAAAGGTTGCATATGTCAAGCCTGGTGGAGAGTGGAATGATGTTATTACGCAGCTCAACAAGGATGGTGTTGCTATCGTTGGAGGTCGTCTCGGTATGTTTTGTAAGGCTTACTGGGTGATACACTGCTGACTTGGGTCTAGGACTGGTTGGTGTTGGAGGTCTGCTTACACAAGGTGGCATATCTTTCCTGAGCGCTCAATACGGCTTGGCTGCTGATGTATGATCTGTCATGGAACCAGAATGACTCTCACTAACAATGTGCAGAACGTTGTCTCCTGGGAGATGGTCAACTGGAACGGCACAATTATCAATGTCGACGCAAAGACTCAGCCCGAACTTGCTGTCGCATTAAGGGGCAGTGGAAGCCAGTTCGGTCAGTCTAAATACATCCTCCATCAATGTAAAGCTAACAATCGTAGGTATCGTGACACAATTCACCATCAGAGCTTACCCCATCGGAAAGGTCTGGGGCGGTATTCGCACCTACGACGAGTCCAAGACAGACGAACTCTACAAAGCGATGCACGAGTTCATCCCATACAGCAACGAGGACCCCAAGGCCGCTATCATTGTTACCAGTCTCATCCTCACTGGAAGTAGCAGGATCAACCTTTTATTCTACTTCTATCAAGGCGAGAAGCCTCCTACCACTGGAGCCTTTGCCGATTTGTTGAAGATCAAGTCGACGCTTTCGACTACAAAGACACAGTCTTATCCTGATCTGGTAAGCCAATCGATATCGTCTTGGGATGTGACAGTACTAACGGTATACCAGCTCAAGTCCAACGGCGCCGGAGTTTCACTCTTGAACTCGAGGATCTCATTCAGAGTAAGCAGCTTTTTTCCCAATATCTAGCCTCAACTAACATCTCAGACCGCCACTATTCCCTACTTCCCCGATGACTCAAGCGTGTATGCCGAAATCACCGACAAGTTCGTCGAGATCACAAGTACCTACTTCAAAAACCTCCGCGGTCTCGCCTCCCAATGCTCCGTCGACTTCCAACCCCTCCCATACTCGATCGGTAAACACACCGAAGAACGCGGCGGAAACGCCATTGGTTTCACCGCCAACGACCCAGACCGCGTTCTTCTTGAGATCCAGTGCGCCTGGGTTGAGAAGCGCTACGACGATACTGTTCGTCAGTTCTCCAAGGACTTGACCGCTTGGATTGAGGATCAGCTTCCTGAGTGGATTGAGAGAAATGGAGGATCGGTGGATGAGTATCTTCCTTTGTTTATGAATGATGCTATGTATGATCAGAACGTCACGGGGACTTACAAGGATTACGCTAAGTTTAAGGAGTTGCAGCGCGAGGCTGATCCGGAGGGTGTGTTGAGAGACAGGATGGGTGGTTTCAAGTACTGAGCCAGCTTCAGGGCTCTAGTTATCGCATTCGTATAGTATTAATAATAATGTCTTGTCTATAAAGTTCTCTTTGGCTTGATTAGGCTGCTGATACTGCCAGACTTAACACGCCCTCGCACATGAGCAACTGTGGATGCGATCAAGGAACTTGACTCCTTGCCATGCGTAAGTACAAGTGCCCTCGTCTCGAGCAAGCCAACAGGCTATCCCACATCCGTTTCAGCAAGGTATTCCCTATCCCGAACTGCTTCAGATGGTCCAACGCTACTTGTGTCTCCGCAAAAGTCCCAACAGCAGAACCAGCCCCAAGTTTGAGATGCGCCTCGATAAGAGGTTTTCTAAGATCAACTTCTGTATATATCTTGTTGAGAACTGTGACACCCTTGTCCATCTTTCTCGTCTTGTCAAACATCTCATCACTCAATGCCACCATAGCTTTACCGAGCTCGGTATCAGGGCCAGCAATTCGGGAGTTGATTTGCAGAGATTCTCTCATGGTGTCCAGATTTAAGAGGAAATCGCGTATTCTGTTACGAAAGGCCTCGTATTTTGCGTGTTCGGCCATTGCGCCCAGCCATTCTCCTCTATCAGACTCGGTGAATGCGGCTTGTGAAACTGCCGGTGTTTGGTTGGTGTCCATTGCATATAGAAGAGGATTCTCAAACTCGATGGGAATTGGGAAAGTATAGAGTGTTGAAGTTTGCATGAGAATCAAGAATCAAAAGGAGGAATATATGACCCTGTGCGGGGGAAGATGTCAGTGTCAAGGTATGCCAAAGTGATGCAGAGCAATGCCATAGAATACTCAATCTCATCTATTTCTGGTAGGTTCTCATTCTAGTCACGGTTCATGACCAACACGAGCATAGATTCATTGCTATAGGCGCTGTGAGATAGTGATAACAATCCTCAGCGGTCAATTCCTGTGAGTGAGTAATCTTCAACCATTGGCTCTTGTCAGAGTAGCGTTTCAGAAACTTCCCGTGTCTTTACCAACTGCATTTTTGCAGTTATGCAACCCATCTTGGGGTTCCGGACGGCCAGCTTGCGCGAGCTGTCAATCCGGGATCTTGATAGTACTGGAGACCTCTTGCGTAGCAGGATTTGAAAGGGAGCTATCGCACATGTATCATCTCAGTACTTGATGGAGCAACCCGCATATAACGTGGTGCAAGGTAAGCGGATTTGGTACTGAGATTTAGTATGGGCAGCATTGCTGCATGGCGGCTATCTCGTACGTCACCCATCGTCTCATGGAGACAACACTCAGCCTTGTGTAACCCAGCTGCATCGGAAACTCATGATTCCGAAGATCCCAGTCCAGCCACCTCTCCTCACCGCCACTGACCAGCCAGCCACAAGAAAAAGTGGTATTACTAGAATGAGGAACCCTGGTCGCGCAGTTCAGCTGTGTCTTACAACCCCGCCCTGAGACATATTCTGCACTCATGATTGCGCCCCATAGTCCCAATCCCCGTTGTGTCTCTCTTCTCGGAAGTTTGCACAGTGCAAATGGGCTGTTTCTCTGGCTGGTATGTGTACTACCTGCATCAGTCATTCGTTGAATGCCGCATGATAAAATTGCCTCCATGAGATTGCAATAGTTCGACGCATGTTTGAGTTGATTCGATGAGGTTTGGTGTTTTTCTTGGTGGCTAATTACCCGGCATACCTGTAGAAAGGCACTTGATCTAGTGTGAAGAGGCGGACATACATTGATCGTGCATCTGAGACATACAAATCACTTTTCAGAATCGATATCTCGAGGAGAAAACGCGACAACGCTGCACAGGCTCATTGTAGCTGCATATGCAGTGACAGCGCGCAGTCCAGTGTCCTGTTGGAAGGCTTGTTACTCGCCAAGAGCTACCCAGCACAGAACTCTTGTAATTTCACGCGACACAAGTCTCACTCTCTCTATCAGCCATGATGTAGTGCTCAGTGCCACCAGGTTGGAGAGCCCGCCCAGTGTCTCAATTCTGGTGAGTTATTATTATTATGCTTGCTTGGCACCGTTTCCTTCAGCCAGTTTACTCCAATGAGCAACAGCCATCTACCCCCAGTACCCATTTCTTTCCTTTGGAGCTGCGGGCCGTAAACTGCCAGCCGCTGCGGACCGCCCATATTTCACTAGTCTGACTTGCTTCAGACCATGTTGGTGTTTCCTGCACGACATGAGACAATATCGCATGGTATTGAGATACCATACTCGTGTAACCATCAGCCATGAGTTCAATTTGGGGTTAGGCTGCAAATTATAAGTAAGGTCTTAATACTCCATTGAGTAAGTCGACTCGCCAGTTGTCTAAATTTGTGCAATGTCCACAATCGCTCTATCTCGAAAGAGGGCATCGAACCCCTCTTCACCGACCACCAACTTGAGTAAGAAGCTGAAGCTGACAAGCATATCCCCGTTTCAGCCTCTGAACCAACAGATTTCACCCGCCAGGCTTACGACACTTCTGAACCAAGACCCAACCGATCTTGTTCCAGATCTGCGGATGCAGGTGACATGTCTGAAACTGTTTCTCCTGGCAATGTGAGATCACATACCAATGCACCTTGGACCCAACTGACAACCTGCAGTTCTCGAATGCCAGAAAATAAGCTGAGTGTTAAAAGGATTTCACCGAAACATAGACGGGAGCACGAAGTGGGGTATAGACAAGCTGTAGAGGCTCTTAGCAAGTTGGATGTTCTGGGCATTGCAACGCGGAAAATGATCGCCACGGTCAATGATATTGAGAGGATTACCAAAGATATTGATGAGATTCTGGAATTTGAAGCCCCATCATTTCCCAACGTGCAGCTGAAGAGGTCATGTCAGGATTTTATCGGGGTATATGAGGAGAGATTGGCCAGCTTGGACTCTATGAGAGAAAATCGTTGTAAGGATAGTTTGTCCGGTGGTGAACATGAGATGGTCTAAAAGAAATTTATCAGACACTCCCGGCGAAACTGCTTGTCAAAAAGCTCACTTTTCAAGGTTTTAAGAGCGCTGACATGTAGTATTGTTCGGTTATTCCTCGTGCGCAGTTGAATGCTGTCTCGGTTAGGCACCAATCTTCAGTACGTGTGAGTAATAGTCCCCTTCAGTGAGGCACTTCAGTGCAGTTGACGCTAATGTGCCCCGAATGATATCTACAAATGTGACTGTATTGTTCAACAAGATATCATAGCTTATTAGATTCTTTGTTAACAATTGTTCGAAAATCCTCTTCCTCGATGCCTTCACTGCTAGTTCTTCCTCTTCTGTTCATCTTCTAATCGCACTTATTGAGCCTGTATAGTGAACTAGCACTGGGAGACGGCTACTGTTCTCTAATGTGCATCTCACCTCTTCTGTTCGGCTTATTCACAGCTACTGTATAAAGCATCCTCAACTTCACTTTTGGCCTCTTAAACCAAGCGCATATGAGTCTCCTTCAGATTCACCCCAACACGATGAAAATTTCACATCAATTCCCAATCATAAGCTAGCAAGGTCATCAGTCTATGAACCAACTACCAAAATGTCCGACCAATCCTCGCCATTCCGAAACAAAAGTGTCATCTCGGACCTTCGACGAGAGTACAAACAACGCGTGTCCAACTTTGCAGAGGACATCGCTCAGGTCTATGAGCTACGCGCCAAGGTGGACAGACCAAACCGGGACTTCGAGGAGGGACTCGGGAAGGACATCGATCGACTGCTGCTCCTTCACTCTGAAATCATAAAGGGAACCGATGCAGTTAAGACGGGAGACTCCCTTCTGGTGACCGAGGGGGACATCATAGCCCTCTACCATCAGCTTGGCACCAAGGGTGTTTCAGAGCATTGGTATGAGTGCGTTATTGAGCACATTTGGGAGAACGAGAAACTTAAAGCGCAAGAGAAGATGGTCAGAAAGAAGTACTACGAGCTATACCATCAGAAAGGGCGCCCACGCATGACTCGTGACAATGGCTATTATACACGTCGTATGCATTGGTATTCTGAACGTCTGTTTAGTCGAGAGAACACAACTGAAGACGGGCCACTGCCAGTCAAAATTGTAAAGAGGCTTGCATTCCTGGAGCTGTGTGGAGAGGCAGATGTTTCGGAGTCCGACTTTGAGCAGGATCTGAGCGCCCGGACTGATATTCCAATTGAAGCCCTCAGGCCCGCGGGAGTTGAAAGCAAAGATTCCATCTTGTGGATAGAGCGTAGATATGGATGTAGGGGCCGCAGGCACAGTTAACTGTGATTGTGGCGTTGTTGAGCGAGATGCAAATGGTTGGAGTAAGCTCTCTATTCTTGGCAGGTTTCGATGAAATCGGGTGTAGGTTTTGCTTTTATAAGATAAACTTCTGGTCTTTTAGAGCTAGGTCTAGTATTATCGAGGCTCACTCTCGCTGCAGGGCTAGGTAGTTCAAATTCCGATACCGTGACAACTAAAGCAGTCCAAGACCCATTATCTTATTTATTGTGCGTCCTCATTTGACATTCGCGTGTTCTTTTACTCATCATCTTGACTAATTTCGACGTCCCCCATCAGCTCATTCAACATAATGCCTTCCTTCCAGACGTCCTTTGCTATCTGTTTCTGTTGATCATCCCAGAAAACCTCTGGACCCCAGCTTTGTTTCTCCGTTCTGGCCTTCCTTCTTTTCTTCATTGCGTCGTGGATTCTTTGTTCTGACTCCTGTTTTGCTAGGTGTAGCCAGACTGCATTCTTTGGCTTGCTAAGCTTCGTGTTGTAAACCTCCCATAATACTGGGAATATCTCGACCCGCTTCATGATCCAATACGGCGCATGGCCGAATTCTTGGTAGAACCGTAGGTCTTTTGCATCATCAGGATTATGCCACCGAAATTTGCCGGGATCTTCGTTCGAGATAGCTTGTTCGATGCAGCTTGTTAGTCCTGATAGGAACTTCTTCTGTTGTCCGTCATTTCTGCTTGCTAGCTCCAAGAGCTGTATGTCATGAACTCGGCCTAGTGACACTTTGAATCGGTGAAATAAGATTCGGGATATGTCGCGGATGTCGAATCCCACTTTGGGGATGTTTGTCGACTCGAGAAGCACTCGAAGAGATGTCTCGCTGTTGCCGACGACCGAGAAGGCTGCATCTCCAAGTTTTCTCACATTGACCGTGCAAAGTGTTCTATTCGATGGAATGAATAAGTGGAGGTCGATTAAATCGTCTTTGGCTATTCCTGTGGCATCGAGATAGATCGTCCGAGGTGCCGCGGGGAGCCTGATGACATCTCTGAGTAGTCGTTTTAGTTCATTCTTGAATTTGACTGATATGAGGGACAGTCCACTGCCCTCATTCTAATTTTCAGTAGATTAAGAGATCGACTGCTGGTTCATTGTATCGGTGAATAGTTGACGAAAGCGAAAAGGAATGATGTGGCGCGATATGCTTGTGGACGCTCGCAAGCTTTCTGTGCACTAGCTAAGGGGTAATAAAGAATGGATAGAATGAATGTAAGAGCTCATGACGAGATTGACTGATTGATTTTGCCCCTCTTGCAGATGATTGGATTGGCTCGATGTCGCAGCCTGATGGTGTGACGATGGGCCACCCGCATTTGGTCATCGCGCATGGATGCCTCAGCAAATCTCCGGTCAATGGCAACAAGTTTACTATGTAACAAACACTACCATAAATTCCTGCCCATTTATTTGCTTGAAATCCCTAGCGACCCAATACCTCTCCATTCTGTCTAGCAGAGCATACATCCAAATTAAATACGTACTGCAAATCCATATCCTAACAGTAAGTAATGGCAATGCCTGACATTTAGTACAGACTACCAGTCCAGTCTTGAGCAGCCCCCGATGAGGTAGCACCATTTATCGGACCCGCCAAGTTGACTCCAGAGTTAGTGTAGATGCCAAAAGGATCACCAGCGTCATTCTTGGGGTTGTAGCTACAGCCTCCAGACGATGGGGGAAGAAGTTGCCAGTACATGTTAGGCAGGCCAGCAGAGTTCATGTCATTCACTTCCGAGACGAATACCGATTTCTGATCATACTGTTGCGAATCGACTCCCCATTTCTCGAGATAGACCTTCTTTCCGTTGGCCTGATTTAGCCAGTTGGGTAAGTTGGCGCTCCACATGCCAGGGACACTCGCGTAACGGTGGACGGAAATGGCATCGATAGCCTTGCACTGCGTGACCGCAGGGAGAAAGGTGCAACCATGTGAAAAGTCACCGCCTAGGCCACCAGTGGAAATCAGGATATGGCTGTCGAGTCCCGCGTTGCGCATGAAGGTTGCACGGCCACATGCCCAGCCTGAAGGGTCGCCGTTCTTGCAGTTGCTAGGTCCAGGAGTCATAGGTTCATTCTACAGACTCTGTTAGAGAATTCTAAGCCGATGTGACGACTTAGGGTTCGTACCTGCAGGTTAAAGCTAAAGATGGCGGTCGGCCAGTTCTTCCAGACTTTGCCAGAGTATGTGCCCTTGTAGTTAAGAATGTACGACAGACGCGCGTCGTATGCATCAAAGGCGTCCTGCTTCTCATAGAAATACCCAGAGCCCCATCGGGCCCAATAGGCGTCCCTTGAGAATGTCAGAGATTGAAAGTCTGTGCCACGTGGATAGATACTACGTACTTTCTGTAGTCTCCAATCAAGGAGTTAGCGTCATGGGGTGAGATGATAGCCTTGATGTTCTTGTCCGACAACTTGACCAGAAGCTTATCAATCTCATCCAAAGTTACCTTGTTGTACTGCCCGATAGTGGTCTCCAACTGCGGGATATCCCTGACGATCTGGCTTCCTTTCTGGCAGCCCTTGCTAGCTTGATTGACCCAGAGCCTGACAACTTTGGTGTCGTAGGAGGACAAAGTCTGGATGTAAGCGTCCTGGGCTGAGTCTGACATGCCTTGAAGGAAGTAGTTGTTGGTGCCAGACCAAGAACCGGACTTGGCCTCGGTCAATTGGCAAAAGTGAGCGAGGGCTAGACACAGCGTAGTGAAGAGACCCTTCATGGTTCGGGCTGATTTGAGGGAAGGAGAAGTAGTTGGGGAAATGATGAGTGATGATGATTTGGGCTCATTTCTTACCAGAGGGCTATGGATTGTATTTATATTTGATGGGTGAGAACGGCGTCTTGCATATTCAGGCTGTGTGGTGTATATATGCTACATCACAGTTGACTTTAAGGTGGCATTGGGGAAAATGCGGGAGGGAGATTCCTAGCACTCCGTAAGCATGCAATCCTTGATGAACACAATCTTCCAACAGTGTATAGACAGGGCAGGAAGTTACCATAAAACTTATACAACTCAGTTGGCCAAGCAAATTTGATCCTATAACAATTAGATGCCAAGAAATATCTACCTGGAGTATTCATTCTTCGTCGTTTCAGCGACATCTTCTCCCTTCTCTCACTCGATCAAGCTACCGATGCATCATGGCCCCCAAATGGCAAGTTCAAGAAAGCCAGGCTCGGCCCCAAAGACTGCCGTTGTAGCCGACACCAACCAATCATGATAAACAAGGTGGTGGATGATGCGCGAATTGATAGCTCGGCGTGCAATAGGGCCCTGCTAAGACGGTATCTGTTTAGGGAGTAATTCCAGAGATATGAGTCCGGAAAATGTTACTGGAGGTGTCCTCGGTTATTCCCCCAAGTTCAGCTGGTCCTTTTTTACAGATATTACCCCAACCGTGCTGATAATCCAATGAGTCTTATTGGCCTCAGTAGCCGACTAGACCGTATCGATCTTTCAATATATGCATGAATCCCTTGCGCTCGGCCATTTCAACCAAAAGGTTGTAAGTAACGACGTTCAGCGTCTGTATCAAGCTTGCATTTACGAACTGCTTATTCCGGCACGGTGATGGAGTTCGGGTGTACCGGCCCACGGTAATGGGAATTTATGGGACGATCTTTGTGGCGAGACCCAGTAATAGCTAGCTATTGGATGTATGAATCCACTCTAGGCAGCTGAACCAGGTACGGAGTTTCATATTCGGCAATAGACGCCAGCTAGCTCATGATCCGCTACCGGCACGAGCTAACTATTATTACTCCCGAACTTTCAGCCGGCTCTCAAGATATAAGTCCACAAGTTGAGAAGCCCCTATGAGTAAGACCTAGAAAGCTGAGCCAATTATCATCAATCAATAACATCCCTCTCTACCATCGCAGAACCATTCGACTGCTCTCCAAACTTTATCCACCATGCCTTCTCTCATTACACTTTCAATGATGGTCGGAACCATTGCGACATCAGTGGTCGCAGATATCTACAACGTCAACGTTCCCTCGGGCTTCTTTCCTGGTCCTCAGTCTGGCATTGGCTCATGGTACCGCGCCTCCACCGGCCAGGACTCAACCAATGGAAACAGCTGGTGTGGCTACAAGTACTACAACTCAGACCCTTTGTTTGCTCCCGTAAGCCATTTCAAAACTAATATGCTTCTTGAACACCTACTCATAATTTAAAAGTCTCTGAAGGCAATGGGTGGTGCCACGTATAACTCCAACCCCGATGCCTGGAGACAGCAGACTAGGAAGTACTGTGGCCTGGAAGCCAAGGTCACGGACCCCACTACCGGCAAGAGTCAGCTTATGTACATTGGCGATTCCTTTGACGATCAATGGGTCAGAGTAGGTCACACGAGGAACTTGGGAGAAATTGCTACTCATAAGTCTATGTAGACGCCCGCATCTATCGACATCATGATTGACGCCTTCTCCAACATTCACGGAAATCCCAACGGGGACAAGAACAACGTCATCAAGGGAGTTCAATGGGAGCTCACAGGCAGAGTCAACACCAAGTATGCTGCACCAGGCGCGTCTTGGCCTCCCGCGTCAGGCGGTTCTGGCACTGGCGGTTTGGGAGCCAAGTGCGATGGGCAGACCAAGTTATGCAACAGCGGCCTTACATGTCTCTCCCCTGATGGTGTCTGCAGCGACAAGGCTTGTAATTGGGGGTGAGTTGATCATATCAAGAGTGACATGTTCCGATGCTAACTAGTCCTGCTAGGTGCCAAGGATGGTCTTGCGGCTCAAGTGTGCCGTGCCAAAAGCCCTGGAACTGTGTCAGCGGCTTTTGCAATGTTTAGAAACGAAAATGGTGATCCCGATTATTCCTAAGTGATCCGGGTGTTCGCCACTACTTGATGGATCAACTTAAAGACCTGAGTTAAGATAAGAACTTCTGGCGCTCAACACGCCAATGTACTGATACAAACTCCACCGTCACAAAAAACTCATCTCCTCAACAGTATCAGATTCTACAAAAGGGAGTCAAACTCGCTTAATATTAGTTTTCAAACAAAATAAACTCTTTCCCCTTCAGTCATCCTCTGCATAGCGGAAGTTTACCAGATACTCCAATTGGCTTTTCTTAGCCTCCTCTACTCGCCGCCATGTAACATAAAGATCCCTCTCAAGTTTTGCACACTTGTCGATCTTGGCCTCCAGACTCTTACAGTCAAGATCTTTCAGAATATCGAGATGTCGCTTGCATTCTTCGTATGCAGCCTCAGCAGCCTTGATCTCTGCTTCTTGAGCTTGATGGACGTAAGACTCTAGTTTCATGATTCTCATATCCTTCTTTTCGAATTGAAAAGGTGCTGTACTCTTTAGTTCTCTGCGTTTCATTTCGATCTTGGTGAGTGCAAGGGCATGCTCGAGATTAGCGACACTGGCCGCGAGACCAACGCAGTCAGTGCAGGTCATGTCATTGGTATAGTGGTCCATTCTAACGATGGCCGTGATGCTCACAGGGGTGCTTTTGAATGTGATGCTCAATGGGTAGTTTTGGTGTTGGTGGAAGTTACTGTTGGGCCGTCGGTCAATCACAGAGTCGGGAGGACTTATATAGTGTGAATCTGGTGCAAGTTCGTCTTTTTGACATTCTTCTGTTCGGCATACATTTGTCTTTGCAATTCACAGCAGAGTTGGCACCAGCTGTTCATTTGACATCGATTGTGCATGGGCTCTAGTCCTTGAAAGCTCCCTAACGTTTTTCTTGAGTGTTCTATGTTCAAGCCAAGAACAGAGGGCATTCTGATGTTCAACTTGAGACCAACATAGCATAATGTTCACTGTGCCAATCCCCTTGACCTTTATCTTATCTATCTGTAGTCACGACTACAGAAACTGATATGATATTTCCTCCACATTTGTGTCAGGGCTTGAGTTTCCCTTGAAGCCCTTAATCTTTCCACTCACTATAGAGTACAGTAAATAGGACGCTTCAATTATGATCATGGATCTAGCTTCTCGATAATGAGGCTGGAGCTAGTGGTAGAAAAAGGTCCCGCTCAGCCATGTCTCGATCAACATTTTTTTATCTTTATACTTTCTAACGTTTGTGGCGGGATAGCAGGCTTGGTCTTTTTGATGTGGCGGTGAGCAGCATCATCGTGAAATTCAGCCAATCGCTTCACGCAGCTCAACCCCAGACTTGTTAAGGCATACCAGCCGGAAAGGTGGGAGAGGCTTGCGACGTCATAAGGTTTGCAGCGTAGCATCAAGTAAGATGAAAACTGGGGATTGCATGTCAAGACAGCGGCCGGACTGGAACTCATTGGAGAATGTTGCGCATGGTCAATGCTGGAAGAATAACTACCGAATCATTACCAGGGTCACAGGCGGTCAATCTGAACCAAGACTACATATACCCTTCTTCCAACAACATCGTGTTCGACAACTGCCTCTACAATCACCATCAATCACCATGATGAGCATCAAGTACCTTCTTTTCTCCGTCCTCCTCGTCGGAGCCGTTCAGGCGTATGATCAGCCTCTCAATCCCATACCAAGACCTCAACTAACTCACTTCAACAGAGAGGATTCAAAGGATCTCAGCAAGCACAACTGCTGTCTCCATATCTAAGACGCCAGTGATGCTTGGTGGATGACAAACCCCGACATCACCAAAGAAGTCTGCAAGTCGTACTACAAGGATGTCGTCAGTATATCATCACATCTACTCTTCAACAGGACTGACACGGTTTCTAGGCGCAATTTGACAGCAAGACCGGGACGTGCAACGAACACAAGAATGGGACGATCAAGGATGCGGATTGGAAGAGCAAGTGCAAGATTTATGGAACATCATTGGGCTGGACTGATGATCGGGTTGGGGCTGGGTATGACGCGACATGTTATCCGATAGACGCATGAAGTGTTGGGAGGGAATCGTGTTGATGGAGCCAGGCACGTTACTGCATCTGCATGGTAAATCGAGAACCGACAGCCTATTTTACGAAAGACGGGGAGAGCTGACAGCACCGATAACCTCGCTACATTCTAGGTGCGAGTCCTTGCTGTTACCACGAAGCGACCAACCATCGACAATTGTATCAGATGCTGGTGACATCTTACGAACGCTCATGGGAAGGGTGCAGCTATTGACTCATTGCCACGTGGAGATCCAGATCCTTATGCACTTTTTGAGTGTATTGTATTGACTATGTCTAAGCCCAAGTTCAAATACCTGCAACGTTGGATTATCTAGCTATTTCTGCCTTCAACGATGGGGCCTTGATTATTTTTTTCGTCTCGAAACCACCCAAAGGAAATCCTGTATCTCATGGTTAATTGTGTTCTAGCTTGCGACTTATCGGACCAACAGGCTTACCAGTCTGTCACTAGCTTGTATAAGTTATTGCCTAGATCGTCACCGACATTTGCGGGGTGCTCGTGACATGCTCGTGGCGTCAACCTCAACCATGTTTGGCCCCATGATGGTAACAAACATCACCAAAACTCCACCAACAACCGCAAGACTTGAACAATTCATTCAAACAACAATTAAAGTCGCTCAATATTACTTTTCTAAAACTAAACCAGTATTACTAATTAAATCCATCTCGCCAATACAACCAAGCCCAAACCCCAGCTTATGAACCCCCCTAAACTCGCACCAACACTCCTCCCCGCCAACAGACTACTCGCCGTATTATTCCCCCAAAGCCACGTCACTACCCCAGCATCATCCTCATCATCAATACTGCACACTATCCTACAAACATTCTCATCTCCCCTCTTCCTCAAAAACCTCCCCTTCGGCCCAGCGCCATCTCGCTTGCGCTTATCCGATGTCTCGCTGGTGTTGTACAGAAGTTGAAGCCACTGCATCTCCATGTATGCTTCTTCACCCATCGTCATATTCTGCGTCCAAACGCCACCGTCACCCCATGTGTTGAATATCATAAGAGATGGATCGCGTGGTACTTGGAATGAGATGTTGGCGACTTGTTTGCCGTTGGCGTACCAGATTGATTGGGTTGGTGTCCAGTCCATGCGATGTTCTACCCATTCGTTCCACTCGAGACTATCGGGGAGTGTTGTGTTGCGTGTCGCTTTGGGGTACACTTCGCCTTCAATGCTGTATCCTGGATGATTCGTGTAGTGAACCCGATCGTAGTCTTCACGGGTGAGAATCTCCATGTCGGCTTCTTGGACGTTCTTGATCTCGTCGGCGGGGACGTAGGTGAACATTGCCATGCAGGCGCCAGGTGCACCTCTCACGCGACCGAGGAATCTGATGGAGAGAAACTGGAAGCGATCAATTGAGTCAAATTCGGATGCGACTTGAAAGTCTTGTTGTCGGTTCGTTCGCATGGAGAGGTAGGTTTTTGACGCGGGGTTCTTGTCTATGTTGGTCCGGATATAAATGTTGTTTGCCGAGTTGACCATGGGGAATCTCGCGCCGTAAGCAAGAGTGTCGTGACTTCTTCGGTTGCTCCAACTTTGAATGGACCAAAAGCTCTTCCATTCCTTCTTCCTGAAGTATTTGCTCGTCACGTCGGCTTCAGCCGATGCGTTCTCTCCAGCGATCGTATCCGGAATTCCAGCGTATTCTCCAAGATTTCTAAAGTCCCAGAACCGATGCTCCGTGTAATATTCTGGTTCAATGCCATCTGTTAGGTAACAATCGCACTGGTCGGCCTCCCAATCTTCAGGCTTCGTCTCTGTTGCATTATCTTGGGCCCTCGTCACTGCAATGAGAGCGAAAACCACGAGTTTTCGTAGGCTCCTCATGTTTGTTGGTGATCCTCGTGTATTAACGCGACATGACCACCGGGCAGTTTAAGCTTAAGAATAAATTAAGGCTGCGTTGGGGGGTTCGGTCTAACGTTAGACTGAGACGAAGCAATGCGAGATTCAATAGTTTACTCTAGCACCGAATCACCATGCCTAGCGAGCCATAATTATCGATTGTTTATGCCGTTTTGGGAACGGCTCAGAAGCGAGCGTGAAAGTGCGCAACAGAAATACTTTACTTAATTATCATGCAGGAAAGGCCAAGAAAGTCCAATTGTTCTTGGCAATAATTGCTTAGAGAGAAACTTGTGCATGCTTGCGATGGGAAGCCCGTACGCCACTAAGAAGTGTCACAAGGCTAATGGTCGGCGATGAGAGCAGATGCCACATCACGTCCTGAAGAATTATCTTGAATTCGAAGTATCAATTGTAAATCATATTATATATATACTGGTTGATAAAATTTAACCTTGTTCTTGAGACATGCAACGGTCTAGAAACTGGAACACTGGATGTTGCATGTCAAGCGACGTAAATTAAGCATACAAGCCGGACCCCATACCCCTTTTCAATCAGAGCAGTTCAACTTGAGAATTCCAACTATGCACACAAATAGCAACGCTCTCTTGTTATTGGTTCTTCGCCGCAGCCTTTCTAGACTTATATACTTCTTAGCAAGACACTCATCATGTAGATATTCGTGTTTATTCAGCCGCCTTCTTGTACTCATGCTCAACTATTGGCTAGTAAACGATCGCTCACCCTGAACACTGACGACCAACGCTATCGTGATCTTATCATGCATCCTATCTCGTATCGCAATTCCCCAATACAGCTAGCTCAGTTCTCTTTGCTCCAGGCTGGAAATTGGCGGGAGGGAACCTAAGACGACCAATAATGACATGTAAATAAATCACCACCTACATCCGCTGCCTTACGGAGAGCGGCTCACTATGCAACGCTAAAGCTCACTATTCAACACATCACATCTCTTAATAAGCTTAGCGAAATGAAGTTAGGTATTGTCGTCCTTAGTTTGAGACGCGGCATGATGAGACAGATCACACGCAATTTGAACGGGAGTATAGGAGACTCAGCGCGATGATGGCTGGACAACAGGCGCACCCTGGATCATGATACTAGGAGAGGAGGAAATAGAATGCGTCAAGTGACTCAGTCAATTGAAGATTCATGTAAAGCGGATTGAGAAAGATGTCAAGATGTGTATTACTCTAAGCCATTATCTTGCGACAGAATGAAAATCTAATCAACCCATTATTTTTACACCAGCCAAAGAAACAATCGCACAGAACAAACAGAGCTCTCAATCACTTGCACCAGCTCTCAACGCAAACACCCTCCAGCTTTGCTAGCAGAGAAAAGTCCATGTTGTGCTGTTTCATAGCCACCACAATGACGTCAAATGTCTCCAAGAAGCTCTTGTTCCAATCACGCTCAGCAAGACGAGGAGTCTGAGGCACAGCTTCTTGCTTGACGAGAGCGTCAGACCAAGTGAGGTCAATCTGAGCACCTGAAACAGCCAAACTTCGAACAAGGTCAACACCAGGTGAGTTATCAAGCTGAGACTGACCAGGCTTGAAACCAAGACCAACGACAAGCACACGCGAGCGACGCTCGGTGATGGAGAGCGAGTCAATGAGGCGTTGGGCAAGCTTGGCGGGTCTGTTGCTCATGGCTGATGAACAGGCTTCAAGCAGGGGAAATGAACTGTTGGAAAGGAGATAGTAAGGGTTGACGGGAATGCAGTGTCCGCCGACACCGACACCAGGGGCATAAGGCATGTAGCCAAATGGCTTGGTAGATGCTGCGGAACAGACCTCGTAGGGGTCGATGCCGTGAGGGATACAGGCATCAGCCATTTCATTGGCGTAGGCGATACAGACCATGCGTTGGCAGTTTTCGTATAGCTTCATCATCTCGGCGACTTCGGGCTTGGAGACGGTGACGACGTTGTCAAAGATGGTGGAGTATATGCGGTTGATGGCATCGAGGGAGCCGGGGAGGATGTCGTCAAGACCTGAGATGATTTTAGGGATTGACTTGACTGGGGGTTCGGTGCGGCCTGGGTCAACGCGCTGTAGTTGTGAGTTAGTAAGACTCATGGTGATGAGCGATAATGAAGGAGTGAAGGCATCACGTACCTCTGGAGACATGCCAGCAAATAGAGCAAGTCTCTTGGCGATGGGTCCGACCAGCTCACGGGTCATACCAACAGCAACAGAGCTCTCAATAACAATAGTCGAACCCCGACGAGCAACCTGACCGACCATCTTGAGAGCATCACAAAGGTATGAAGAATCGATGGACTTGTTAGGTCTCAATAGTGTAGGCACCGAGATGAGAAAGTGGGTAGCAGCAACAAGATCATTCCGAGTTCGGGAGAAGGTGACATTTTCATTACCCTTGAACTCCTGTCGAAGATCTTGTATGCGTCTCTCGGAAACATCAAAGCCGATGACTTGATGCCTTGATGAGAATGAGCTGACGAGGTGTGTTCCGACGTAGCCAACTCCAACGACTGCTACCACGGGTATATCGTCGGGAGTGACATCGGCGGAGACCTTGAGGATGAGGTCTGTCTCTGAGGGGACGGAGCTCAGGGGAGGAGTGACTGGGTAGAAGGGGAATGCGGAGGGAGAGTCTGAAGGAGTCAACATGCCAGTGAAGTCCTCCATCGTGACAACAGCTTCAAAGATTGAGTGAAAAGAAGAGACAAGGAAAGGTTGAGTGAGAAATTCCGGAGGTAAAAGATTCAGAGGTGATCGAACCTCTCATACAATGGCAGCTCATCCCCAACATCTTAAGTATTCTCCCTCCAAGGCCTAGACCACGACTTGTGAAACTTTCAGGCACACTCACAATACTGAATTATCCGCATCATTAGAACGTGTGAAGAAAACTCTTTGTCCAGGCGTTCTGGATTCTATTCCAGTAAACGCCTCTCGCTGCAGCGCCACCGAGCAAGAACAGCTGAACGATTCCATTGAGGCTCTGATCCTGGTTCAGACTAAGTGTAAATGGCTGACGGTGTGGATTGAAACAATTCAGTTGAGCCTCGTTTCTTCTCAAGCCTGTTCGTTGCGAGCGTGCATGTTATCGAATAGCAGCATGTCTTTGACGGACTGATCTGTGGAGCCTGTAAACAGAGACTTACGGTAAACTCCGTACTAGGATCAAAGAAGAAACTTGTTTGTTGGATAACCGTACAGGGCTGTAAAACGTTCCTGAATAGTTAGGGACCTGGAAATCAAAGAGAGAAGTGATAGGGCTATTGATTCAACCATACTAACGAGAGCCTGAACCACCTCCTCCCGAACCCGGCAGCTAAACTCTGGGCTCTAGACCGATCCACGGGATAATCTAAGGACACGATTGCCCTTGTCTTTTACCTGGCCGCTCTACATACCAAACTAACTCTGCTGTCTGTCGTTAGAAGCTGAGTACAGTATCCGATGGTTCGGAACCAGCTATTTATTCCGGTAGATCTTCCCGGAAGTAAAATTACAAGGTCAGGGGTATGTCAGCCGTGATTTTCAGGAAAGGTCAGGGGTACATTGCACTAAAATAAAAACGCCGCCCTGTCGGGACTTTTGCCCGGCAGGATATAAAAAGCAAAGTTTGCCGCAATGCAGCATAGATCTTCCCGCATTTGGGGCAAGTTACGGCGGCTGAAGTCTAAAGAGAAAAGAACAATATGAGTAAAAAGAAAAAACGCATGAATTAATTTCCTGTGAATTGAGTTCTTTCCCATGCTGTGTAACGGGAATGCGGGACCTAGTGAGACACGGGAAGATTTGCTGTCTTGGTTCTCTTTTTGGTTGGTGTTGAGATCAGCCTGAAAACCAAAATTAGGGGACGGGGCCAAGACGGGTTGCCATGGATGGGGGTCATTAACTACCGCATTATTCCCATTAGTGGAAAAATGAGGCTTGAGGAAAACCTGATTGTCGTTGTCGCCTAATTGAAGCCCAGTGATGATCAATTTTGCTGGGATGTCATGTAACTGAATGAAGAACGATTGAGGTTGGGTCTCAATGGGCATTGGTTCTTGCTGGGACTGGACCGAGCTATAAAATAAACCAATAAATGTAAAGCGTAAAAACTCAACTCGATACGTTGTTGTCCCCCACGAGGCTCAGACTTCCCACGCTCGTCGCTTCCTACCGTTTAGACACGAGTGCCAAGACGTTAAACTTATTGATCCGCCGTGGCACCACACCCACGTTGTAGTGTGCAGCAAAACCCTTTGGTACCTGAATAAATTATGAAGAGAAACAAAATATGCAACTACAAGGGTCGGTAGATGTTTTGAGATCGCTGGCTAGATTCTTGGGCTGCGTTAGTGAACTCGACTATTGATGCAGGTCTACGGGTCGCTGTGTCTACAAAAATCCCGATGTGTTGAGCCAATTGAACTGTTAGATCCCGGAACCTTTTTGGGAGAAAAAGCAACTTCAATAAAGCCCCGATGATTCATGACTTCCTCCCGCTCAGCCACAATGTCACGCTAATCTGGACAACTGCCGAGAGAGAGATTTCTTTGGGAGTGGTTTTGACAGTCTCCTCTTAGAGAAGGTGTAATATTGCGAGCTCTAACTAGTCTGTCGGGGTTTTAACTGGCTGACAGTTGTTGCATCTACGGATCAATGATTTAAGAGGTAATGGAAATACACAGATTACAAGGGTAAGTGATCACCGGCAGGGGGGTTTGCCGCACTGGACAATCTGTTCGGTTGAGTCGTCATCCACCAAAGCAATAAGGCTGAACCATGTCCATGCTGACAGTCTTGATCGGTCTTTCTATGTTATCTCATCCCAACCTGAACCGCAACCCAATACTTATGCATATCCTCTGACCAGGATCCCTGGTCAACTTCTGAAAGAAGAACGGTTCTCCGGGACGGCCCCTTTCAGGCCATGCTGCCACAGTCTAGACATTCTAACCTACGGGACTATGCGGGCACCTCGTTTACTGCAGCACGTTATTCATGCAAGTTTCTTTTGAACCTCAGCTGGCTCGGATCAGTACACTATAGTGAATTCAGTACTTGCCAAGAAGAAAGCACATGCCCATCGATCCAGACCGTTGGTAGGCACTCCGCGAGGGATTACAAGGGTTCCTGATCCGGCCCCTAATACCGGGCGCCTACCAGATGATTAACTCCTCAGCTAGCCATGTCGATCCAATCCTGATGTGAGGCTGAATGTCTAGAATTTTTATTTAGCGAGACTATTGCTTCCCTGCATGATGAGGCAAATGAGAGCAAAAGCTTTTCTTGATGAGGAGGCAGGTATTATTTAGTCGATAACTTTCTAACCCTTTCCCTCTTCATCCTTGAACAACTGCAGAAGCATTGCCTTTTCCCTCATTCCACCTTGTCACTCGCTTCTTGGTGTTTCACGACATTCTAGCATCCTCGTCTGGTCCAACTACTTCTCCTCCTTTGCATAGCGCCTTGGTGTAACAATGACTTCTCTCACCACTGAACCTCCTCGTTCCATTCTCATTGGCAAGCAAAAGGTCCGTCGCACTGTTGCACTGCTTATTCCTGTACGACTAACTCTTCTAAAACAGGACCAAGTCTATGCTAATGTCAGGATCGTCCATGGCAAGGCCCGCTCCAACGGTTCAGATGTCTCAGACACTGAAAATCCCGCCGTGCCTATCCCCGCCTACCTCGCCGACGAAGCTTCATCGAATGACAGTTATCGCGCTTCACAGCCTTCGTCTCTGAGATCATGGGTCCCAGAGTCAGTCGGTACACCCGATACCCAGAGGACTTCGGTGACCAGTCGCCCTGGCTCAAAGGGCACCGATCTGATTGCGCCTATCCCTCGTCTTCCTGTCTCGATTAGCAACAACACATCTGTTGGTTCTCGCTCTGATGCTGGTCACTCGTCTACTCCTTCAGTTGACAACGAGATCACACCTGTTCCTCAACCCTCGGTTGAGCGCGACAATGCCCCCGAGTTCAAGAGTCATGGTGCTGATCAGGCTAAGCCCAAGGTTGAGACTGTCGCCGAGGACGATGTTGGCAATGCTGTCCTGTTGAAGCGTGGCAAGAGAAAGGTTACGACTCAAAAATACATTCTCACAGCTGGTCTGATTGCAGTCAAGTAAGTTTATCTCAATCCATCTCATCCCATTTCAATCATATTGACTCATATCCCAGCTTCATGTTTATCTTTGCCAGTTGGTACTGGCCCCGATACTACTACATCTACCTCCCCTTCATCTCCTTCCCCCTCGTCCTCAACTGCATCATGATCGCTTCCATCGCCGTCTTCACCCTCATCCACTGGGTCAGCCCCGAGAAGCAGATCAAGCCCGAGTCCCCCGAGAATATGGTCTACGTCATTCCCTGTTACAACGAGACACTCGAAGAGTGCACTCGCTCCCTCGACTCTCTCATCAACCAGACCGGTCTCGAGAACCACAAGAAGGGCATCATGGTCATCTGCGATGGTCGTGTTCGTGGTCCTGGTATGACAAAGACCACTGGCGATTACCTCAACGAGGATATCTTCCTTCACCAGACTCAAAGGAAGAAGATTCTTGGCGCTTACACTGCTTGGGACGGCCAGCAGATGAACATTGAGATTTCCAAGGGCTTCTACAAGGGTCTGCCCTTCTACTGCATCGTCAAGGACCAGAATCAAGGCAAACGTGACAGTCTCATTGTCATTCGATCGTTCCTCTACAAGTTCAACACCCGTGCCCAGAACCCTGAGTCCATCTTCTCGCGCGAACTTCTCGACTCCATGACCAGCTGGCTTGAGAACGAGGTCAAGATGGACAACGTCGATCATCTCATTGGAATGGATGCCGATACCGTCTTTGAGGACAAGTGTGTCACTGAGCTTCTCAAAGAATCGTACTATCCCAACACTGTCGGTGTCTGCGGTTACGTTGCTGTTGACTTCAAGGATGGTAATTGGAACCTCTGGTCCATCTACCAATCTGCCGAGTACACCATCGCCCAAGGTCTTCGTCGTCTTCATCAGTCCATTGCCACCAAGAAGGTCTCTTGTCTTCCTGGATGCTGTCAACTTCTCAAGATCTGTGACGAAACGTGTGGCGATCTCGTTCTCATCGACCTCTTTGGTTACTTCCCCAAGCACATGGACGGTATGCTCAAGCGTATCCGCGCTACAGCCTCGGAGGATCGCAACCACATTTGCCAATTGCTCGTCACCTTCCCTCACGCCCAGACTCGCCAGGCTCTTCATGCTCGCGCTTACACTGATGTCCCTCACTCTTGGAACGTCTTCCTGTCTCAGCGTCGTCGCTGGACTCTTGGTGCTACTAGCAACGATCTTCTACTCTTCTGTGCTTGGAACACTCAATGGTGGGAGCGCATCGTTGCCTTCTCCAATGTTCTGACCTGGTCTCTCAACGTGTTCGTCATTGCATCGATTGGTTGTATGATTGTCGCTTTCATGAGTCAACCTTGGTGGTTGATCATGTGTTTTGCCGGTGTCATGATCATTCCTCTTCTTTACTACGTGATCATGGCGACTTGGCTTCCTCGCAACCTTGTCGAGCGTGCCCAGTTCCTTCTCGGTCTCGTTGTCTTTGTCTTCTTGGGCCCTTTTCTCAACATTGCTGTTATGCTTTATGCTGTTGTCAACATGGACAACTTTGGTTGGGGTAAGACAAGGAAGGTCATCACTGATGACTCTGGAGAGGAGAAGTCATCACAGAAGGAGGGTGTTGTTTCTGATAGCAGCTCGACTGAGCCTAAGGAGAAGACTGTTACTGCAGCGTAGTGATTGGAGTTCATAATGGGATGGTCAAAAAAGGCGACTAGACGTTACATACCAAGAACATACATTAGACAAACATAAGTAATTGTAATACATATCCTGATTGCTTTCTCAATTGACTTGAAGTGACATGCCTTTTGCGCTTCTTTGTCTTCTTTCATCTTGTCACTGTTGGCTTGGATGACTTGAAGCATGTCGTGTATCACCATGAGATTCACTACTCCATAACCCTGGAGTCGCGTGCCTAGCCCGACTGAGCAAGATCAATTAACAAAGCGTGGCGCATGGGTTCGGTCGAGATCCGCGAAACGTCAATATGTGACGCGACATAGCCAGAACACGCAAGACTGCTTTCTGTAAAATGACAGAGATGGGCTTCTTGACCTTGACTTAGGGTCTTTATACATAACGATTTGCGCCTCGCGGAAAAGCTCGATACAGCACGTCACAGCAACGATTGACTACTTACCCGAGAGCCGGGTGCACGGGCCACAAGCACAGTCAACTGCGCTTGGTAGCGAATCGGCAGTTGGTTACTAACCTGGACATGAATGGACCGATGTGAAAATCCCATGGTGGGGATATCACAGTGGCTGCCACCTTCGCGGCTAGATTTGACACTGGTTTCAAGCCACAACGGCAATCAGATCAGCATCATATCAGCGACATGAGCGATGTATGGGCTGATCAATTGCATACTTAGATATTGGTGCTGGCCGACAGATTACGTGGCTTGGAAAAACGCTCCCAAGACACAAAAAGGAAGCCACTTACTAGTGCAGCATCATTGATAACTCATATGTCGTATAATCAACCAGGTGCAGTAGCAGCTTTACAACATGCTGTTCACTGTGCTTCTGGATTTTTAACTATTCTGCTTACCCCTCTTTGAGGATAACATGATGTTCTCCAACGTCGCATGCAGAAACTCAAAAGGCTGGGGAATCAAGAGACACCCTTTGTGAAGTGACAGCAAGATGACAGTTTAGTGACACATCGACTGACGGATCAGATGATGGATTTGAAAGCTTAAGAATGGTCACCGTCTGGAGAACCTTTATTTAGTGACATTCGCAAACTTGAATCCTTATGCTTATCAGATAAACAAGGCTCAGGTTCTCAGTTCACATTTTGGAGACTTGATATACATGACTCAAACAAGTATCAATCATGAGTGACGACTGGACCAACGAGCCTCTGGTTCTCGATTTTGAGCATCTTGCTCGAAGTGACGTCGGCTTAGTCGGTGGCAAGAATTCTTCTTTGGGTGAGATGATTCGAGCCCTCGGACCCAAGGGAATTCCAGTGCCACCAGGCTTCGCGACATCATCCTATGCCTACTGGCACTATGTCGACGCCAACAACATCCGGGGCAAGATCGATGAACTCGTCGATCAATGGCAGTCTGGCCATCAAACGCTTGCTGAGATAGGTCACGCCATACGCATCCTGTTCCTGCGTGGAACGTGGCCGGCTGATACTGCAGAGGCCATACTGTCTGGATATCGCGACTTGTGCGATAAAGCCGGGGTTGATGATCTAAGTGTTGCAGTGCGATCTAGTGCAACGGCTGAAGACCTTCCTGACGCGAGCTTCGCTGGACAGCAGGAGACGTACCTAAATATCCAGGGGAGCGAAGCGCTGCTCGATGCTTGTAGACGATGTTATGCTTCGCTTTTTACAGATCGAGCTATCAGCTATCGCCATATCAAGAAGTTCAATCATGGAAACGTGGCTCTCTCCATTGGGATCCAGCAGATGGTTCGCTCAGACATCGGCGGCGCAGGTGTCATGTTCTCTATCGATACAGAGAGCGGCTTCGACAAGATCGTTCTCATCAATGCTGCATGGGGCCTTGGCGAAAATGTCGTCCAGGGCACTGTCAACCCAGATGAGTACCAGATCTTCAAACCTCTCCTGTCTAATGAGAAGCTATCGCCGATTCTGAGCAAGAAGCTCGGCGACAAGGCGATCAAGATGGTGTACGGGGATAAGTGCGTACGAACACGCAATGTCCCTACATCCAGGGCCGAGCGAGCTGCCTATGTTCTCGAAGATGAAGAGATTCTCCAATTGTCACGATGGGCTTGTCTTATCGAGGAGCATTACAGCTGCCCGATGGATATGGAGTGGGCTAGAGATGGCTCTTCTGGCAAACTCTACATCGTCCAGGCCAGGCCTGAGACTGTGCAGTCTCGCCGTGACACGGCAGCCTTCAAGACCTACACGGTCGGCGAACGTGGCCACACCTTGACCACAGGGCTGTCTATTGGCGACAAGGCAGTTGCAGGGCGGATCTGCCTGCTCACCTCGGTCTCGGACATGGACAAGTTTATCGACGGCTCGATCCTGGTGACTGAGGCTACGGACCCCGACTGGGTGCCTGTCATGAAGCGAGCCGCCGCCATCGTCACCGATTACGGTGGGAGGACCTCTCACGCCGCGATTGTCAGTCGGGAACTGGGTGTTCCAGCGGTAGTTGGTACTGGAAACGCAACCTATGTTCTGCACACTGGTCAAGACGTCACTGTGTCATGTGCAGAAGGCGATTCGGGTCTTGTCTATGATGGAATCTCGGAGATCACCACCCAGATGGTACACATATCCGATCTCCCTTCTGTCCGAACAAAGATCATGCTGAATCTGGCCAACCCCTCAGCTGCGTACCGCTGGTGGAGGCTCCCAGTTGATGGTATTGGACTTGCTCGTATGGAATTCGTTGTCAGCAATTATATTCGGGTCCATCCCATGGCTCTCATTCACTATGATCGTCTTGAGGATGAAGCAGCCAAGAAAGAGATCACCAATCTTACTGCAGGCTATACTTGCAAGCCTGATTACTTTGTGGATAAGTTGGCATCTGGCCTCGCAACGCTTTGTTCTTCTGTCTACCCCAAACCAGCCATTATTAGGATGAGCGATTTCAAGACGAATGAGTACGCTCGCCTGATAGGCGGTGCTGAGTTTGAACTTAAGGAGGAGAACCCCATGATCGGATTTCGCGGGGCCTCACGTTACTACTCGCCTCGCTACAAGGAGGGCTTTGCCCTAGAATGCCGTGCTGTTAAAAAGGTTCGAGAGGAAATGGGACTCACCAATACCATTGTCATGATTCCCTTTTGTCGAACAGTCAAAGAAGCCCGAAAGGTGCTAGACATAATGGAAGAGAATGGTCTGAAGCGAGGGGAGAACGGCCTCATGGTTTATGTGATGTGCGAGATCCCTTCCAATGTCATCCTGGCCTCGAGCTTTACCCAGCACTTTGACGGCTTCTCCATTGGGTCCAATGATCTGGCTCAGCTCACCCTCGGTGTAGACCGAGATTCTGGGGAGTTGGCGAGCTTGTTCAACGAACAGGATGAGGCTGTAAAGTGGATGATTGCTAGAGCCATTACAGTGGCTCGCCAAGAGGGCTGTAAGATTGGGCTTTGTGGCGAGGCACCAAGCAACCATCCTGAATTTGCCAAGTTCTTGGTTAATGCGGGGATTGATTCGATTTCTGTCAGCCCGGATAGTTTTGTTCAGGTTATGAAACATGTAGTGGCTAGTGAGAAGGGCTTGTAATTATTGATTTAGCTATTGCTGGTGATATCGATATCGTATCTTATTCATAAGCCGATGGTTTGACGCTATTACATCAAATGCGGAGTGGAAACTACTGTCACTCTTGCCTTCAATGTGCCTTCAAAAAGAATGGTCTTCCTTACGAACCTGGAGATATCAGTACTGAGACTTTGCAGTACAAAAGAAAATTGATGTCCGCAAGCACAATAAGCTTGGCTGGAAATTGCTTATATCTGAGTCTTTCACAAAGGTGCCTTGCTTTGATCATGATACACGAACGTTGACTAGAATTACTAAACCTGTTGACTATAAACTTACAAACGCCAATAATGCTCACCACCAGTCTCGCTGGATTAATTCAACACTGGCTTTCAACAACTCCCCTGATACCTTCACCGCAGCCTTCTCACCTGGGCTCATCGCCAGGGGAACTGAACGCAAGATCCCCTTCCTCCCAATAACGGTTGGCAAGCTGAGACAGCATCCGTAGTCCTCTTGAAAGTGACTGACCGGGTACATCTCATTCTTATCGAGGATGACAGAACAACACAAGCTAGCAGCAACGGAAGCTATTCCGAACGGTGCAGATCCTTTGCCCAGTATGATGTGGTTCGATCGATGCTTGCAGATGAGTTCGATCCTACTGAGATCGATAGCGCTCAGCATTTTCACATCGTCAATGGGAACCGCGCCAATGGTTGCTGCGGACCACACGACTACTTGGTCTTCTCCATGGCGACCCACGACGAATGCATCCACAGCAGATGGGGAAACCTATGATGGTTCTGTGTTAGAAATGTGATAGTGCAGATATCACGGCGCCCACTCACCAAAGCACGAGATGCAACCATCCCTCGAAGCCTGTAAGTGTCGAGAGCTGTACCAGTGCCAATGACCTGAGATGAAGGAAGTCCCGACATCTCCTTGGCGAGAGATGTCAGTAGGTCAACTGGATTTGCCACAATGAGTAAAACCGTGTCAGCTCGGAAGGGCTTCATTGCCTCCATCACCTCACGTATCATCGAGGTGTTCCGAGACGTATAGTCAATAGTTGTCTGACCTTGGAAGAACAATGAGCCTATATCCCATTCGAAGGAGTAAACACGTACCCAGCAGGTGTTTAGATGCAGCGGTTATGACCACGAGATCGCACTGAGCAGCCTCATGGTACGTGGCTGGACGTACACGCGTACTGCTGTTAGTACTGTAAGAGACATCGCAGAGGTCCTCGATCTGGGCATTTCTGACATTGAGGTCGAGGTCGACGAGAAGCAACTCGCTCGCCACAGAATTCAACGTGAGGTTGTAAGCGACGGCACCGCCAACTTCACCGACGCCTACAATCGCCACTCGAGATGCTGAGCCCATTGCGCTTAGTCGGATTGCTGGAAATATTGTTGTCCCGCTGTGTGCATTGCAGTGTGCCGCGATTTATAAGACCCCAGGGATCATTCGAGGATTGTGGCGTAATTAGCGTTTGTGGTGTTCTGATGATGTTCTGATACTCGACATTGGTGGCTGTCATAGTAGTATCGAAGCGTCACGCCACAAGAAAAGACCTGATATGACAATGACAAGACACTTGCTCACAAGAGAGCATCACAAATCAGATCATAGCCCGTTAGTTATGTTCTGATGGAGGTTATGGATCGTATTTTAAAAGTCTTTTAATAGCGGCTATGTTCGGATGCCATGATAGCGGAGGTCTCTGATCTGACGGACCCTTCAACTCACCATATGACCCAAGCTTGTATTAGCTCTATGCGACAGCACCGGCACGTTGCTATTTTGGTAGATGATGGAATCACTTCAAATTCAAACTCCAGCTCGTGATAGAAGGCCTATATGATGAGTGTGGTCGAGTTATATTGTCGGTGTCACTGGGAAGAGGCCATAGAGGCTATGCAGCTGCATCACCAGATGGTGATACCAGAGGCTCTTCAGTCAAATATAAAACACCTTATCATAGCCAAATCAATTCCATCATCAACATTCACTCAACATCATAAAATATCAGCACTCGTTACACATAAACGCAATTCCCATCATGAAGCTTATCCCTCTTCTCACCATGGCTGCCTTCGCAGCTGCTGTCCCCACTCCCAAGGGCTGCACGCCTGGAACCTACTCGTGCACGGCCGACCTCAAGGGCTGGCAGGTCTGCAACATCGACCGTACCTGGGTGGTAAGCCTCTCCGTTTCCTAGCGGCGGCTGACAAGGAAGGAAAAGCTAACTGGGGCGTCTGGCCTTTAGCTCGCCGGTGCTTGTCCTCCGAAGACGGCTTGCCTATTTAACAAGCAGAATGGTTCGCCGTATTGCGTGCCCCCTGGCTTTCACTTCTAGACCATTTCTGGCCAGTATTGGCTCGGGATGATTGTTTCCTCGCAGCTTTGCTCCATTGATCTTTTTGGTATTTAAGCCTGGAAGTTTGCACAGTGCGGTATACGAATGCGCTGATCAACCCATCCTCATGTCAATTCCTTGTGCTGGCTAGTGAGAATCTGTAAGCAGCTCCTTGTAAATAGGCTCTTTTTTCAAATCACGCTTATACGTACTTTCCTTTATTATATACGCGCCTGGAGATATAATGTCTTATACAAACCTGACGATGTCTAGATGTTAGCCTACTCTCTAAGTCATAGCTGGCCATATTGCTACTTGATTGCAGCAGAGGCTGCGGTATATAATCATGTAGACAAACCGGGCTAATGATATTTCCTTTTATTAATTCACTAAAAGAGACTTCCAGAGAGTGTTCAATTAAGAGACAAGAACAAAGATTCTAATCCAGAAACATGAGTCCCAAATAGCCAGTCCCATCATAGTTATACAATTTCTTAACCAAAGTTCATAATACCTAGGCAAAGAAGCAATGCCTTACTAATCCGCTACGCCAACAACTCTTCACTAATGAATCCCCTTTAAATATCTTTTCCATGCTTGTGATGCGTATCAACAACAGTCTTGATCTCAATAGTGGTATTCTCTCCAGTCTCCGCGACTGCGTGAATAAGGATGTCCTCCCCATATGGCCACTCCCCCTTCATCTTCTCCGGCGTGTCATACTCTACATAGTCGAGAGGGTCAAGCAGCTTCTGTGCTGCTTTTCTCGCATCTGCACGGTGAACAAACGTCCCCTCTATCTGCATCTGCTGCACGCAGCCGGTCCGGTCTTTGTTGTAGTCGATGACGGTCTGCGTCACGTAGTGAAGCGAAGGTACTCCATGGGGTAGCAGAATGGCACCGTCCCGATCGGCTTGGAGCAGTTCGGTGTTAGGCGTTGCCTGGATAGAGACAAGGAATACCTGGCCTGCGGGAGCTTTGGCGTAGATGAGAACGCCGTCGCCGTGATCCCAGGTTCCGACATGGCGTGAATGGACGGCGTATTCGACAAAGTCATCAGGGTTGTATCTCAGCGTATGGAGGACCTTGAAGGCCGAGTCTTTGGCGGCTTCGATCGTCGCGCGTGTGCCAAGAATGTAGATAGCTCGTTGGGACCCCGATGGTTCGAGGTGAAACTCGATGACGGTCAAGATGATGTGGTAGAGAAGTTCAGAACTGTTCTGCATGATGAAGAACATTCATATAGATGATAATTCACTGGACAGATTACTAAGTAATTGCTGAATGAATAGATTTTTTATTGAATCCAAGGCGCTGCTAGTAATGGTAGGGACCTTATAGAAATATACTCAACTGATCGATCTGCATCTCGACTTCAAGGAAAGCACATCATGATAGTGACCAGATGGTGGACATTGCCTCAACTATTTCTCATTCGTTATGCCGTGGAGTCGTCACGCTGTAGAGCCACTGCAACCGTCCAGCGTCTTATGATTTGTCAACAAAACATCCTCACATGATTTGTTTTCAATGTAAAGGCCGCTTATTCTCATGATATGTATAGCTGTCATATACCAGCCACAAGAACAGATTGGTGTGCGGTCACTTGTTGAAGCGAGAGATTCAGCAAATTGAGAGTATAAGATGCCGTTGGAGGAATTTCCACGATCTGTGATAGGTTGAAGGAGGGGTGTCTATCGTGCCATGTTGCGCCGCTTTCGTGGTATGATGCTGACGCCACAAACACTAATAACTTGTCACGCCAGCCATATCATATCATATCATGACCCTTAGCCTCAGCAGGTCTAGATCGCGTCTTTACTGAATAATTCAAAGGTCAAAGGTCAAAGGTCATATCAAACACAGCATCCCTGCCATTCCCCCCGGCGCGGGAACATCTTTCTACCTCATACTGTAGCAGTCATGTCTAGCCCTATCACCACCGACGTAGGCAGCCCTGAGAACTCAGCCCCAAGCGATGGGATGCTGGCGTGGTTGTCTGCCATCCTGCTCCCAATTATGGCTTTGACAATGATGTTCTTGGTAGGGTTACCCAAGTATGTCTTGCCGCCTGTTGACTGCCAAGAGCCTCAGAGATTAATAGTTTCAAAGAGTCTATAGGTGGGCGAGGCCAAGGTCTTCGTTATCCTCTGGAGCAACATCGCCTACCACAGTGTCATCAAGCTCTTCACAGCGTCGGGACCTGCCGCACCTCGACTCCCTTGCTCCTCCAAAAACCAGCAAAGACATGAGGTCGAACATCATGAGCCATGCTCACGCCTCGTGGGCTGTACCAGCCTTCAACATGACATGGTATGTCTCTGGACACGTCACCATTCGGCGCCACTCACTAATCGCCCGCTCTGGGTCTAGTGCAATCTGTTTGGGTGAGGTCAAGGACACGGACATGCTTCGCCAATTGGATTGTGAGCATATCTTTCACTCTGATTGTATCGCAGCGTGGTACCTTGCGGAACATGATACGTGCCCTGTATGTATTCATAACTTTGTTGCCAGCGCTTGTAAACTGGAAAGGCCACAGCAGGTCCATGTATATAATGGGCGGATAGATAATGTTTAGATATCCTACTAGAACCAATCCTGTGTTCTATTGACCAGCTACAAGGCGTTTACTATCTGCCGGATGTACTGGGGAGCTCAATCATAATTTGCCGATTTCAGTCGAATTTAGTATCTTTTAGTCTCAAGATTAGCATATGGAGGCTTGCCCTCTCCATGGGCTCCAGTTTGAGCCCGGCGGATAATGCTAGCCTTGTTACCGAGCATCAAAGATATGTAGCAACCGGACAACGTTTACGCCACGGAGCAGTTGTTCCGTCAGTTGCTGCAAGTGGAGGGCACGGACCTCAGAGTGTCTCACGCAAAGCAAAAACATCTCTTAAGTGAGTGGTTAGCCACACTCACATCCAAAAACATCTTATAGCACTACCTATGTACATGTTGTCGTTGCCGACATCCAGCTTCTCTTGTGTCATTATACGATCGTAAAGCGTCTGTCCAGGTGCTGTACCTGATCAGACAGACGTCTGTTCTCCTCCTCGAGGGCGAGGATGCGCTGCCTTGCGAAATCCAACACCTCCCCTCGACTGTAACCACAGTCCGGTGCTTCCGAATCTCCTTCGCCGCCGGACTCGTCCTTCACCTTTGAAGCTTGGAGCACCGCCAATAGTCGCTCGAATTTCTGCTTCAAGCGGGTGCGATACTGCTTCTCAACATCGTTATGGCACTGCCTAGCCTGAACGATATGCGCAGGGAGTGCGGGTTTCTTGCCGACCTTTTTTGGCCTGCGTGATGCCGAGCGCATCTTTACTTGAGTGGGAGTCTTTTCCAAGCCCACGAGGCTCTCTTTATTGCTTATTGTCGAGTCGCGTCGCTCCAAAAGCCCCGTAGTAAGTGCTGGCGGTAGGACTTTTGTCTGGTTCATATCTGTCCAGGATGAATCGAGGTTCTTGTTGGAATGCTTCGACTGCGGCACCTCTCCGCCCTGTGCAGGTAGGTCATCTTTCCCAATACAGCTATTGGTGATATAAGAGGAGGCTTTTTCTGTCTTGTGCAGCTCACTTGAAGAGGGGTTTGGCATTTGGGTGAGGAGTATGTTGGGGATGGGTGACATTGGCCGAAGATAATAACCAGGTGTCTGGTACAAGGGATCGAGGAACACAGGGTCTGTAGAGGGTCATTCTCTGCATTCGATAAGGCCATGGGCATCTTACCCTGCTCGAATTGACTGAGGATATTATCGAATGTCGACTGTGAGGTGTCAGCCTGGATTGCCATGAGGGGTGGCAAGGTGTTGTGAGAGCACCAGTGTCTTGGCCACACGGAAAGGTGAGACTGTGCAATGATTGGAGATTACCTAAATGCGACAAGCGTTCATGTCTTCCTGCATCTGTCGAATACCGACCGCTACTTACCTTGGAGGAAAATGACGGTCCGTCCCATTCGAAACCGTTAAAGTCTGGAATAATCGCAGCGGTGCTCATAATAATCTGTGCATCCAATAATGGCGATGTCTAGAAGGGGAGACACAAGCTCAATGCCTCTGGCACAAAGAATTATATAAAACGGCCCGGAGCTGGTGGCGTTGGTATGTGATACGCAAATCTTGCGATATGGCATATCCATTTCTGTTATTTCCTAATATTTTCCGACCTACTTTACCCCAATGCGCTAGGCGGTCTCGACTCTCCTCGTGGCTGGGCTCTAGCCGAGGGTCGAGACCTCGCTGCAGTTGCATCCGCTTGCCCAACAAAGCTAAAGACTTACGGGGCATGGCGTTCATTACGATAATGGCAAATAGTGGTGAGATGCAGCCAAGCCACATCACCTGATATCAGTATACATAGCTGTCTGCGTTTGGGATTCATGCGTTTCATCACCATCAGGGTCTTGGTGATCTCGATCTCGGTCCTGGAGAAGCTATTGAAGAAGCTAACCAATATGACTGGCATGGTTCGATATCCATCATTTCAGGCAGCGGTTACCCAATGTTTTTACCGAGCTCGACAGTTACATCACTTATCTGTTATCAACCAACTTAGCGTCCGGTTACTGACGGCTGTTGAACTAGTCTCAGCGTCCAACACCAATTATTGGCCACGTCGCTGTATTCAAAGTTTGGCTAATTACCCTATGACGATAAAACGAGTTGTTCCATCCTTGTTGGCGTAACTAAAATGCAGCATTAATGCCCACAGTACAAACAAATTGAATCATTCTTTTCCTAACCCAGACCATAACGTGATAAGAGACTCATCACCAGCATCTACCACTAAAACAGCCACAAGACTCCAGTTTCATGGGAACATGCTAGGTGGTTTATCCCATCCGTTATTTCCGCCCAGTCCTCGTCTCGGGCTATTGGCACTGGCACTGACAGTGGTGCTCGCAGTGGTGCAGTTGGGGCTGCTGGAGGGAGATTGTTTCGAAATCAGAGTTTCGACGGAATTGACTGCTTCATTTGCGATGAATCGCTGAATGAGGGCGCATCCGCAGTCGCCGTGCCTCAGCAGCTGGAGCTTTAGTTGGTAAGCTGTTTCCCTCAGCTCGTTGCAGGAAGCAAATAGCTCTTTGTGCCGGTCCTGAAGCTTCTCCAGCTCGGCGTTCAACTTGTCTTGTTGCTCTTGCTTTCGCGCACGACAATTCGCCGCAGCTCTTCGGTTCCTCTCCAAAACCTTCATGTACCGTTTTTTCTCTTCCCTGTTGATTTCAGTCTTCGTCCTTCTTGCGTTCTTTTTGTCACGGGGCTTTCGTCTGTTTCTTTTCTTCCCCTCAGCCTTTGTAACCGGGGTCGTGCGGGTCTTGATGCTAGCGCTGACCTCAGGTGGAGTCGAGTTTGGGATCGAATCGGTGGCAGTGCTTAAGCTTCCGTGGTGGTCTTGCAGAATGCCCAAGGTTGCCTCTTCATACAGGCATTCTTGCTGTATTCGACTTTCAGATTGAAAATATTCCTCGACGCTGTGCGTGCTGGACAGAGATCCTGATAACGGTGCAGAGTACAGTCCCTCATCATTCAGCATGCTGCCCGTAATAGCATCGCTCTCGCAGTACTCGGAGGACGAAGGCGGTATCAATGTCCCAGGCATTGCGCATATGTTGTAGAGAGTGTTGGATGAAATGTCCCAATCCCATGGGTGTAGACCTTCAGGCATGTCTCCCCAAGAGAGGCCATAATCAGGCTCATCTTGAGTATTAATGCCCCAGTCAATAATTGAAGTCATTTGGAAGTGGAAGTACAGGCGAAATCTGGATATAGCTGTCCAAGGATGTATTTCACTGCAACGATATAAATAAATGCAAGGGTTTTTAAAACCAATATAGCTGTTTTTGCGAGTAATGAGAAAAGAACCTAGCAGTACCAAATTACTCAATAAACAGGACATGATGGAGATATAAGCGATGTTATTGATCAATTCGGATGAATACCCTTTACCATTATCGTGCGACCTGGCGTTGGAGGTCAATTGCAGCACGCATCAACGTGATTAGCCGCCGCCTTGCTTTCAGGGGTAACAATTTTGGCCTAGATCAATATGGTACCGATATGATCAGATCATGGGTTTATCCGGCCCAGTTACATACGAAAACTTTGGCAGTCATGATCAAGCATGCGGGGAGCCGGTCGTGGGACAACCACAAGAGCTGCATGCTTAGCATTGCACATCCAATTCAACGAGCATGATGTGGGTTATGACATGATGGAGCTTTAATAAACCCTGTACCGAGGCCTAGATCTCGTTCTGAAGGTTGCATGTCTTGCATATTAGTATGTCGGTACCCCTGTCATAAGCTGCAATGGCGGAGACTCTTAATTATTGTCACCAATAAGCAAACAGTATGCCAGATCAGTGGCTACTTGAACCCCAAGCCAACTGATATGGATCACTATTCATATTGTTTTCTAAGTCTACAGCAAAGCTGAGGTCAGGGCTGATGTCCCTGTATTCGTGCTCCTCACAGCATCGGGCTAGTTTCTCATATTATATTATTCTCAGAAACCTGCAGGTTTAATTGAGCTCCTTTGATGATATGTAGCTGCTATACATTCTGCCAAACAGTTGCCTTGTTATAGGTGGTAAGTGTGGAGGATTGGGATGCAAATGCTTATTGGCTTTGGCCAGCTGTCGTCCAGAATTGGTTTAATTAAGTTTCCCCACAGCCTTGGTTTGAGGTTATTCCGTCACCGAATGCACTAACGATTCCAGGGTTTATCAGCTCTTATCTATCACGTGCATCTCTTGCCTGTTCAACCAAATGTCTTACCCTGCATCTATGAGCAATAAGACAATAATGTGAAGCTATCGGCAACTTGCCTTTGCGTGAAATCTGAAGTCTTTTTAATAGCCTCAACATAACTATGAAACGTTACCCTTAGATGCTCCGTCTAGATGTTATATTGGCCCTACTATAAAACATAGTAGATGTAATTATATTATTACTTCATAGTATATGCCCTGCTAAGTAAGACCTCCTTGTTACATCAATCTCCAACACTGTTCTTTATTGGCAATATTGGAGGCCAGCAGAAGACTTGCCAACGAGGAGGGGGCTACCATGCTACTTCAGCTTTACCTGATGCCTCTGGTTGCCGCGACAGAGCTACATGCCAGGCTGTCCTCATCAACTATAACATATCATATTCTATAAAAGGAGACCACGTCAACCCCTACGCCCAGGCCGCCACAGCCAGTCTTCACACATATCTTTAGCATACATCACCATAAAGGGCTAAGAGAATTAACCGGAAAGTGAGTCACTCTCACCGACAGAACCTGAAGTCGACGGACATCCCGACCTCCGTAACAATGACAACTCTGACCGCACGTACGAAGTGGGCGCGAAAGGCAAGGGTCTTCAAGCAACTAGTGCTTCATTCAATATGCAATTCTTCATCGGTTGTGTCTACATACCGGGTTCCGTTGCAGAAACGATGTCTTTTCTTTGCTGTGATGTTTTGGAGGCGCAGAGTAGGGACTGCAGCGAAGCTTCAGGACCATATACTTAAACGGTGACGTTCCTGTTTCTTGAAGAATTCAGGAACAAACTTCCTTCTCACTATTGCTGAAGCGACATTGCTCAGCTCGTACTACTGAACTTGCCGTCTCCCTCCTTCATTTCCCGCTGCCTTGACTATTGCCCTAGTGTAAGTAGTGCAGACCCCAGCCCAGCGCAACTATGACTAACGATCTAGCCCGCCAATACCACATTTGCATAAAACATTACAGCTTCAGACCCCACTCACGATGGTGGAATCCACAAACGCAGAACGTTTGGACTACTTGTGGGAGATGGCTTTAGCCATTCATGGGGGTATCATTGAGCACCTTGACGAGGACCATGAGCTTGACAACCCACTCATCGCGCAACTCAAAGAGATAGACCACTTCATCGTGGTCAAGAAGGGTTTGCAAAGCCGTCGTATCGATCAGGCTAGTGACAACGATAACCAACTTGCCGGGGGTGACACCACCCCTCCACGCAGCCACCAATCCCCTTTGACCATTGGGCACGTCAACAACCAGTCAATCAGCCCCCCAAGCCATCGTTCAACAGCTTCCCCTTCCCTTTTTGGTTCTTCTCCTGAGCCGCAGTACACTAGAGCGTCGGCGCCTGCACGACGAAAAGTCGCCCGTCGGATCCCTGGAGAATCTCGAAATTCCAAAGCTCTGCGCGAGATGCGACGCGCAGTACCCTATGCAAGCTGGGTTGACAATCCCAAGTGAAAGACGTGGAGCTGATGATCAGACAGTGAGAGGAAGGGGGGATATTACATTGGCTTTTGGTGTCACAAAAGAATTGGAAACGTGCAGGGATAATAGAGGTTGCATCACTTTACGGATACCCAAGTTAGATCTCATTAGCGTCGGACATTTTCAGAGTCATTACAGCATTTAATTCTATGGCAAACAATACAGTCATTCCTACGGCGTGTTGATTAACTTAGTGACCAAACAGCTGTTACTATTTTCCAGGACTTGTGTCAATTGATCAGGTTATCATACTGATTCTTAGCACGTCAAGAACAACGTGGCTTGCTCCCAAGCTCTCGCTGACCGGATCTGACTCTGTTAAGAACTTGTGCCTAATGCAAGAAAAAGCAAAAAGAAGGGCTCCTCCGGGGATTGAACCCGGGACCTCTCGCACCCAAAGCGAGAATCATACCTCTAGACCAAGAAGCCGATTTTAGTAATCAGATATCAGAAAGCTCAATAAGGAAACCTTATATTCAACGGAGCATTCAACTCCAGCAATTTCCTTAAAATTTTGGCAATGCCATCTTGAACAGCTATCATCTCACTCTCAGGCGACTGCAGATCGTTTGTTTTTTGTCGCTCAATGTGAATATTCTGTTTTGTATATTACCTAGAGTCTCTATAAATATCCAAGACACCATCAGTAATGCATAGATGTTCAACTAATCCGCGTCTAGTATTTGGACATGAGCTCAATATCACCTAGCCTGGTCACTGCTTGCTTATAAATTTCAGAAGCATGACTCCAGAGATTGCGATATTAATACAGAACAGTGAGGTACAAAGAACAGTAGTTCTGTCAAGTCGGCTCTCGAGGTTGTTCATCTTGTTCTGCTGGGTAGTACGTTGGTCCTCAAGTGCTTGTATTCGCTTTGCAGGGACTATAAGCTTTTTCTCAATGACAGGAGTGTCGTTCTCACAGCCGCTCTCTGCGTCAATCTCATCTATAGCCTTGTCGATGCTAACGTTAGTCAGAGATTCACCAACAGTCGCTCCTTTTTGAGTTTGAATTCATGTATGGTTGGATGTTAGTCACTGAGGCACAATATCGAAATAAGATGATCCCTAGCGAGACATGCTGAATAATATTGATGGCTTCTGATTGTGAGAATGCTGTGGTGTAGTAGTAGGTGAACTTGCAGCAAAATGGATTAAGAAGAAGACAACTATTGCGCAAGTTTGAGAAATATATACCTGTTACGGCGATTTTAATATGTCGGAATCTGAGTAGCGTTCAAGACCTCTTTGTCCGAAATTGTTGTTCTTCGAGGTGAAGTATACAGAACATATTCCCTGTTCTAATTTACCGTCTTTAGACCAAGTCTTGGCTTAATTCTACGAAAGGTCAGTTCTCCAATATGACACCTGGAAATACTAAAGAAGAACTTTAGGCTTAGCCTAAGTATCAACAGTAACGTCGAATCGTAATACATCGACAAACTCCATTAACAAAATGAAAGAAAATGGACGCCTATTGGTCTCTAGGCTGAAGTATCTAGATAGCAAAGACATGTCGGACAGCACTGCCTTTTCTTTCTACATGGATAAAACAAGACCCGGAGATTGATGGTGTGCAGTCTATGCTTCTCTCACTTGCTTTGCATTTCGCCCCTCCCAAGACTAAACTGACCGTATATGCCAAAGCTAGACTACTCTTTACTTAACGTTGCCCCTACCAAATGGTACGCGTGTACCCAACATTAGACAAAACTATGGAGGAGTGTCTTGGAATCTTGAGTTGTGGCTGATATGGCGAGCGGACCCAAGAGCGAGCAAGTCACCATTAAGGGATGGCCGCATTTAGTATCCGTATCAGGGCCAAAGCAAATATGGTCACTGGGCATCAGTACAGCCACAAATCCAATGGCTCAGCCAATTCGCGTCGTACAACATGAAAGAGACAAAAACATACTTTCAGCTGGCTCCATGCAGGGCTGTAGCAGAGAACAAGTGATTCAAGTGACGTGCACTTTAGAACTAAATGCAAGTATGACGGATAATTAAGTTTATACTCAAATTATCCTCGTTTGATTCATGGAATGCACCTACTGGAACTTGAGCACGCGTCATAACACTGGTCACCCCCACCCCATGGCTACACAAGATCCTACAGCGATGAGGCTGGGCATCGGAGATTAACAGACCAGGACTGGATGACGGAATCGACCGGGCCGTAGTTAGGCAATTGCCGATGCAAGGGATTTGAGGTATGCCCCCATCCAAGCACAGCCTGGTTAATGTAAGGGATAGATTAGAGCTGAGCTGAAGATGTTGCTTTTTGTAAGACGGCCACTCCGTATCAAGGCGCATATGTGGCTTTTTTTATCGTATCTGCAAATACCGATCTAGAATCTGAGACACTCGGATGACATGTGATCGATATGTCTCAAGCCATCAGAAGGGAGGAACCGGACGGAGCGCTGTTTCGGGTATTACTCAGGGTATTGAGATATGAAACATAAATAAGGGGCACAGCAACCAGATGATAAAACCGTGCCTCAGTTCTGATTGATCGTCATCTTTATCTATATCTCCAATACACTGCACAACTTGCTTGATAATCTATCTCTCTTTTCGCAAGATGCCTTCAACAGTTATCGTCGACAGTAAGATGCCTGGCGTTCGGTGCCCGACTTGCGCCGCGGCTGGACAGGAAGTCTGGGTCATTCCAGGTCGCTGCTGTGGGATCTGTGGAACTGCTTGCGTGGGTGAGTAACCATTGACTTCAAGGGACATTCGTGCTGTTCTAATACCATTGACAGACTGATGGAACTCACCTGAGTGATGTCCGATTTCACTCAGCGATAAAGCATAAATGGCAGCCGGCCCCATAAGCTTCATAGTCTGAGGGACTACACACTCATCTTTCTTATGGACTCAAGCTTGGACTTGAATCCCAACTTCTCCTCATCATCTATCTACTGTCTCAGCGGTTATCTTCCTGGATGATGTGACGCCATGATCACGAGGGCTTCGTTTATCACTGGCTATACATAATCGCTTCGCTAGTATCGTCGTACAACGGAACTAGTTTTGGCAGTCCCCAAATATGTGCTCGGCGGGTCTCGCTATGTCAATCCGCTCTTTCATTGCCCTTCTGTCACAAACGTGAACTTCCCGTCTCTCTATTGTTTGGTGCATTGGTCAGATTGGCCTCAGTACACGCAGCCGATGCTACTCTTTGGGTTTGGATTCATCTGGTGTGTTATTGAGGTTGAATTGACAACCATGGTATTTGATGGCTGTGCGGCGAAGTGGTAGTTGGATGGATATGGCGCAAATTTAATAAGTGATGGAAGGAGCTGGGCTTTTTCAGAGGCTTGGGACGCATGAGTAGAAATGAAGATGTAGCAAGAATGTTATACGAATCATGTGAGGGCCTATTGCTCAGAACACATTGTTTGCTTTACTGTTACCGTCCAGTATAAACTCCTTGTAATTGCCAATCCATTCGGCTACATCTCTATATCAGAGAGTTCACACATACGACAGAATATTTTGCCTTGCATACCGGGATCCGCCGACTCATAGAACCACTTGCCGCTGTTGCCAAATCAGTCCCAGTCCATGAGGCGTGTCAGCCTGGCCCAACCATTGTTCACCATTCGCGGTCAGCCTGCCCGAACAGCGCAGTACCCGAACGTTTGTCCATCCGTAGAACTTCTATAGACTTCCATTCATCCGTTTCATACGCCTAAGTACAGATCCCAGAACTGTTCACCCGATGGTCTATCTATGCATCGCTATGATCGTCAGGGACTTTTATATTGTCCGCTGCGACAACATGATTTCCATCGCGAAGCGAGCAGTGCCAAGATAGCTGGGTCAGGAAAGTGCGCGTAACATTGTAGCCAAGCGTACATGGTTTTATTGTATGTAACAGTGATTATAAGTACAAGTAGTGCATCCTATAATAAAGACCGCCACAGGACATCAGTGTCAGTGGCGACCACCAACCGCATCCATGACATCATCACCAAGTTCAGCGTCTTTTTTCAAAATGGAAAAGCTTACTAAATCCCACCTCCAGGAAGTCGGAAATGAGCAGGTTAGTCAACGGGTTCTGCAGTGGACAGATGGCATTGAGTCTGGCGACCAGAGCGACCCCAATACATCAATTCATTCACCCTCAAAGTCTAGTACCGACGGGTATGAGACTTCAAATGATTCCTTTTATACAGCTAGTGAAGGTGGGTCCGAGGAATCAGCTGCGACTATCGGACGATCTGCGATTCCTGAGCCCGCAACATCTGATGTTCTCATTGACACTCCGCAGCAGGAGACCTTTGAGGACGCAAGTGAAACAGTAAATCCGCACCCGTATTTGGCAATCAACGTGGACTTCGCCAGAGAAGCTATTTACATCTATGAGATGATGAAAGAAGGCGTCATTGACGATGAGTGGAATAGCAAGTCCTGTCTCCTTACGCGCACGCTCATCCATGATAGACCAGCCTCCTCGTCAGGGCGACTGGGCTGGCGCTGCGATGTCAACTATGACCCAGATAGTGTTTACACAGGCGCTGTCGTGGTACTGTTCATGCCCGATCGCGACTTTGTGAAGAAGATCAAGCAAGGCGAAGTCGTCTTTGATCAATCTACTGATATGAAGCCAGTTTCAGTTCTCATGCAGACGATAGACCCTGACTTTTCTGGCCTCGAGACAAGACTTGCCGGTCGAGTCTTGGCTTGGAAGGTTTGTGGTTCTGGGGATTGTGTCTGGATGAATCGGCAGGGTCATTCTATTCACCGGGGTGACCCAAAGGTGATTCCCAACATCATCCACCTGCTCAAGTGAGTAGTTTCTTTACATACGACTTGCTGGAGTAAGTATGTTGTATTTTTATTTTTGAGAATTGTTTTCCTGTTACAATTCATATCGGATAAAGGAATGCTCAAGTGGGCAGGTCCTTGTACGCCTTTGTGTTACCCGTCAACCCAACGGTATAGTATTGACTGATGGACTGATTTATGAGAATGAGAATGAATATATGAATTTCTAGAGTGGAGATTGTATGAATCTTTGCGATATGCTTTGTACAATGGAGAAACCAAATTAAAATCTTACAAGTGACCTACAAGCATTACCCCCGAAACTGACGAATGGTTTTCGCTTCCCAGCCTTCCCCCAAAATGCCCTGGGACGGAGCATATCCCCAGAGGTATTGCGTGATTATAACCACTCATGAACAAATTCCCGATCTCGATTGTCATGGTGTTTTGGTCTGATCTCTCTCGTGTCAATGAGAAAGGTCGTCTCAATGCGCCTCCAGACCATCAAGTCTGGGGAGACTAATGTGTTATGAGCAGTTTGAGCTCTACACCCCAAGGCTCAGTCGCAAAAACAAGAACCAATTCAAATAAGCTCATAACAGCCCAGATGGAAGTGAACGCCATGTCGAAGATCCAGAGGTTCATGCAATAAGTATGAATCCAAGCAGCGAGATATAAATCCCTCCACGAAATCCGCTGGCCTCTTTTTCTCTCCTCGATCGTGTCGAAGTATCCTACAACTCGAGAGTAAAGTTCTCTTCGCACCCTGACTTTCGTCTCTCTTTTCTGTATCTCCAGAACCGTCTTGCGGCGATTGATTCTGTCGTGAACGATCGCTCGCGGTACCTCAGCCCATTCTGCGATTTCTGCAGACTGGTCAAAGCGGAGAGTGAGTTGTTCGCGTATTTGGTCCTTGAGGTCCTGTTGTTCGTCAAAAAGCCTCCCCAGCTCTCCTTTTGTCTTATTTTTGAGAGGTGTAAGAATGGCGGACCAATTGTTGTTGGCGGTGGTACAGAATGCCCTTTAAAAGACTTCCAGGAGTATGACCCCGCCCAACGAGGGTAAGACATTTCCATACCATCGTGGCACGCGGCTTGTTACGTCTAAGATCAAAGCGATGACGATAGTTATTAATAAAGTGTAGGCAGATATCATCATTGCGTAGAGCAACGCTAACAAAGCTAGGACGCATGCTGCAGCGACTTCTTTAGCTATAATGATAATAAGAGTAGAGCTGAGCGCCATGGGCGCGTCATGTCCGTGGGCAGGAACCGAGTTGTTGTATGTCATGGTAGGGTAGGGGTAGGATGAGTGCTATCCTATAGAGAAATTATGTGTGTGTGCGTAATGTAAGCCGCGAGAATTCTGGGCTTGATGGAAGCGACAGCTGACTGTGAAAGATGACTTGTGCTTAGGGCGGGAATAGTTGTTATGAAAGGAGGGAAGAAATAGAAGAGGAACTGGGGAGAGATGTGAGCTATACATACAGGTTAAAGGTAAATGTTAGATGTCTTGTATATGCAAGCAGATGCTCATACTCCCTCAAAGTGTAAGAACGATAACGTGTTGTATTTGATGCGTTGCCCTGATCTGTTTCACCGAGATATTGATAAGGTTTGCATAAAAAAAACCTGAAGTGTGAGATACAAAGTCAAATCCCATTAAGCATTTCTGTCAGTGAGGCTTAGATTTATTACAGTTAACCTCGGCCGTTAATATAGCGACATTATTCTCAAGTTAAATCTCACATGTTGCTATCCACTATTCTCACACCAATCAGCAACTCCTCAGCCAAAATGCCCTCCCAGTCTTCATTGCTGGCGACACTCTTCCACTCATCAAAGGCCTGATTCTTGGCATTTGACTCATCGCAAGCAGTTGCCATCTCATCCTGCAGATCTCTCATCTTGCGTTCGAGATCATCTTACCTCACATGTACCCTGAGAGCCTCGGCGCGCTGTATCTTGGCCTCCCATATACATCCAATCGAAATGACGCGTGCCTTTGCAGTTTCCACCAGCTCAGATGTAACCTGATCAAACTCGCAAGCGGTCGTGATGTCACTGGTGAGGTCGATGTCCTGAATGAGGGCGTTCTATCAATGCTTAGTGACTTTGTCGAGGTGAGTGTAGCGCTTTTTCTCGTCGTGATCGATGAGGATGCTGCGTCGCCATTTCGCTGAACCACCTGCATCCGTCTGCATGTAATCCGCGTCTAGCTTATCGCCAAGACTGTTGATGTACGACTCGCTGGCTCATTGCTGCATTGGATGCTTCCTTCTGTCTTGTCGTTGGACGAGAGCAGTAGTGGCGGCGAAATGCGCGGCTTGACTCTGTTGTAGATGCTTGTCGACGTCGTCGCGGAGTCACTTCTAGCCGTTCCACGTGAGCTTTGACAGCGGATCTCAGGTAGGGACGTGTTTATCGATGGATCGCATCGGGGAAACGGTATTGCGATTAGAGCTTGTGTTGGTATTTGTCATTTCGTCGTCGGTATCGGCTATCTCGGCCAGCTGAGCGGAACCTGTTGATGGTGAGGGTGAAGATATCGGGCGCGCGCCGCAATCAACCTCGATTGAGGCGGCAGGCAAGTCAGAGACTTCGGTGTCGTTAACAGGAAGGCCGAGCGGACCGGGGATCTTGACCACTCTCGGGATGCAGATACAGCTTGTAGGGGTTGAGCTCTCAATCATATCAACACCGCCCTCGCGAGAGCAACCGTCAGAAGAAGCTGAGGAGGCCCAAAGGAGACCAAATGGTTCTTCATTTTGAGCTCAAGGACCTGCTCAACAGTGACACGCAAAACACCGCCAGGTTGCTAGACTGACTGCAAGGGGACAAGCTGCTCGAGCAGGATGTCGGTGATCTTGTGAAGGAAGCAAACGACTCCGTCAGGCGGATGGGTCAGGTTGACGAATACAATGCCAACGCGTATATCAGGTGGAAGCCAGTCGGGGCCATTCCACTGCTCGTTGAGAGATGCGATGGACGCTGAGCGGCGGTTGGAGGCGGGCGCATTTTCTTGCTGCTAATGATGCAGTTGGCGTCCTAGACATATTCATATGAGGGTGATGGGGTCGGTTGGTACGGTAAGAGCGAGGAGGGAGACGCTAAGTAGATCGTTTGGCACATCATAGTTGCTCACGTGGAGAAGATCGCGTATGCATTTTGAGGATGAGACCGTCATGGCGAGAGAATGTAAATAATAAGGGACACTACGAAATCGGACGCGTTTGAGTGACGTCACTTTTTCCAGCGCGTTGAGTGCTGAGACGCGCTGAAGGGTAGTGGGGCCACGATGTCAAACTGATTGGCTTGTTCTGACCGTATTTGGATTGGATGAGATTCTCTGCCATCTGCCACGTTGCAGACCATCGGCGACTGAGATGAAGTTATGAGTGCGAAATGGTATTGACAGCTGGTGCGACGAGCAATACATGACTTGGAACACCAGTTAAACTTCACCTACACCTTATCTCGTGACCGTGCTCAGACACCCAAGCATCAGAAGCCACTTCTAATATACTAACAGACGCTTCCAACCCAATGCAGTACATGTACAAGTGCGCTTACTCCGGCTTCCTTCCATATACAAGCCTCAGTCGACAGTAAGGATGATACTTGCCCGACCTCAATTCCCTTCGAAGCTGCGAGCAATAAACCGTGACTTCATCCTGCGACCATCCTAACACGACGCTCGCCATGTACAAAACAAAGCCCTCCAGATCTTGATCCATGGCAGCAAACGCAAAGTTTCCGATCTCTTGCATCTTGGGATCTTTGGGCCAGCTACCGATAGGAAGCTGCAATTCCAGTTAGCCAGAACTCCTGCATGTAGTAGAGTCGGACGGTTAATGGTGCCTACCTTGAAATCCCGAGTCTGGATATCCGTGAACCCTGCATCTTCCATTCCCTGCTTCTGTAAATCATCATCAAGAATGGTAAAAGTTCTACCAAGTCTCTTGCCACCTTCGATAAAGAACTTGCCCCATTCACTCATCGCGCTACCGTCCTTTACAGTATCATCATCACTCTCAAGACAAGGCGACGCTTCAAAGCTCTCAACCCAACCGCCTGGCTTACATGATCGGAAGGCCTCTTGGAATAAAGCTGACCAGTCGCTGATGGAACCGTAGAGATATCGCATGTAAATGAAGTCGAATGAGTCGGGGGAGAAGGTCCATGGTTGAGTGCAGTCTTCAATCTCACTGCTTTTGTCAGCTGATGGCTATAATAAGTTGTCGTACAGACGATGTGGTGCTGAAGAACTTACAACTTGACGTTGGGGGGGACCCAGCTTGGTTGGATGGGAGATATGTCGGTGCCGATCACTTCGGCTTGGGGATGCTCATCGGCAAAGTCACTGAAACGGTCAGTAAGAATATCACCACGTCGAAGCAGTCCACATACATTGCCCAGATTCCTATTCACCAACCATATGAGTATGTGTTTGGTTCCAAAGTCGCGGTTTCATACCTGTTCCAGTGCCGACATCAAGGACAGACTTGACAAGGTCAGATACGATGTCTTGCACGAGGGTCGGGAGCTTACCTTGATATCGTCCTTCAATGGTGCCAGGTGAAGTTTACCATCTAGTGTGAGGACCAGAAAATGGTGGCTGAAACGTGTCAGTGTCTATCTGAACCAGCTTCGTAACTCTTACATAATATCCATCACCTCATTCTGCTGAGCATCATTGGATGCCCTGCACGCCACGCGTTAGTTGTATGCAGTAAGCAGCAATATTTGCATAACTCACCAATATTCGGCATTTCCCCTCTCAGAGTGATAGGTCCGTCCTTTGATAGTTCTATAGTTCAGGATACTCGACGTCATCGAAGCCGTTGATGACTCTGTATCGACCCCAAGTGAAGAATCAGTATCTTCATCCTGTTCATCCTACACAACGCGTTAGTCCCAGCCCCTTTTGGCAAGTCTCAAACGTACCTGTGCCAAGGCAGCCCAGTGCCCAGCGTCATGCAGCACAACCTCACTTGCTCCTGACGAAGGAGACTTTGGTGACTTCTTCGGGGACGAGGCTTTGTCGCTCATGATGAGTGTATGACTTGGCGATGAGGCTTGCGTAGGAAACTAGCTGGTTCTTGTCAAAGCGCGATTTTTGACAGCCTGCGGGGTAGACATGAACGTCTCGGCTGATTGATGTTGCATTTATTGCGGATCATTGCCGGGTGTTGTCGAAGTGCCGGGGTTGATAAAATATGATCTGACATTGGTAGAGACCGAACATCAAGATGAAAAGGACAGCATGAAAGATATAAGTCAGTGGAAGGAGATATTCAATAAAGAGCTTATTGCGAGAATTCACACAATTTACATACTCTACACAAGAATCAAGAGTGTTTTCAGTAAACAAAAACTCCTGCAAACTCTTAACTCCATCTTCCCCCTTTTCTCTTCTCTCTTCTCTCATGTCCGTTAGACTTTACCTTATTCTTGAATCTTTTAACAACAGCTAATCGGCCATCTCTCTTTATATTATCATGAGCGGTCGCACATAGTGATCCATCCACTCACGAGCAATCACATATTCTTCAACAATACGGCAAGCCAGTATGGTGTATCTGGTCTTTCGACAGGGCCAAAGTCTGGCTCGAGAGGGTTGGCATAATGCACTTCTGATTCGGTGACGCGGGTGCTCCTCATCGTTAAACATGTTTTTGCGAACCGGTAGGCGGTGAGATAAAATCGACGGATGTTTTTCAAAGATCTTCTATTTTGGGACAGGATTGACGATGTGAGTGAACGTCTGTGCAGTTAATATAAGTGAAGTCTGAAGGGTTAGTATACGCGTTATGTGTGTTATTGTTGCAATTATGCACTAATAGGTTTCTAAGAATTTCTAAGTAATAAGTTTTCTTAGCCTCTACGAAGTCATTTGCCTGTTAGATGATTTGTTCACATCGCTGGTTGTATTCATGTAGAGTCTACCGCCTACCCTAGGGGCAGTGAGTTAAGCATTAGGCAACAAGGAAAATGAAACACAAGACGAATTACATAATTCTTGCTTCCCTTTTAATATAATTTAATCTCTTTTTCTGTATTAAGTACTGCATTCCTTTCCTTGACAACAGAACATCGAGAAAGTAAAGAAGTGACCAACCGGTCACTATTTATAGACGCGGCCGTGCTGCACCAGATAAGATAAGATAAGATAAAGGAAAGTCTCTCACGCGTCACTTCACGTCAACTCCATACGCGTACTGGCCCCAATGCCTTGAAATAAGACGCGTTTCCAGACTCAATTTCGGAGTAGAGATGAAAGTGTTTCCACTTTTTCACCAGACCCATCAGGCTGGTTCTGACGTGTTGGCGCATCTGTAACGCACCTCAAACCCCTGCATCCCTGCCATACATTGCTAAACTCAATCGTTTGACATCGCGTCTCAGATCTTGACAGTCCCCGTTTCACATCCCATTCGCTTACACACCAAGAATATCACCACGAACTATTACTACCAGCCAAAACCACATCGGTTATACGGCCCGTTAGACTGTCTCATCTGTCAGATCTGGTTTGGATTCTCGGATCAAGCAGCTTCCTGTTTCTAAAAGCGCCCAAGGGGTGATGGCATGAACATTTTCGTATTAGGATCTGTTTGGAAAAACGGCGAGAGATTGACTTTCGAGATGCCGTTAAAACGAGTAGAAAGTATAAAGTGCGCGATGACACCCTCATGTCTGTGCTTGTTCATCCAGCTTTCATCCAATCTCATCTCTGTTTATTGTTTCCAAGCTCTGCGAGCTTTTTGTCTTCTCTTTTACTTATCATTCTTTTACCAGGCTGCAGGAACAGTCATTCATTACCGTATTTGCTATTTCTAATTGCCTATTACTCTCTCTATCACGATGAAGTTTTCTGCCGCCATCATCACTCTTTCGGCCGGTTTGGCCACTGCGACGCCTGTCTTTCGCACCCCAGCCCCAGGCAGACATGTCTCTCGATCCATCAAGAAGCGACAGGTTCCCCAGGAACACTCACACGACTTTGTCTTGACCATCACTGGTGAGATGCTTAGACTTAACAACCCCAAGGAGATCCAGGACCCTGTCTTCGGTCTTTTGGGTGACGCCGCTGCAAAGGAGGGTGCAGGAAGCGTCACCAACCTCGCTTGTCTGAAGCAGGAAACTGCTGATCAAGCTTTTACCAACGCCAAGGAGATTGGCGATCTTCGTGGGATGGCTGGTGCACTGCTCTTCCAGGCCATTGAGCGCAATACCGGTGGTGTTGGTGTTGCCAGCAAGCTGTGCGATGAAGCAGCTGTCAATCCCGAGATTGGTGCTCTCACGCAGCACCAGGATGCTGCCTCTACTGGCGCCGGTGCTATCAACAAGGCTGTTACTCTCGAGCTGGCCAAGCAGCTGGCTGGAATTGGTGCTGACCCCAACTTGGCTCTACTGAGTGGTACATTCGCACCAGGAGATGTAAGTACATATGTGCAACTGGGTACTGAGTATGCTGACAATGTCTAGACCAGCGATACCACCGGAAAGGGCAACTCCTGTGACCAGGAAGAACCCGACCTGGGCTGCATCTTCTCCCAGGGACTTCTTGTCATGGATGCGACAGAGGATGAGATCTCTTCTGCCGTAGCTGATGTCACCCCAACATTCACCGGAACAGGCGGCATCTTTGCCACTGACCTGGTCGACCTGGCCTCATTCTCTGTCGCCTCTGGCACTGAGGTCGCTGATCTTGCTACTATCGTCAACGGAGCCGCCACTGGTGCTGCATCCGCGACCGGTGCTGCCTCAGCTACTGCTACTGCTGAAGCACCGGCTGCTACCAACACTGGCAAAGCTGCTGAGAAAACGGCGGGTGCAGGTGCAGGTGCAGGTGCAGGTGCAGGTGCAGGTGCAGGTGCTGGAGCTGGAGCTGGAGCAGGAGCTGGAAAGGGTTGCAAAGCCAAGTCAAAGACCGCCGCCAGCGCGACGACCTTGACTCCCCTCCCCAGCCGCACCTCTGGAGATAGTGCCAAAGCCACCGGTGCCGCAAACAATGCTCAGGGCGTGAATGTCCAGACCTTCACAGGTTCACTTGGCGGAGCACCTCCCCCTGTCATCTCTTCAGCTGCCGAGAAGCCTTTCTCTGTCAACGGAAACACCTTCAATGGTGAGAGTGTTGCTCTCGGTCGATCTTGTGATATTCAGCACAATGCTTGTGCAGATGCTGCTAACTCTGGTCAACTTGCGGGAGGCGTCGGACAGTGCGAGACTCAATTGGCTGCTTGTCGCGCTGCCATTCAGTAAGCAAGGAGGCACTTGTACTTTATATACGGTTTTAGCTGTAGATATATACTTTGAATGACTCACGATTTTGCCTTTGAACATCAATCAGTGAATGTTTGAGTTTGTGTTATGAATTATTCTGGCAATAACACCGAGACTCTAATTAGCTCTTTAACTTGGAACTCATCGGCCTTTCGAACGCAGAAAGCGAGAGCGTGATCCTTTCCAGAGTATCACTAATAAGAAAAAATAAAGTTCTCGCAAGGTATATAAAATGAAGTTGAGCTATAAAGGCAATCGATTAATAATCTCATTCACCTACCTATAACCCAAGTCAACTAACCCTTTTTTATCCTGGCTCTCACGTGTCTAGAGCTCAGTATGGACGGTTACATGAACGTCTCTCCCAAGTATTCCCACGCAATCAATGCATATCCGAAAGTAGGCGGCCATGTTTGTCCATCCAAGCACCCTGATCAGTGCAATGAATTCGTCTTTCGTCCTCTAGCTGCCACTCGATACATCCCTCTTCCATAGTGAGATGGTCATCCATGATAAGCTCCCAGTGACTAGTTTCACAGGATTCCCCTGAAGGACACTCAGAAGCGTTGCGATGTCGGAGAATGAATATTGGGAATTCTCCCCATTGCCGTATGTTCCAGCCGCAGCTGCCCACCAGAGAAGATCGATTGAAAAGGAAGAATCACTTGGAGGCTTGGGACATACCCATATGTCCTGTTGATATCTTGGGTCAAGCCTTTCGTCGGCCGGAGCCTCTTCTCGATCAATGTGGACTGATGCCTTGGATGGTCGAGGCTGGAGTTGGCCGTCACTGAGTCCGTTGGAAGACTCTGGACCAGCTAGAAGTTCGCTGCCCTCTTGGGGCCCCTAGTTCTCCCCAGGTGCAGTCGAGAGACGCAATGGCTGCTTCGACCTCCGCCAGTGCCTGTTGCAAGGCGGACTTGGTACATTGGAGTTGATCCGTGTTGGAAAGTCCGGCGGTAGGAAAGGTTTATAAGATCATCTTTTAGAAGGGGACTTACCTTATGGCGTTGGTGGTATGGTGTGTAGATGGACTGCTGTCAGTCAATACAAACGCCTCCGTCTTCTTAGATTGTATCTACTTGCGCGACTCGTCTTGTAACAAAGACTCAATGTACCGTTGTTACCGTAATTATTGTTGGGCTTGTTCATCAGGCCTTCGTTTAGTTTTGCGAAATGATCTGGCAACAAAGCATAACGAAGAAAGTGACGGCCAATAGAATAATTGAGGTCACCGCACAAATAAGTAGAGCATGAAGAAGGTATCCTTGCTTTGTATTTGCCATCGGCGGCTAGATCCTTTGCGACCTTGCCACTTGGCATCTTCGAGAAGCGCGAAAACCCTGAATCGTGAGTTCTATGATAAATCCAGACCCAGCTTGCGAAAGTATTGAGGAGCCTGCGATGAGACAATGGCAAAGGCGCTCAGAAGTGACTAGTGGGAGTGACGGAGTGGATTGAAGTGATGCGTTATTGACTACGCGCGTCCATTCCTGTGGATGGACCACGTTTGTGTGTCTTAATGAACAAGGCTTAGGGGAAACCGGGTTTAATTATAATTCGAACATCAAGATCTTGTCCAAGCTCATGCTTCATGCTTTCAAGCTGAGAAGACTTTCCTTCCACGAATCATTAGTCAAAATGATAAATAGCATCTTTTTTGTTGTTATCTAAACTACACTCCTACTATCATTCATGAATGTTGTCATCTCAACCAGCTCAGCCGTGCTCGACGACGCTTCTTGCTGCGCCTGACTTGGCTTTCCTTTGAAGATGGTACTCTCGGTATGACGCGAGGTACTCGGAGTTCTTCCCTGCTGCCTGGGTGCAGATGATCCTTGGTGAGGATTTCTGGGACCCGAGTCGATAGAGCTTCCAAGTCTTGGGAACGCCTTGAGGATAAGGATTCGGAGATCAGGAAGACAGACACACCATAAGCCAACGTTGATCTCGATGACTGACCAGTAACAGGTCTCGAAACTGTCCCCTGCAGTATGTCAGATGTGATTGCGGAGACAAAGGTTGATGAACTTACAGGTTGGGTTCTGAGAGTTCCCAAAAGCAACCAAGTACCGCAGTCGCAGGATGCTGACAATGGTGACACTACTCCCGTTAGCTTTTATCAGCGACAGGGCAGCCTGGCAACTTACAAAGTACCAACAGTGAACATGACTGCTACAGCAAGCTTCCTTTGCCACTTCATTTGCAAGCGGACCAGTTGCCAGATAGGAATGGCCAACATCCAAACATCCAGGATGATACTCACGGCTGCAATAGCCCAAGCTAATGGATTGATTCCAAGACAATGCCCCTCATGCAGCTCATCCCATCCTGTCCAGTAGAAGCTAATCGGCAGACATTGTGTGATAGCCAATATGTCGAAGATGACCATGCCCAGGGCTGCAACACCGATCGTACCCCATATAAGACGTTGGACGGTTACCACAGGGAAGATTCGGAGGTAGAAGAGGGCAACGCATATCTTTGTCAGGAAGACATCGGAGGCGTAGAGGGTTTGGCCAATGTAGAGGTACTAAAATTGTTAGAAATACATTTGAATAGAGATGAGAGGCATACGCAGAGATAGCTGTTGATCGTGTCTGGGCTGAAAAGCCATGCGTCTCTCCCGAGACCATTGCCCGAAACTATCCGCAGTTAGTATTGATTCCATCAAGTGCGAAGATGACTTACGGCCATGAACACAAACAATAGTGTTACCCAGATCAAGTAGCTATTGCAATTAGTAGGGCACTCTTTTGGCTTCGACAAAGACTCACAAAGACAGCTACGACGAGATAATCATCGAGCCTGAACTTCCTCTCGTATCGCAGCTTCTCCCAAAACCGAAGACCAACCGCAATCGCCGTGATTGTAACCAACGTAATGGCCAAAATGTCGAATTGCGCATGCTTGTCTCGCACCGGAAAATCACAAGCAACTGAGGTGACATTCAGCGTCGCTGCAATCGTCAGCATTCAACCAGCACCCAAGTCGCCACACTCACCTAATGAGTCCCTCGGCAGGCATTTCTTCTGAACACAGCTTGCGACCTGCGTCTTGAGTTTCGGGTCGGCGCAAAGACATTGGACGTCAATGCCACAGGTTGATGTTGATACGAGATCGACAAGACAGCTTCCCTAAGAGAAATCAGCATTTTTCGGTTCAGATAAGCGAGAAACATACAGCGCAGTCTGGTATCTTTGTCAGAAAGTCCGAGACATCATCACAGAACACTTGGCATACGAGACAAGCCCACGTCACCAGCAACAGCAGCAGATGCATGCTTCAGTTGATATGAAGCATGGTGGAAGAGACAGCTGTGATATCGACAGGGGAGGAATACGAGGGAAATTGAGCAGTCATTTAATTGTTTATCTCCCACCAATCTCACGTGGCAAGTTTAGCCTGGCTGGAGAGATTGCCGATACGAATCTTTAGCTGACCCCACAGAGTTTGAGGACTTGTCTCCAGTATATTTGAAGCGGAGTCATGGAGAAAGGAGGCCTGAACGAGGAGAGAGAAACAGACTATCTGTAGAGCTGGGAAATTGCGTGTTGAGATGGTAGGTGTTTTCTTTCGACCCAGAGGAGGATCGACGGATTAGCGCAAGCATGGACTGGTAACTGATTCGCGGTGATAATTGAATTGCTAATTTGGGTAAAGGTGTTTCGGCAGTTATGGATCTCCAAATGCTAGACAGAATACTCGCGGCTGCTTAGAGACATTCGCTTTCTGTCGCCCGTCCCAAGCTATGCGGCCACTAAAGATCCGTGATCCACTTAGCAAGGCCTATTGTCAAAGCGGGATGGGGTGAATTTATGCGTTCGAGTCAGTGACGGCAAGTTCGCCGAATTGCTGGAACTGTCAATATGGCCGTATTGCCGAACTTGCTGATAATCACTGCTTCTTGGCAACGCAAATGATAACCTGTCGCAGTTCTGGTGGTCTCGATCTTCACTGTGAACTAGATCTTTGCCGTTCTCGACACTTTTTGGGTAATGCTGTTGGTCATCGGCAGAAGGTGTCGTCACACTAAGACGGCTTTCGTAAGCGCGGGTGATACTAGTGCTGGTAAGTGTGTAGCTAACCAGCGGCACATGAAGTCATTGAAGTCATTGAAGTCGGCATTAAATCTTCTGTCTATAAAAGGCACATTTGGGTATACTACTGCGCCGCCAGAAACTTAAATCTATTGGTAAAATGGTTCAAGAGGGAAAGAAAAAGAGAATCGTGGCGCAACCGATCTAAAGAAGCTTGCGGGAAAAGGTACGCTAGAGCTTTCCGCTCTCTACAAACGGAATGTAAGATGTAGCTAATGACAGACCTTGAAGTATTTGTCACTATCTTGCTCGTTATGTCCGTTGAGATACTAGCTATGAGCTAACAGCTGAATGAATGCTGTCAGCGCGCTCTCTAGACAATGAGTCTTCGCCGTTCACTGCACAGAGACGCGAACAGAGGAAGATGTTCCAATGAAGAACCGGTGAGCTTCACGTAGTCCCTGTTAATTACAAACAATGAACGTGAAAGAAAAGTGATCAGAACAGACCTTCACTGCTACCAGGGACTTAGAAGAGGTTTGGTGGTAGTTGATTCACAATCAGGTTGAAAAAGTTTTCACGAGAGCTTCACCTTGGAGCTTGGTACACGCAATTCAACAATCTGACTAGGAACGTTTCAGAGCATGATGATAAATACTTTAAAAATTGGGCATAAGCTCTTGCCAATCTACCCCTTCTTGATTTTGTCCTGTTCCTTCACCTCCTTGACCTTTCTGGCCATGTCCTCTCTTCTCCTTCTGCAAGCAGGACATTCCATTGGAACAAAACGGCCTGCACTCCTTATTGAGACGTTGCAATGTCTCCAGCCGTTGAATTGAATACCTTCTGCGCAACAATCCCACTCCTGGGTACTTCCCATGTCCTTCCCGCAGTAGCACAGCCGCTCATAATATATTACAGTGCACATCGTGAGTAGTGGTGTTGAGGCTACTGTAAGGTTGGATGCGGATAGTGTTTGTCTTTGGAGGTGCCTTGTATGGTGGTAGTCTCCGTAGACGTTGTTTGAGACACTTGGCAATGCGACAGAGGTCTGCTTTATATATACTTCATACTCCAAGGCTGTGATGAGGTTTGGCACAGACATATGAGAAATTCTGTGGAGGATTACTTGTTCCTAATCACGTCTTGGATAAAGTGTCTGTCTCTGGCATCTACTAAGTCTAGGTCGCTTCTTTGCAGATGACACCCTTTTCTGAGAACTTATAATCACCACAGAGAACTTAAGAGTCCAGGTCGCGAAAGGCAGGACTCCGAATCATGAAGATACGACATGAAGAGGAGCGAGTCTGATGAGACCAAGTGTGATCAACATTCGAGGAATTCTCTTGATCAGATGATCAAAGTTGATGCCAATATTGATGCTGTGACGGACTCAATAATATTCTGAATGGGCGCAATTTTCGGGTGGCATGACAAAACTAGCAAAAAGAGTGGCAAACATACTGAGTGCGTGAATGTGGAGGTTAAGAAGCTGACAGCAACAGGTAGTTGGCCCCGATACTGAATCATCATCACCTGACAGGAACATATTGAGATGCCCAGGGCGACACTCAAAAGCCTGCCAGGTCATCAACTAGCTTCATTCGACGAACCCATGCCTAGGCGCCGTTGACAAAGCTTCTGAACGCGCCATGTGAAGATATGGCACAGACCACAGAAGAACAGTTCACTAAACCTGAACATATAATGAACACAAGATGTTAAGATCAACTACTCTCATGGGTATAATACTGCCTTCCAATATAAAAGACTCTGGTTGCTAGTTGTCTCCATCGAGCTATCAATCAGCTTTCATTGCTGTAAACCACTGGCTTCTCTTCTTCCCGCAACCACAAACGTATCATCGCATCGACATCAATCGCCCTCCGAACACCACGGACGACATAATTTCTCAAAATGAGCTTCTATCGAACGACTGGTAAGTCTGGTGCGACTGCAACATCTAACAGCTTGAATGAAGTCATTGCAGGCAAGACGATCTCGGATTCAGAATCAACAGCAGGTATAGGTACGTTCGCGAATTCTCAGATTAGTGGAAGCTTAGATGAGGAACCAGCGACTAAAGAACAGTTGAATTATTCCAGACTTTCATTAATCGGCAAAGGAGAGGCCTACTCTCTGAAAGCCATTCGGATTACCTCCCACGTTCTTGTTCGATGTATTCACTCTGTATGGTTCACTGTAGAGTGGAATGACGGTGGGGAGTCATGGGAAGCCGAATTTGCGCTACAGCTCTATCAGCCAGAGATGGTCTATGCTTACTGGGATGCAAAGAAAGGGGGACGCGAAGGGGCAACCCAATTCGATTTGTACCACATCTTTGCGATCCTTGACCACGGCAGCATGAACGATCGTAGCAGGAGACGGGCTAAAAAGCTTGTTTATAAGATTCAGTGGGTTGGCTACAATGAGAAAGATCACAGCTGGGAGCCAGCGGCGAAGATTGCTGGTCTTGTTCCGAAGATGAAGGAAGAGTATGATGAGATGCATGGGTTGTGAACTCTGAGAGATAGTACAACGTGAGAGAGTGCATTATCAGGTAGGATGGGAATTATATGTGGCGACTACGAAGAGATATGGAGGGATTCCTTTGTTAGATACATCGTGAACACAAAAAGTTTGGTTTGGTGGGTTGATAGCATGTAAGTGAAGCGAGGGGAACCTTTCAGACTGTAGTATATTAGAATCATTGTTTGAACAGAAAAACTCCTGAATCACGGTTCGCGTTGTGCGGCCCATTCAGGTAATGTTGACTCCATTGCGATTTGTATGCAAAATGTGACCAGAGCCGAGGCTCAGGTAACTAAGTAGACACCCCAAGACAAAGGTCTCTCCGATTCCTCTTGACCTGGTTACTCGTGAAGGTACTTGACCTCCTTTCCGGGATTCGGCTGCTGAACCAGACCAAGTTGCTGAAGAGCCGTCAAAGCTCCCTCCTCTCCGGTTTCATCCACAATAAGCCCATCCTTGAGTGTGAAGATAGTCGTACCAGAGAAGTACATCTTCTTGCCCGTATTGGCCTTCTCCAACGCGCCAACGGCAAGATCATGGAAAGCAACTCCAGTATGAGTACCGCCTCCGATCCAACGACCGACCACATACGGCCCGCTTGCAATCAGCGGGTGCTGGTAGGCATGGAACGAGATGTCTGGAAATGCCTATCGATATGGGGTTAGTTACTAAGTCAATAACTTTGTATGGATCTCCTTGCCTCTTTGAACTCCGAGAGCATCTTTTTGGCATTCTCCTTTCCATATCGTGGACCATGCATTGGGTAGTTGATGACGAAGTCATCAGCGCAGAGCTTGTCGACGATCTCAGGATTGCCTTTGCCCCAGTACTCAGTGAAGTACTCCTGGATAACCTCCAGGTTCTTTGTCTCCTCTTGAGTGGGCATCTTGCTGCTGATTGTTGCTGTTGGTAGGTAAAAGTGTTGTTGTTGTACTTGTACGATTGATGCTGCAGAAGACTGTTCCTAGTCAAGAAGGATAGTATGGTTCTTATAGTGATACTGGCAAGCAACATGTGAGAGGCAAGTTCATTTTGTTACGAAACGAATCTTCGCAATTCATCTTGTGTATTGACCATACCCAAAGATTCCGACTTGGTAATTGGTCGCTTCTGAAGCAACGTAGCCTCTTGGCACACTTTATGCATGAATTCGGAGCCAGCGAATGTATGGGTCAATGGAGTCGTCAGGTCGCGATAAACAATTGCGCTAGAAAGTAATTGGGTAATTCAATAGCAACGACAGGAGTTTTCCGAGAGGCGAAATGAAGAATCTCTGTAATTGGTTAATTCGAAAGCAACATGTCACCGAAATAACATCATAGAGAAATGGTGCAACAAGCCTCCACCATGATTGGTCACATCGAGAGCAAAGATCCACCTTTGGCAGCTCTGACCTTGCTGCAAGCGGGAACTAAGACGGTAATGCACTGTAATTGTCCGAGAACCAGTGCCGTCTCTGACAGCACACAGGGCCGCCCGGAAGGATCTGGCGCGAGGTGGGAACTTGAGTTGGTGATAATTTTGCTAGCCTGTAAAGACTGACTGGACCAGGTATATATCTCTTATAAATAGCCACCAGTCGTAGGATAGACCAGAACAACTCAACTCCTTCGCAAACCTCAACAACACCACTTCTTGTATCTGCCAGTCACCCAAGCCATGTCATTAATCACCGTATACCGTGGAACCCGAAGTGGGAGGGTTCAAGAAGGCACGGTTCCATCGCCTGGTCCTCCAAAAACGCATCAAGTCACAGTTCGCATCACTCATTCTGGTCTTTGTGGTACCGACGAGCACTACAAGTGTCAAGACATGGTTCTTGGTCACGAGGGAGTTGGCATAGTCGAGTCAATCGGCAGTTCTGTCGTAACCCTAAAAGTGTAAGTAACCTAAGCGCGATCTTATCCTCGATGCTGGACTTCTGCTAACGCGTCCCTCGATGCAGCGGAGATCGAGTCGGTTGGGGCTACTGTCACGGTAGCTGTCTCAACTGCGAGTATTGCGATCAAGGCCAAGAGCTCTACTGTGAACAACGACAGTTTTATGGCTTCGATGAATTCGATCAGGGCTCCTTCGCGACCTATGCAACTTGGAATGAGCACTTCCTCTTCCGTATCCCGGAAAGCATCCCGTCTGCAGAAGCAGCTCCTTTGATGTGCGCTGGAGCAGCCGTCTATTCAGCTCTACGCGGCGCAGGAGTCCAGTGGCATCACCGAGTGGGTGTTCTTGGCCTCGGTGGACTGGGCCACCTTGCTGTTCAGTATGCCGCCAAGATGGGATGCCATGTCACTGCTTACTCGCACTCGTCTGGCAAAGAAGAAGCAGCACGAAACCTGGGGGCCTCGGACTTCCAAGTGTTGGGAGATACTTCCACTTCTAGTCGTGCTGTTGATTGTCTGCTTTTGACTGGTTCTCAACAACCAGATTGGTCTCAAGCTCTGTCGCTGGTTCGACGGGGTGGCGTGATAAGTGCCGTAACTGTGGATTCATCGGAGCTGCGATGCTCATATGGGGAGGTTCTGATGAACGCGATGCGGATCCAGGGAAGCCTGCCTGCCGCCCCCAACGTCCAACGTGACATGCTCAACTTTTCAGCGCTCCATGGAATAAAACCGATCATCGAGACCTTTCCATTCACCGAGGATGGCATTAATGAAGCGATGGAGAAGCTTCGTCAGGGTAGGATGCGATATAGGGGCGTCCTAGCGATGGAAGCTTAGTTAGGGTCTCCAAGTGGCGACTTGTATAAATAATATAAACATGTGCGTATCTCCCTCTACAGAATATGTGGAGATCATAGCTCCTGCTGTTGCTGCCTTTAAGATCCCGTCGGCGACTCGGGATCCCGAATGATGAAATGCTTGTGATGCAATATAATCAAGCTACATCGAATTTCCTCATTATCACTTTTGCGATGTATTAATCTACACAAAGGAAAAATACTAATATGAGATTTTTTAGGAGATTATCTAATCTGATCTAAAGAATAATCTAAGTTCTGCAAGTAGTTTGCTATATGAGCAACCTATGGATAGCATAATGGCCAGAAGCCCGCGTCCTCTCTCCAGAGCCAGATCACCTAGCTAAGCTCAATTTGGCCAGCAACTTAGTTGTGTTCCCGCGAAATTAGAGCTTGGGCCCCGGGCGAGGCTTCGGTTTAGGAGGAGGAGGCATTGGTTGTGGTTGAGAAGGCATTTTGCTTGCTAAGAGTTGCAATGGAAATAATATGTATATCTTCGAGCAGTCCAGATTGACAGTATCTTTAGAGGCGAAGTTGAAAAGGGCGTTGGTATGTTAACGCGGCAATTGGGTCTTATATAGACCTCAAGCTTCTGTGACTCACTGACGTACGACCACTAGCACATGTAACAATCACGAACTACACAATGTTCACCAGCTATTCACTGTTAGTGGCAAAGCTGTACATTTAGTACCACGCAACTATCACAAGCGATTAATATTAAGAGTGAAAAGGCTACTACTCTGACAAACATTCCCTTCATTACATACCCCTTCAGCCGAGGTGCTGCCGGATCTCTTGTTGTGTCCATTCCCAAAGCTTCTCACGGGCGTCCTTATCCCGGCTTAGTTTGCTTCCTTTGCCCGTCACACCAACGGGATGGTAGAAAACACCACTTTCAGCTTTGGGATCAGTCATTGCCCATAACTGATTCAGGGCACCCTTCGCAGAGTCAACAGCGATCAAGCTCGTTACGAGCCTTGTAATCATTCCCATGATAAGACTGCTACTGATAATCGGTGCAGTGAGGTTCGTGTGTACGACTCCTGGGTGGATACTGATGACTTTGATCTTGGGATATCGTTCGGCAAGGGCTGCGGCGTAGTGGACGTTTGCAAGCTTCGATATCGCATAGCGCGACTGCGTAGAGAAGCTAGACATGGTGGTCTTGAATTGGTCGAACTGGTATGGATTCTTTGGGGAGATAGACTCTCCCATCGACGAAACGAATATGATCCTCACGTCAGGATTGGTCTTGGTGGTCTCTTCAAGAGTAGGGAGGAGGAGATGTGTAAGGAAAGCATGGCCCATATGGTTCGTGCCAATCTGGATCTCATAGCCTTCCTCAGTGAGGCCCTCTGGAGTCATCATAATGCCAGCATTGTTGACAAGAATGTCGAGCCGAGTGGAGGACGCCTGGAACTCTGTGGCGGCAGATTTGATGCTCAATAGAGAAGCGAGATCAAGAGCTAGAAAAGAAACAGCATCGGTGTTAGAGCCCTGTTGTTGCAATTCGTTGATGGCTTGGTCGAACTTTGCTTTGCTGCGACAAGCGAGGAAGATCCTGGAAGGTTCATGTTTCAACAGCTGGCGAGCGGTCTCAAGACCCAGTCCTGAGTTCCCTCCAGTGATAAGGATGATCTTGCCTTTGAGGCTGGGGATATCAGTGTCTGGGGAAAATTTGACAGATCCCATTTTGTCCGAGAGGATAATAACTGTGGAGCAAAATAGTGGCAAGCGGGTTCTAATATGTTTGGCAAAGCCGGGATCGGAATCTTGGTTCGTCCCGTATAGTTCTCTTAACTCCGATGCTAGGCTCTTTTGGCACGGTTGTTGCATAGAGTCGAATCTCCGGCAATTGCGAAAACTCTATTGATGGTGGCATACAAGTGGGGACTTGAATAGGCTTCTGACCACTAAGAGTTCATTTGTCTAAAAGTGGAATAAGGGTTGCAAGCTTGTATCTAATAACCCGTGACAAGATCGAATGGCATAGCAACGAGGAAACTGTATATTTAAGACTCATGTTATTTCGTGGCCACGACGCTGCAACAAGCCAGCATTTGCTATCAACTCTGCAGCGCTATTACTTATAAACCATAAATAGCCCGTTTTCAATCTAGTTAATTTGGCAAGTAATTGGTAACTATCGTCTCTTTGTTTCCTATTTAATGTCCGACCTGGAAAACCACCTTGAATGGAATCGATTACTCCATGGGAATAAAGGTTAGGATAATCCATTCTGTAAAAAGAGACTCTTCGTATAAGAATGGCAATCTCAGTTCGACGAAGTGCCCCAGCGTAGGCTATGCAGAGCGAGCAATAGTACGAGAGCAGATAGCCAGAGGAGCTGAAATGATGATTGTCATGTTTTATAGGCCGAAAGAGGTGCGATGTCTTATCTAATAATTGCGCCAATAAATTGCCGATGGAGTGAGTGGTCGTCACTTAAATGTGAGCCAGTAATGGACCCCCGTCAGAAGCATGTCCTCTCTTCAGCTCGCCCAAAAGATGTAGACAATCTGCCCGTATTCTGACAAGGCGTTGCGGAAGGCAGTCTGCAGTAAGCCGATGGCCACGTACATTTGCACTCTTATGCAAGCCCCAGCCAATCCAGACTCGCATGAGGCAACCTACATTTATCAGCTGCGATAAATAAATGAGGGGTTATCATTTCAATCCGCCGTGCTTTCCTCTTCATTTCCTGCAAAGTTGAGTAACCCCAATACCGCTTTCGCTGAACATAGTCGCCTAGCGGGTAATACTACGGTTGTCAACCTCTACAGTCTGTTGAATTCACCCTTATCGGAATTTTGCCCTGACTATCGTAGCTCTTGTTCCAAACGATTCGGTCATGGCTGATGACTGGGACGCGAGCGCGATTGCGGCTGTAGCGGCTTTAATCGTCGCACTCTTCGCACTCCTAGTCGCTGTTGCTCAAGCACTGCAGCAGTATTTGATCACTGGTCAACTCATCCGTCTTTGTGATAGCGTCGTGTTTGGTCCCTTGCCAGGCCAGGGTTACCGCGTTTGGCAATTCTCTCAGTTTCGCTTCCGAGTACTGTACTCTATTCCTCAGATCAATCTCGAGGCCGATCTGTGGCCAAAGGAAAGCCCACATATCAAGTCTTATGCCATTAGGGAGGAGATGCTACCGAATCTCCATCCAGATTCACTAGCTGACTACTCGGCGTCAAGCTCCTCAATCGAAATTGTGTCCAATTATAGAGTACATGTCAACACGATGGATACGGCAGTTAGAGGCCCACAGACAAGCAGTGAAGCTTGGAGTTCCTCAGATCGCTCCCGTTTTACTTATTGGCATTCTTTAAGAATTTGGCTGCGCCGCAAATTCGAAAGGATGCGCTCAGACATACCACAGACGAGCAGCGACTCCTGGAGTTCCTCAACTGGTTCTGACTACACTTGTTGGGACTTCTTGGGCATTTGGCTGCGCCGTATGCTCGAGAGAATCCGCTCAATCGTACCGCTGGCAAAACCTGAAGAGCCAGCCTCCAACTCCAATAACGCATCCGTGGGCGAGGCGTCCTGGGTGTCCTTCTGCAAAGCCATCAACAGGTCATGCGGAGGGTCAGTGAGATACCGCTCTGTCACTTATGACGCCGACCGATGTCCCTCTGATCTCGTAACGGCACCCATGCAAGTTTCTATGAGGGATATTGCCGTGATGGGGTTGACAGCGGGAATGAAGATCACAGACTGCTCATTTAAGGAAAAGTCTATCTCGATGCAAGGCGCCATTGGCACGATTACTAGCTCCAATCATCCAATTCTCGGGCCGATACTGCATTTCACCCCTAGAGCTATCACCTCACCCTTGCCTCGCTCTCTGGCTCAATGGAGCAACGAGGACAGAGGGATCGTAAATAAAAGCTGGCTAGCCCGGACATGGGATGTCTGTACTGTTGCCAAGGTGCCATTCAACTCGCTCAAGAGACGTACGACTAGACGCCTTGACGACCGATGGACTAGTTATCAAGAGCCCGACCAGTTTTCCAAGAAGCAAAAGCACAAAAGAGCGTTCAATATGGCTGGGATTGTTCCGGTCGATGTAGATCAACGTCAAGGCCGAAGGAAAAAGAAGACGAAAGTCAAGAAACCAGGGAGGACAGGAGCAGCTGTGTCTGTGTCTGTGAATCGCCGGCCCCGAGACGGAAATTGGACTATCACACAGCCGCATCCGCCCCCTCAAACAACTGCGATGGCGGGTAATGGGGACAAAGAAAAGGCCAAAGAGACCCAGAGAGGAACTGGGGAAGACAATGAAGGATACGCGACACCATCACATCAGCCTGCGCCGGCCAGTGAACTCAACTCCTTAGGAGAACAAGATACGGCTCCTGCAAAGGAGCTTCACCAGCAGGTCCCCAGAGACGGCTCAACCTCCCAACAGGGCCAGCCAAGTGCTCAAAGTCCAGTGATAGGAACGAAGCCCGAAAAGCATCCAGGCCAATCCAACAACTCAACTCAACTCGGTACGAAAGGAAAGGGAGAACGTGATGATATCAAAGCAACACCTGTTCCCGAACCATTGGTAAAGGGCCAGCGAAAAACAGAGGAATCAAACCTTAAAACAGAACAAGGTGAAGGTCAATCTCAAAGTACCTCGTTAAAGCCTGACGAACAGAATGTAGCCGCTCCCCAGAGTAGTGTAGGGGGCTCCCCGGCCATCTTTGGAAGGCCAGTGACTCGTCTCCTTCTGACGCAGACACCACACTGGGATACATTGCCAGAGGAGAGCCTGCAAGACACGAATCACCAAGAACCAGACATACACCAACCGCGGAGAAGAGCCACAGTCGAAGACGTACCAGACAGTGGCGATGAAGTAGCATCTGACTCCGAAAGACCGCTGGCTCCGGAGATACAGGACCGGGGCCGTGCGGCCAAGAAGCGACAGGAGGCAAGGAACAAGCGCAGCCGAAAGATACAGAAGGACAAGGCTATCGTCGAGGAGTCAAAGACGAGCCACAGCAGACCCCAATTTCTACTGACGTACCCGGAGGAGGGACTGGGCTCAGAGCCATCAAACCCAACACCAGAAACAAAAGAAGATAAAGCTCACGCGAGAGAAGCGGAACGACGGCGCAGGAGAGAAGAGAGAGAGCTTGAGCGCGACAGACGAAACAAATCGCGAGGGAACGTTGTTTCTCTCAATCGAATGGACATGTATTGGTTCTGCCAAGTGGACATCTACCAGGGATTCTGGGCTACACCGTGGAGGCCTGACGTTCCCATACAGACATCGCTGGTTGGTGCTGTCACTGTCATTCTGGAAGCGTTGCTTGGGTTTCTGGAAGAGAATGTCAGCTTGGTTTACTGCAACCCGAACCGCTACTGGACAACTCGAGACTGGATCACATACGGTGGCATATCATATCTGGCGTACGCAAGTAATGCCCGTGGCGGCGTTATTGCTAGAGGTTCATACAAGGGTGTACGGGCGCCAGCCTTCCAGTACACCATTCCGGCGCTCGAATTGTTGTATTCATACGAGTGGCAGGTATCTAGCTACCTACACGACCAGGAACGTTATTGCGAAGAGCTCAATATCGAACTGATGCGAATCGACGCGTGGCTCTCCTACGTCGGTCGAACCGACAAAATTGCGAACGGACCTACAGACCTTTTGAAGGGAGCACCAACACTTGTGCAACTACTCCAGGCCGACTTTGAGGTGGATTTCATGAACATTGACCTCTCAGCCAAGGAGGGTGGTCATCAGGATATACAGGGTCTTGCTGACAATGTGATGGACTTTCTCACGGACGAGGAGCTTGATGAGGCCGAGCAGTTGTATATACTTGTTGCTTTGCTCCGTGCTGTCAAGGTATGCCAGTGCGTCTTGGCTGGTTCGAACACTCGTGAGATGGAGGAAATTCTTATGAAGGATGTCCAGGCGCATCTCGTCTGAGGCTCAGCGCTGGGATAACCGATTGAAAGTGGGAGTCGTGACAGGAGGTAGTAATAACGCTATTCAGCTTTTACAAGAAAAGTCTTTCATTGAATTGAATTGAACTGGGCTTTGTTGTGTGTTTCATAAGTCTGACCATTTTCAGACTACCCTAAAACGTCGCGAGTGTCTTATCGCTACTTCCTAATTAGGTATTTTCACAGATAACGAACCCCGCACCATAGCAAAACATGAACTCTTCAGATTTCTTACAATCAACAACTCTGAACATCGCATCCTTCAAGGCCTGACGCAGCAGTTAAAGTACAAAGCTCCTGAAACTAAGGCAAAGATGAAATTCACCTTGTTCTCTGGCGTGCCCAGTCAATCCCCTCTTCCAGAGAACCCACTATCCGAGCCCTTTGAACTTGTCGCTCTTCCTGGTCCCGACATTTGGAGAACTCCATCTTGCGCTGGAGGGCGCGATGACTTCAACGGACCCATCTATGCAACTCCCATCCCTCTAAACTCATTCAAAAGCGCAAAGGTCACTATCTCCTCAGATTTCCCTGGGAATTACTCTCAAGGCGGTCTCATCTTGTTCATGCCCGAGTCCATCCCAATCACTCAAACCGATTCTCAAGTGCGACTTGAGGAATCACCACGGACATGGATCAAAGCCGGGATCGAGAAAGTGGATGGCGAATTCTTTGCATCCGTTGCTGCTGCGAAACCGTACTCGGACTGGAGTTTGGTCAAGCTGAGCGAGAGCTGTGCTACCTTTGAGATGGAGAAGGCAAAGGGATCACTTTGGATATATGCCACTGGACAGGATGGCAAAAGAACACCAGTGAGAAAACTGACTTGGGTGGTTGATGTGGCTCCTGAAAATGATATCTGGATTGGCGTTGCGGCTTGTATGCCGAAGGGCGATGAGAGTCAGAGCGGCGGAATGTTGAAAGTGCAATTTCGAGACTTTTCTGTCTCAACTGAATAGTCTAGCAAGCGTAGAACTAGGCCTCATGTTATCTTTAAATAAGTAGTTGCTGCCTAGTGCGAGAATTTCTTACTGGGACCTAACATGCCGATCTTGTGACGCTGAGATTGCGCGCAGCCCTTGACTCGGATGTCCGAGTTGGCCTCAATGATAGTCGATCAGGGGTGCCTTTGCCAGGTTCGCGATGAAGGCGTTGACCAGATCGAATAACGCCGAGTAGTCGGGGCATGTGTCTTGCTCGAAAGATCCAGACATGATGCTAACGACATTGACACTGGCAGAGGTGACAGCGTCTTCAGAAGAGGTGTTGTTCCAGTGGACAGGGTTCTTGAAAGTTTCCTTGTCAATGTCCTCCGAATCAGTGATAGATAGTTCCTCGAAGCCACGTCCACTTACCTCAAGAGTAGATATACGCCTTGTGTTCCATGTTTTTTACTTCTGCAGTAGTCCATTGCAGCGCACTGCCCAAAGGTTAATTGTTCATAGCCGCTTGTTCTCATACATACTCCGACTTTGACTGCACAATTACAACATGTCATACCAACTGGTTAAGGAATGGAAGAATACTGTTCAATTTATATGCTGTATTCGCCCACCTATTCGGCATTAAGCTAAGCGACGCCTCTTTGTTCATGGAATATATTCAAGGGTTCTCTATATATGCCCAAAAGCTCAAGGCATAAAAGGCGAACAGCCACTGGTAAGTCAATCAACTAGAGATTATTTAAAGGCGTCGCAAAGCAACACTGCCCACCACAGAAGACTCACGGCTTTCAGCACCAACTAACACAGGAGTTCAGTCAAGTATAGCCACCTTCATACCATCCACTCACCATGGATAACATGCCACGTGAGCTCTTTCCCCTTTATATCATCTTGGTCTGGGTATTCATCATCCTCTATTGTCTTTCCTTTTGCATCACCATCCTCAAGTACATCCGACTTCTCCTGGACCTTTTCTTCACCGCCGTGTATTACTGTATCATTCCAGTGGGCGGCATCGTAATTCTCCTCTACCTATTTCGTTTAGCAGCATAGGTATCTCAGTCACTGGCCTCTTACTGATACAGAGATTGAAGATCCTCGGTCCTCAACATGAATTTTTGGTTAGGCTTTCTCACTGGGCTCTGCTTCATGTATGTCTTTACGTCTCCAGATATTCTTTTTGGGCATTTAATAAACTTGTTCTTTCAGGTGTCTTGCGTGTCGTTTCTTTTCAACTGCCTTTGTCTGATAAAGGAGGCCCTCCATCGATTAGTGGGTCACAGGGCTTGAACCAAGCTACCGGATGATAGCTCGCTGATATAGAACGCTTGTTGATACAGCCATAAGGCTGAGGGGTAGAATTAAGGAACCTTCAGCCCCAATATGCCGTCCTCAGGATCAGAGGAGACAAGAAACCTTGAGATATAAACCCTAACGGATAAAAGTATTTAGGTAGTTTAGCATAAGCTTAGGAGATTCTTTACCAAGTTTATTTTAGCACCTTCTTCTAAAGTTGTAATCCGTCTTGTTTTCCAAGGCACTCCCAGTGCATTAATTCCTTCGCGTAGCGAGCGGGAAGACTATTGTAGAACCACTGAATGTAATGGAATTAAATTAACCTTCTGGGTTGAGAGATATAGGCATACCTCCAAGTCCTACCAACTGTTAACAAGGCGGCCAGAAATCATTGCCAAATGATACCAAACTGCACCATGTTTGCCCTTGTTAACAACCATTACCTAAGGGCTCCTTGGCACTAGGAGCAGACACATGTTGTGAGACTTGTTCCTCCGTCCATTCCCAGAACCGTTTCGCATGGCCTGTTCCTCCTTCAGCCTCCGTCTTTGATCCTTTTACCATTGCTGGGAGTGCATGCCATAACCTTCCCCACGGTGAAACTAAAAGGTCGTCAGGTCAGTGAATCCACAAAAGAACATCTCTTGGACCACTTACTGAATCTGCCCGAGTTCTCAAGAGTCACTTCAGGAGAGAGCCCAGCAAAGATATTAACATAACCGCCATAGCACGGAGGATAGAAGACAGTTCTTCGAAGTATCCAAGTCAGAAATTTACCCTGTGTGCGCCAAAGGTCCGAGTCGAGATTGCCGGGGTTAAGCGGCACAGAGATGATACCATCGCACTTGCGGCGTGCAGCATATTCCGTGGCGTGGTAGTAATTTCCGAGCTTGCTGATTGCATATTGTTGAAAGAGGCTCTGCTTGTTAATAGCTTTGACTCGTTCTATGTATTTCTTCGTTGAAGTCCAAAAGGCAGCAGTGGATGAAGCCCAAACCACGCGAACAGTCCCTGGTGTAGATGCCTTTGCAGTATTGACCAACACGGGCGTCAGTCTCTGGGTCAGAGCAAAGCTACCAAGACAATTGACTCCCAACTGCAGTTCGTAGCCTTGCTTGGTCTTGGAGCCATACTCAGGGAAGCCGACGCCTGCATTATTAAAAAGAACGTGAAGCTTATCTTCCCTGCTGATGAATTCTGCAGCCGCTGCTTGAACACTGTCGAGGTCGGCGAGGTCTAGCTGGATGCAAATCAATTCGCCTCGTGAGTCTGGGAAAGCTGCTTTGATCTCGTCACGAGCTTTTTCATTTTTCGTTGTTGTTCGTGCGAACATGTAGACTTTTGCATTTTTGCTGTAGACCATCTTGGCGATTTCTTTCCCGACACCAGTATTTGAGCCTGTGATGGCAATTACCTGGAGTTTGGAAAGCAAACGTCAGCGAGACTTCTAGTGGACATGACGGACAGCGACGTACTTTGCCCTTGAGATCAGGTAAATCATTTTCTGTATATCTTGGGCTGCCGGCAAATAAGCTCTGACGCACAATGTTGAGTGCGGCTGCCATACTGTCGTTCTAGTTCAGTCGTTTTGCGTCACACACGAATGCATTCTGGTGATTCACCAAGTTGTAGCAGGCTATTTATTAAGTTTCCTGTCATGGCAACGCCTGTTCAGTCGATGATGCACTCTCTCAAGGACATAATGATCGACAGAAGCACTCGGAAGCTAATCTTCAGTTGTCGAAGCGCAACTGAAGCGCTAAAGATGATTCGTCAGCCGCAGCATGGAACACCGCTAGCTCCAACTTTAACCGTGGGCTTGGACCGAGGTATGACGTTTCCTTCTAATTACCACTTGTCTTGCTTCTTACGCTCATCCTTGTCCGCCATATCATTTGGGTCTCGGTGTATACAAAGATAAGATAAACAGACTCCATTCTAGTTCATAAATGCAATTCATCAGGGTCACACATAACTACTGCAGCTTCAATACATGTTTCAACAGCGCCAGCGCCCCAAACAACTCGTTATCATGGTACTTCCTCGCAACGATCTGAAGATTAATCGGAGCGCCAGTAAAGTCCGACTTTTCCCACATCTGCTTCACCTGTCCGCAAGCCTCACTCAACGGCTCATATCCACCAGAATACTTCTCATTCCCATCTACCTTGACAGGTGTAGGTATGACAACACCAGGATAATCCACAAGGTTATAGAGCGATGTATAGTTCCAGAAGAACGCTGTATCATGAGCTGATGCGGGCCCGATAAATGCAGGTCCAATGAGTATATCCACGTCTTGATCTTCCCAGCTCTTTGCAAATGCCCAGCGAAACTCATCTCTCTCCCGACGCATGAGACTCAAGTCAACAGCTGTCTTCATACCAAGTGGCTCTGCATCCTTCCAGATCCACTCACTGAGAGGGTGGATCGGCTCTCCCGTAGCTTGAATGGCATCTCTTGTTGGCTTTCCACCGTCAGGCCAATACATGCGTCGAATCTTGGACCAAGCACCTGCCGAATCAAACACTTTGAACTCCTTGAGCTCAATAAAATCTTTGTATCTTGGATCACAGAGCTGCTCTCGTGCCCAGGCCAGAGCCTTGACAACTGGAGGTTGAGGAATGATAAATCCATCGTCGCTGACAAAGCCGATCTTCAAACGGCCATGAATGGGAGTCTTGAGGCCATTCCAAGGGATAGGAACCAATCTCGGGTCCTTTAAATGGGGCTTAGACGACAAAACGCACTGCATCAACAGATCCATATCTCTCAAGCTCCGGCACATAGGGCCAGCTGAGGCCAGAACAGTCAACTCAGCTGGAAACGGCATTGCATCAAAGCCTCTCATTGGCATTGTGTATGAAGTTGGCTTGAATCCATAAATGCCGCAAAAGGCAGCAGGACCACGGATACTACCGCCGATATCAGTACCAATGCCGAGGACAGAACCTTTCATTGCAATAAGGGCTGCTTCACCGCCGGTCGATCCACCTGCCGAGAGGTTGATGTTGAAAGGGTTGAGGGTACGACCCCAAAGTGAATCAGTTTCCAGGTGCATAATGGTTTGCGGCTGATTGGTCTTGCAATAGAACACAGCGCCGAGACTTCTCAGAATTGCAACCATGTCACTGTCCGTTGTATCCTCTCTCAAGCTTGCCAGGCAACCTTGGGAAGACAGCGTCCCAGCTATGGCCATGTGTTCTTTGATGCTGATTGGCAGTCCATGCAGAGGACCAATGGGTTTCCCGTGCTTGGCCATGTACTCATCGAGTCCTCTTGCTTGGACAATGGCTTCATCCATGAGCCACTGTGTTAGGCAACAGGTGAGTTGATGTGCGATGATAGAACGTTTGGCAAAAGCAGTGGCGACTTGAACAGCAGAGAATTGACGGCTGGCGAGTGCTTGTAGTAAACCAACAGCATCGTAGTCTTCTGTGATGCGAACCTCATCTTCAGTGAGGATGCCGCAGGAAGCAGGGATATTGGAAACGTCTAGAGGAGGATTGGTGATTAACTCGGCAGGGAGGTAGTACTCCAAAGGTACTTTGGCCTTGATGGTGTCGATAAGAGCAGCCCGTTTGGCTTCAAAGGCAGGTGTTCCGCGAGGAACAGGCTTTGGCTGAACAGTGAATGAATTGCCTTGCTCTGGATCGTCGGTGGCTCTCACTTGAACGATGGAGGCATCTTTGATCCTGGCTTGTGGCTGAGAAAGCGAAAGAGGGGCAGGTGAAACAATGTTCATGATGGATTAAAGAAGATGTCGGATAACAATTGAGGTACTCAAGGGTGGTGAACTTGAAATGTAAAGATACAGACAGATCAGATAGATTGAAAGATGAATTCAAGTATTAATACTACTTACGATTGCACCGGGGCGATCATCTCGTTCCTCTCGCCCGCCCCTCGACCTTCATTCTGAGTTTCGGAATTGCATTCCTTGTCTCTTAGGGTAGGTCGACGCGATGATCTGTCGCAAATACACATCATTGGGCAGAGTCAACAGCCTAACTTAGCTCAAGCCCGCGTCCCACCTTGATGATAAGACTGACCATTCATGTGTATTTGCGCCATCATGTTGCATGGATGCATCACTAGCTTATCCGCCCCCCTCCTGATTAGCTTTTAGCGGGGAAGCGAATCTCGGAAACGAGATAAACTGCCCAGCTATCGGTATTCACAGCTTCATCATATCAGCCATATCATCTTTGCTGGGTAGATAGTCAAGTCATGGGTATATATTGGCAGGCCTCAACGCGTTTCTGTCGATCTGGTCCGCCTGCATCCATCAGACCTTTACCAATCCGCTTTTCTTTCAGTTTCAGCCCACTCCGCCAGCCCAACAATGACCGAATCTATCAGTATCCCTGGTACTGTCCACCTTGTGGATCTGGACCATGACATGCATGCTCGCCATGCCAGTTCATCTGCCGACATTGTCCTGAACCCGACTCCATCCAAAGACCCCAATGATCCGTTGAACTGGACTCCCCGCCGCAAGTTACTCTCACTGATTTGTCAGAACCTGTACGCCATGACGTGTACTTCATCGTGTCACAAGACAACTAACAATACGTAGATACACCTGGTTCGCAGGCTTCGCAGTGTCTACCGTCTATTCAGTCCTCGTACCCCTCTCCGCCCAATCTGGCGTTTCCATCGCAACTCTCAATGAAGGAACGGGCTACATGTTCCTTTTTCTTGGCTGGAGTCTTCTTTTCTGGCAGCCTTTCTCTTTGCGCTATGGCAAACGCTTGACGTATCTGATCTCTGTCCTTGGTGCAATAGTAAGTGACCCGCGCTGTAATCCTTGTACATATTTCTGACACCTCATTACTTAGGGCACCAGTATTTGGAGGTTGGTCTTTGATCTTGAAACTGATATCTATCCTCTGACTAACGGGCTTTTAGTGCATATGTAAAAAGCAATGGCGAGTGGCTGGCAAAGTGCATTATCCAGGGCTTCTTCATTTCTCCCATTGAAGCACTTCCTGAGATCTCAGTGACCGATATCGTAAGTACCCAAAACTACTGATCAAAGTCTCTACTGACGCGCTTAGTACTTCACCCACGAGCGCGGTACATACATGGGAATTTATTCGTTTGCCCTCGCTGGCAGCAATTACTTTGCCCCAGTTGTCTGCGGCTTCATCGCCGATCACCAGGGCTGGCAGTGGGTATTTTACTGGCCAGCCATCTTCTTGGCGGCTGTATTTGTCTTCCTCTTCCTGTTTATGGAAGAGACAAATTATATCCGGGAACCCGTTTCTGAGCTCACTCCTGAGGCTTCTTTCTCCCAGGGTGAGATCAAAAATGAAAAGAGTGATTCCGTAGCTGCAGACACGCCAGCTGCGGAGAATGGTGAGGTTTACAATACCCCGAAGACCTTTATCCAGAAGATGTCGCTTTGGCAGCCTTCACCGGGACAAGGCATGCTCACACGATCATGGCGATCATTGAAGTATCTGACCTGGCCTGTTATCTTCTATGCCGGTTTCTCCTACGGTTCATATCTCATCTGGTTCAATGTCCTCAACGCCACTGCCTCATTAATTCTTTCAGGAGAGCCCTACAATTTTAGTCCATCCATGGTGGGCCTGAGCTATCTTGCTTGTTGCGTTGGTGTCGTCATTGGAGCCGTGGTCTCTGGCAGGCTCAGTGATATTCTGACCATCAAGCTTGCCCGCCGCAACGGTGGCATCATGGAAGCCGAAAGCCGCCTTTGGCCCTTTGTTCTCTGTGTCGTCATGGTACCTTCTGCACTGATTCTCTGGGGCGTCGGAGCCCAACATGGAGTCCATTGGTTTGGACTTGTGTTTGCTATGGGATGTCTCGCCTTCACCAGCGCTGTAGGCGTCACTCTCAGCGTCAACTATCTCATCGATAGTTATCATGGCATCAGTGGCGATGCGATCGTTACTGTTATTCTCATTCGCAACACCATGTCTTTTGCAATTAGCTACGGGTAAGTCTTATTCCGACGTATCTTGTCAATGATTGCTAACAGCCTGAGTAGCATCACCCCTTGGATAACTCATCTTGGGTACCAAAACTGCTTTATTTCAGCAGCCTTTGTCGGAATGGCAGCCTCCTCTGCGTTTATCATCATGATGGTTTATGGCAAGATGTTCAGAACTCGTAGTGCTGAGAAATATTATCAGCTGGCTGAGGATGGTCAAGCAAGCCACTGATTATTAGATGGTAATAGTACTTGCCGAACGGAGTGTAATGGAGTATGAGAATTGCCGGAAGCTTGCAAATATTGGCATTTGAGAGTATCTAGAACAACACAAGAAATTATTCTTAATCGATGTAGGACAAAAAATGCTCTAGCTACTCAGATGCGTGATTCCACAAGTCCCCATGTCCACCATTCTCTTTCCAGTTCCTTCCATCCGGCGTTGATAGTTCTCATAGTTGCCCTGATAAAAGCATCCAGTCCAAGAAGATATGCAGCAAGGAACTGATTGGGCGAATGGGATCTTGATATCGGCTATCGCTGTGCCAAGCGTTTGGCAGGATAACCACCCATGTTAACCCCGCATCTCAAGAACTCCACCAAGAAGCTATCGTCCAGTTATGTTGGAGATGATCAGCCCCAGATAACGCTGACGCACGCGCCAGGAACCAAGTAACCTGTTTAGGACAAGATGTCCCTGGTCACACGCCAACGTTGGATTCAAATAGCGCTTGAAGCTCCCTTGCCTACTACCGACTCCAATAAACCCCTTTCTAAACTTTATAAACGTCCCCGCCCTCGATTTCTCAACCAAGGTCTCCCGGTCAAAGATGCGATGATGACCGATAAGATCAACAACGGTACTGCGCGGAAGAAGTTACGCACAAAGACTGGCTGCTTTACATGTAAGCCGACAGTATGCGGTCCATCGTGTTGCTAACATTTTCCAACCAGGTAGACAAAGACGCAAGAAATGCGACGAAAAGTCCCCAATCTGCGACTTGTGCCGATCTTCTGGGCGAAGATGTATATGGCCGTCACCAAGCGATTTACTCGATCGTCGTTACTCTCACCATTGCGATTCACGGCACCAAGATCGGAGTTTGAAAGAACAGCTACAACAACCCGAAGATGACGTTCGGAATTCCTTGATACCCGGCAGCAGCAATCACCCCGTACATAGTGCCCTCTCTTCCTACAGTTCATCAACTACTTATGAGACGGATTCTGTTTGTCCATTGGACCTCTTATCGCAAGCCGCCACAGTGCACCGGGTGCTCTCTAACCACCTAGAGCTCCGCGTCTCCGACCACTTCTCTGATAAATACTTTTCCCTCCTACTACTACCGGACTGCTACCGCGGATTCCACGACGGCTGGCTTACTGAAATCAAGCAGCTCATGGTGACTCACAAGAGCTTATACTACTCAGTCCTGGCTTGTGCTGCATCACACATATTTCTCACCGACTCCGTGTGGGAAATGCATCCTATTGCTTTGTCCTATTACGCTGAAGGGGTGAAAGAACTCCAGCTTTTGCTTGGGAAAGTTTCTCAATATGAGAACCACGACGCGCTTCTCATGTCTGTCATGCTGCTCTATCTCCACGGGGTATGTCCTCCAGCGATCATGATACAAAGTCAATCACTGACAGCAAAAGTGCCTAGGATGGGGCACGCATAGTGATGTTGCACAGCACGTCAATGCTGCGACTCGTATAGTCACTTTGAGATTGCTTGACAAGCCGGTCGGCATTCAACGACTGTTCGACAGACTCGCCCTCGAAAGTGTCATCTACCAGCAGTTCCTTCTCTCAACAGGCCTATGGTCAGAAAGCAGTCAATGTGACTTTGTGTTCAACCCGGATTTCTGGGATAGTGTTGAGAAACTTCTCGACAGGTCCACACTCTTATCGGGAGCGCCTTGGAATGTTGAAAGCCCTATCTTAGGGGTACCGTTGTCTTTCTTTCGTACCACCATAATCTTACGGGAATGCTACCGTTCAGGTGTTAGTCTGGATCCTGCAGTCCTCAGCCGGATACAGCATGAGGTACAAGGCTGGGAAGCACAACTCTGCGATCCGGACTCTGAATCTATTCACAGCTCCACTGATACAGTTAAAAAGATACGCAGCTCAACAACCAGGGACGAAACATACTTATATGCGATAGTTGCCTCTCTCCTGCTTGAACAGATTACCGAGCATGGAAGCAGAGGAACTATACCATCGGTGGTGTCCAGGGACAAGTGGCAGATAAGACTGTTCTTACGAATTCTCAACGGCCACCAAGGCAGCCGAGAATGGGCCAGATCATATGCGGGTAATTGGCCAGCGTATACCTTGGGAGTATTTCTTTCTGCCCCTGAAGATAGGCTGGTGGTGAAGGAAGATCTCGAGAGGTCGTGGGAGGTTACAAGAATGACCTATGCCCTGAGGTATTGCCGTGATCTAGATATCATTTGGAAGTCGAGATAGTAGTAGGTGATGAATATTCAGAAGATATGATGTCAGACCGGGCACGCAGCAAATAGTCATATGCTTTGCTGTTGCGCGCCATCTCATGAGAGAAGAAGACCCTCGATAGGGAGTGGACTTTCGGTTATTTATCGATATAAGGGCGTTGGAGAGTATAGCAACCTTTTTGCGGCGGCGGTCGTCATCACTTGAAGCGCGACAGCAACATCATCAAGTCTGCGGATAATCTAGTGACAGACTGGGAGAGCTTGGACGTAATGTAACAGCGAAACTGCAAATCTGTCTATTGCGTTTCGAATTGACATCTACCTATCATTTTATGTGAACCTTCATAAATCACTGGTTTGAGTCCAAGTACGCAGGCCCGATATACACTTCTTCATAAGACGAGAAAATAAGTCGAGCGCTTCTATATCTACTTTTAATTTTGTTTAAATAATGACCTGGTGGGTGGCAGGCTTCTCATCCTCATGGCCGAAGATGTTGACATCCCACCGAGGCTTGTCTATTGAGAGATGGTCAGCACTGAACTTGTTGAGGGTAATTAAGATTAGACTTACTAGCGACATAAGGAACGTTGTACCGGCGCTGCTCCTTGCCAACCTGCTCAATCTCGCGGATATCGTCCTCAGACAAGTCGATCTCCTGGAAGTTCTCGGCAATACGCTTAGGTGTAACAGACTTGGGGATGACACTGTGGCCACCAACCTGAGCCCAGGCGAGCCTGTTGGGCAAACACTGTGTTAGCCATGTAAAGCAGTGTTACATGCCGATGGTGACTTACAGGACTTGTGTAGGCGAGACGGGTTGACCCTTCTCCTTGGTCAATCGCTCGGCGACGGCCTTGATCTCAGGGTAGGTGAAGAGGAGGGGAGCGTTGACCATGTTGTTACCGAAAGCCTGAGACATCAATTAGCGTCGAAATATCGAATCTCATCTGCACCAACTTACAGAGTATGCGGTAACGTGGATGTTCTTCTCCTTGCAGTAGTCAATGAGATCCTTCTGGATCAGGAGAGGGTGGCGCTCAATCTGGTTGACAGCAGGGACAACTCCAGTGCCCTTGATGATTGCCTCGAGCTTCAGGTCGTGTTAGTTGATTGTTTCGGTATACCAGAAGGGAAATTACTTACGTGCTCCTTGGTGTGGTTGGAAACACCGACGGCGCGGGCTTTGGACTTGGGCAGCTCTGTCACGGCTGTGCATTAAGAGGTTAGCCGAGTGCATCAATAGCCTAGGTTAGATTAGATAATCTAAACTCACCTTTCCATGTGTCGACGATGGAGATGCTGTCATCGATGACGACGTCACCATCGGGCTGATTTCCTCCGGTGAGAGGGAACAGATCCTGACCAATGGGAGCTCCCGAGTTCTTGAAAGAGACGGGGAAGTGGATGAGGTAGAGGTCAAGGTAATCAAGACCGAGCTCTTGCAGGCAGTCGTCCAAAGCAGCCTCAACTTGCTTAGGGTCATGCTGCGAGTTCCAGAGCTTGGAGGTAATGAAGACATCCTCTCGCTTGAGGCCAGGGATCTCAGCAAAGGACTTCTTCAAGGCCTCGGCGATTTCAGGCTGGTTTCCGTAGACCTTGGCCAGATCCAAGTGTCTGTAGCCAACCTTGAGGGCCTCGTAGACACCCTGACCGACCTCACCGGGGGAGGCTTGCCATGTGCCGTATCCCAGGAGACTGGAAACAATTAGCTCATTCTTCTCCACTCGCTTTGCGGGTTCACTTACGGGATCTTGGCACCAGTGTTGAGAGTGAAAGTCTTGCCTTGAGACATGGTGAAATCGAGTGTTTTGAAGGGTATCTGAGATGAAAGAATGAGAAAAGAAAGTCAGGAAAGTATTTATGTTCGAGGAGACAGGCATATTTACACCCAGCTCAACCCCGCTATCTAGGTATGGATGACTGATGGATCTGCGAAAGGACGCTAGAGCGCACTACTCGAAGCGCTCCAATCTTGGCTCTTTATGGCCGCCTACTAGCTCTTGAATGATGGAGATTGGCGACGCTGCTCGACTAAGATTGGGGCAAAGCAAGATCACGAGCAAGCTCCCCGCAGTGGAACTCAACGCAATATCCGCCTCATTCATGTTCGTAGACCCAAAGTTTGAAAGTGTCAACCGGTCCAATTAGATATCCGCCAAGGTAGAAGTAACAGGATGGACCTAGAGCATTTCTATATTTTCCCCGGCGGTATCAAGAGCCCTGTTATTGGTGGTTCAGCAGCCACCAACGGCCGATGACTTTAGTAATTGATTTCAGCCAAGTATCCAAGAGTCATAGTGCCTAAGGCCAAATAACAAAGCGCCTTGGCAATCCAGTAACCAACAGAAGCGGCTTGTCGCGCGTAGCAGCCTACGTTACTTGATAGACGCTGGCCCTGTTGAAGCTGAACCAGCCACGAATGGCGTTTTGCATGACTTCAATGTTTGAAGCAGCGTTCACCGACGTCCCAGAGCAGAAACAAGAAGCTCATGGGCTTCCTACTTATCAGTCCTTGTGCCGCCGCCTTGTATTATGAGATGCGACCTTGATATCAATTATTTCATACCAAGTTTCCAAATTATGCCTCAAGCAGCTGGCCCAATCAGTCTACTTTTCCTCAGTCTCAAATTTTCAGCATCTCTATAATGACGCACTTGTAATTGGCTGCAGTCCCCGATTAGATCGTTTTAGGACTAGATCAACCTGATTAGCCCGAGACATGGTGATAACGATAACCAGTTAAGAACAAAGAAATGCCTAGCAAAGGACGCAAAAACAAGATATATTAGTAATGAGAAGAATACACTTCTGCTTCTTCATCGACCCTAGTTGCGAACCCTTCTACAATCCAAAGATAGAAGCTCTTGTCAAGTCTCTTCCCGAAATGAGTATCAATCATATATCTTACGGTCCTCTGCGCATACGCCCAGCGACGGTAAGTCTAGAGACTAAGAGACCCGGAAATGACTTCGATGGTGCGATTCTACAAAGTCAGCGTTTGGCGATTTGCACACTGGGTGATAGTATACTCAATTTTAAGATTTGTCTATTCAGTATATTCAACCAGTACATTTACTTCTCGTCTCGGTCTTTAGGGACATGCGCGCGCACTTCGATCTCTACTCGCATGTCGTCAAGAGCCAGGCGAGGGACCCCCAAAGCCGTCCAGGTCGGCTGATGATTCGGGCAATACTTCTTGAGGCAGCGAACCATTGTCTCAATTGCCTCGTTGTTGCAAGGCAGGTGGTGTGACCTTAGAAAGAAAACATCCTCCCAACCGCGACTACCTGCTGCCTTCAAAGCACATTCGACATTGTCGAATGCTTTCTCTATCTGTATCACAACATTCGTGTCGATTTTCTCTGTCTCTCGGTCCCAGCCACCTAATAGCACTTCAGCAGCCATTCTTCCATTTCTAGGAGGAACCCATACCTTGCCCAGAACATTCAATGATATCTCCGACACGGACGGCTTGGCTATACCAAAGGTCCTTCTTGGCGCGCTCGCCATAACCTTCGTAGGATGTGTAGGTAAGGTGAGACATAACTGTAATAACTTGGTTTGTCGAGTTGTTTCTGCTGCTGAGCTGTGAGAGGAGGAGGTAGAAATCGTGAAATAAGGAAAGGACCTCAGCCAATTACATAATGGAACATACTACCGAGGTAGGGGATGACAAATACGGTTAAGTGGGTAACGTTGATAGACTAACTATACCTAAGCTGGTATAAAACTCTAATCGGGCTTGCGTAAACCTTAGGGATGCCAATTGTTTAGCCCTGGTGCTCCAGGGTAAGTAATACTGTCTTGTCTAAAGAGGCAGCTCTCGTAATAGATGATACTGTATGGAAAAGGGAAACAAGAGAAATTGTTTACAAGATCTGTAGTGCTTTCCACCCCGAGGTCAAAATATAGACAGCTAGGTTCTCTTCGAGTACAAAGTCGATTATCTGTGACAGCTGTACTGTCGCCGGTACACCAGGAAGTCCGAGTAGCGGCGGAGGATCTCAAACGTTATCTTGAGTTTACCAAAGCCAGTTTAGGTCGGATTCCTCTCTGATGTGGAGGAACAACTTGCCTTGGTATATCCTGATGGATATACTGTTCGGATGATTATGTTGGATTGGAACCTCAGAGATATTTCATGTATATTCGTAATATGCCTGGAAATGGAATTTGGCTTTGTTTCTTGACCTGGTCTCTTTCCTCCTGGAATCTCTAGATTACCTATATCTGTTGTATTCAACCAATAGTGTCTAACATCTCAGGCGACTTTGGTTGCCAAGCAGGGTACATCACGCAAACGTCGTCACCAAAGTCCTCCATCGCTTCCGTGATCAATGCTGCAAATGCATTGTGAAAGTCTTACCGCGCATAGTCAAGGCAAAGAGTTTAATACTATAGAACGGTATACACGAAAGGTTCATTCTTATCCAAACCCCCAATGTTCAACATCAACGTTCCGACAAATATTAGACACCTTTATCAAGACATCGCCTTCATGAATGTAGTCAGTCCGTCCTCCAGGTGAATGAAAGTCTGCGGGGCTCTTGGCTTCGTACAAGGAAATCAAGGAAGCCCAGGAACTCCAGGGATACCACCTCCAGGAAGGCCACCGGGCAGAGGAGTAGGCAAAGGAACAGGTAGACCAGTGGGGAGGCCAGTTGGCAGACCTCCAGGGACATCAGGGATGCACTTTTGGATCCCAGCCACAAGTTCGGTGAGACTATGTCCTATCAGTTGATGATCTATGCCAGAGCCTAACCATGAAGTATCATACTTACCAGGTTGCGACGTCGGCAAGCGCGACAGCGCTGGTGGGCTTGAGATTCTTAATGCAGTCAGAGATGCTAGTGATACTCTGAAGACAGGCCGGATCGAGAGAAGGAACGGGAAGCTTAGGCGTAGCTGCGCCAAGGGCAAGGACGGGGAAAACAAGCATGGCGGAGGCCTTCATGATGACGGTTTGATAGGATCTGTGAGATTGAAGTGGCTGTGTTGGCAAAGCGCTGATTGTGAGTGCTGACAACTAAGTGATGAGAAGGGAAGATGCAGCTGATTTATAGTTTTTCATGGGCATCAGAATTGCCTCGAAGTGGAGTGCGGCTATCATTAGCCATTCTCGACAATGCTACCAGATCGAAAGGAGGTGATACAATTCCTCCTAGTCTTTTCACCTGTGGAATGAGAATTCACAACTCATGATGGGTGCGTTAAATGCCATGACCTCGTCGGCATCTACAGACGTTTGGGGGTATGCAAATCTGGGTTTAGAGCTTAATCTTCTGGTATGTGATCGTCCAACTTGGTAACTTGGATGATTATCATTAATATTTTGAGACCACCCGCGGCTGTCTATGTCAGGGTATTCTGACAAAACACTCACGACACCGGTAGTTGGCCCGGAACAACAGTATTTCTAGTTGGGCTTGGGCCTCAATGCCAAGTCCTTTTACTAGCTTTATTTAATGCAACCATCTATATCCTCCATTCAACCAATAAAGCAAGAGATAGCTCAACAATACTGATTCAGGCTTTTATTGCTTATTTGGAGTTTATCGTAGCATCAGAAACCGTAAGTCGTTACTCAAGCTTTAGAACTCTCCCAAGCATGCAGAACTAATCGTCAGAGTTCTGGGGCTAGCTAGAACAGTGTCTATATGAAAAGGTTCGGAACGAACTTTTCAAGGGGAGATCAAAGCCCGGCGCGACATTTCGATTCTGAGACACTAAGAAAGAGCCTATCCCTTCACTTCGGTAGCATGTAAGACATCAACTGCCGTAGAGAAAGTGATCTGCAAGCTGTCAGTTATGCCTGAATCATAAGGACCCACGGTACGCTGATCCCTATCGAGTCACATTCGTGAATGCCAAAACCCTTTGCTGGGCAGTTGAGTACGCGTCAGTCTTTTACTGCTGTGTATCGTGGAATATTTCCCTTAAATAGGTTTAATCTAATATGCATGGGCTCATTTCTTGCTAAGGACAAGATTCAAGGTTAAAGCCTGTACTAACATTGAAGACATTGTTCTACTAAACAAGTGTAAAGGTTCGATAGTCATCTGGCTTTGTACCTTTTACAAATTCGCCATTCATCGCACCATGAACATATGCATCACCAATAAGGTTATACCTATCTGTTCCCTGAACCGATCGTAAGACAAGGCAAAAGGGACTTCCGAAAAGCACCACAATTATATCAGCAGGCTTCATGAAAAATGGTCCCATTCCCATGGTCCCACTTCCAGTAACAAAAAAGCAACGATTAGAGCTTGCGTTCTGCATTGACTTTGAAAAGGGAGCGGTGTATTCTATCAATCTGTCAATAAGGCTCCCTTCATATACGAGGCTATTGGGAACTGGTCTCTGTTCGAATGCAGCTTGCATCATGTCAACAAACTCGGCTGGGGCCGGATATGAGGGATCTTCGCCGGGTGTAGTTGAGTCATGATCGATGACAAGAGTTCTGCAGAGCAGATTTTCTTCCGTCTGCAAGAGGGAGCGACAGAAATCACACATTTCAGTGAAGAATTGACGATTTCCAAAACCACTAGTGACCTCCTGATAGAAATCAGTTCCATCCACCGGTTTTTGGCCCTGTACATAAGGACCAATAACTCGTCTCGTAGCTCCGAGTAAAACGCCTTTGCAGCTTAGAGTTCCCAAACTCTTGTCTATTTTGACAGTCTGTTTTTGGCCATTATCTGCTTTGAACGTCTCGTTAAATATTCTTCATGTTGTGTCCCCCCTCAGCCGACTTCCAAGATCAGGCGCCTAGCTAGGACCGTCGGGATTCACTTCGAAGCGATTTCCAAGCAAGATATGCAGGTTGCCCCAAGAACTAATAAGAAACTCAACGACATTCATCAATACCACTGAAACTGGTTGCTCATAATCAGGTTCCAGGAGGCAGTCCTGCTCGCATACCAAACCTAGCAAGGCAAATATCTTATCCCTGCAATTTGACGCCTCGAATCGTCCCGAAACCTCTATCAACCAGGTCAGAGTGGGTTTCACGGGTCCATTGCAAGAAGAAATCGTCTGAATCATCGCGAGGCCTGGGGGCCACCCTCTCGAGAGAAAGGACCGAAGTGGTTCGTCAACTTCGAAACCGGAGCCCGTACCGCGGGCTGAGTTTCCTTGTACAGTGAGGAGAATCGCACTGCATGCGACGTCGAACTCGATTCTGCTTATAGAAGATGTGCTGCATACAATGTCCCCGGTACTTCGAAAGAGGAAACCTTTATCTGCAAGCTCTTGGATGATCCAGACACGTGTCCAGTAAGGGCGTTCAAGAAGACTCAAGACCGCCGACCAATTCTGACTAGACATTGGAAAGCCTTTGGCCTCGAAGAATTGATTCACTTCAAGAGTTTTGTTGACTTCATCGCTCTCGCGCCGTAACACATACTGTCAACTTGCAGGCATCTCTAACTGAAGGGTCAGCTGTGTTCTCTGCATTGGATTTCTGAGGGTTAGGGCTACCAAATAGGCATTGCCTGTTTAGGAGTACATTCTGTTCATTGTCCCTCCCGTGACAGTATCTAGGATTTTCCGGATTTTCCGGATCTGAGAGGCTTGGGAAATCTGACGCGGTACAAATTGGGAATATTCATAGATCCAAATAACGATGCCTTTAGCATCTTTCTTAGACTTTCAAGTCCAACCTGTTCTACGTGGTATTTGCCTCTATAAACCTGAAACACTCATGGGGCCGGGAAGGGTTTGCACCACCTATTTGACGTTCTCCTCTGTCAGACACTCACTAGACGTACAATAGTTCATCAAGAAAGGTACGCATGGCGTCGCTTATTTTGCTGCAAGACGTCAACCGCTATGAATCTGTTTAGACAAGCTATGAATTATAGATGGAGATGTCTGCAAAATACTTCCGGAAACACTAGTACTACCCCTGCCGACTGAGTTTCACCTCAGCCTTGAGGACTCCGGTGGTAGAATAGTTATATGTGAGGCATAGGACCGATATTAATGCCGAACATAGTGAGAATGGCACCCTGCTGCCAACGTGCATGGCCTATCAAATACAAGCGCGCCAGCTCGTCTAGACAACTACCGCTGATCGCCTTCAGCAACAGAGCAATGCCTAGTTTTTCCCCTGGGCAATTGAAGATGAAAGTCTTTTGATAATCTCACCAAGTTTCCAAACATGACTATTGTATTTATGACATGCCTGAATTTAGACCTCTTATTTCAATATTGCCAAAGAAAGAAGACTTCACGACTCGGCTAAAACCATCGTTACTTTTTAGCCTGAGACCGTGATATAACCAGACGGATTATTCATCGGCTCTTACTAAATTTCTGGCGCTCGGGTGCAATACACTACTACACGCGCTCTAGTATGGTGTATTGCCTAGTCAGGATACAGAGAGACGGAAAAAGCATCGGCAGTGACTCCGAGATCAGCATGCCATGCTACGGTGTGCGTCTTAGCGCAAGCCTTCTAATCCGGGGAAGCGGGGAATTAGAGTGCCGAGTGGGCTCCGTAATGAAATACTTCTTTATTATGCTACGTCTTTAGCAATATCGAATTTCCATGTATAAATACGCACTTAGCCAAGTCTGAGCCCGATGTTCATTGTTACCTAACTCTTGTTTGGTCAAGTCAATCATATACTGGCATACCTACACTTTGTCTTGTTTGCTGTGTTGCAGTACACCAACTCTAATCATGAGACTTAGCACTGTTATAAAATCAGCATGCTTCCTCCTTCTTGGTCAAAGCACCATTGTTGAAGGTGCAAAGACCCCCCAGGGCTTTCTCCAGACTTGGCCTATTCCCGATGGCGTCCCTATCGCAACCTCTTTTGATGTCAAAGCTCGCGTTCCCGGTGGCAAGTGGGAAAAGATTGAAACATATCAACCAGTTCACAGCGAGGTCAACTTTACCACCGGCGGTTCTATCAAGCACAACTCATCTCTGGCATATTTCGATTTCAACGGTACTGTAGAGATTCAAGCCAGATATCTCAATGATCGAGTTTCCAAGGCCGTTATCAGGCCTTACTCCCTCAACCTAACCCCTAAAAGGTCTGGTTCAGTTGTTACTTTTACCTTGAACGAGCCGCGAGATGTTATTGTTCAAGTCAACGATGACATCTTCGATGTTCTGCACATCTTCACCAACCCCCCTGATACAAACGTGCCATCTGAGAAGGATGAAGATGTCATTTACTACGGCCCTGGCTATCACAAGCTCAACTCTACGCTTGAGGTTGGATCTGGCAAAACTCTTTATGTCGCCGGCGGAGCAGTGGTTTCAGCTCCCGATATCACAGTGACCAACTCGACCGATGTGATCATACGTGGACGAGGTCTCTTGTACAGTCCAAAGGGAAATTCCCTACAGGTCTACCGATCCAACAACGTCTTGATCGAGCGTCTCGTTGGTATCAACTTCCTCCCTAGGGCGTATGAGTCAAAGGACGTGACATTCAGTCATTGGCGCGACTTCAGCGCAGTGCAATGGGGAGATGGAATGGACGTTTATTGCTGCGAGAACGTCCTTATCGATTCCGTTTTCTTGCGCAATTCGGACGACTGTATCGCAGTTTACGCTCACAGAAATGAATGGTACGGAAACTCGACAAACATCACCATTCAAAACTCGATTCTGTGGGCCGATGTCGCGCATCCGATTAATATTGGAACCCATGGCAATACTGAGGACCCCGAGACCATTGCAGGTCTAACTATTCGCAACATCGATATCCTCGACCAAAGAGAGGGACAGGTCGACTACCAAGGGACCATTGCACTCAATCCTGGAGATGGCAATCTGATTCAAGACGTCTTGATTGATGACGTGCGCGTCGAAGATATTCGCGTTGGTCAACTGCTTAACTTCCGTGTCATGTACAATACCAAGTACAACACATCACCAGGCCGAGGGATCAAGGACGTGTTGGTGCGTGATTTGAAGTACACTGGAACGAA